CGCTACACTTACGATGCGTGACCAATTTAATTAGGTGTGATGGTCAGTGGATGCGATCGATATTACACAGCTGTTGCATAATGACCTACGTACTTCACGGAGAGGCACTTAATGTACGTCGTTAATTACCATAACCTGTCAACCGCTCGGGGGAAACTCGGTGAAGCATAACAAAAATTTAATTAGGTGTGATGGGCCAGCGGCTGCGATCAATACATTCCCATTAAAACGGGCAGCGGTGAGAAAACTTCGCGGGCGGGTCGATACGTAACAGCTGTGGCTGATCGTTATCTTTAATGGATGTTCTATGTTTGTAACGTTCGTTGTGGTGGAGAATTTAACCTGTTTTTTGTACACGGTCGTTGTAGGGGAGAATTTAAAACATACATACAACCAAATAAACAAACCAACAAATTAAACAACAAAGAAAAGAAATATATCAAATAAATAAATTAAACAAAGTAATTAAAATCAAATTAATTAAAATGAATTTCAAACAAATAAGCAAATTACGTAACTCGTTAATAAAAAATTACACAATATAAACAAAGTAATTAAATTAAACAACAAGTAAACAAACTAATTAAACAATCAAAGTAATTAAATTACATAACTAGTCAATAAAAATTCAAACTAATTATAAAATAAACTTAAAATTACGTAACTAAATACAAAATAAATAAAAATCAAATTAATTAAACTTATTAAAAATAAAATAATTAAATTAAAAATAAACAAAATAAAAATAATTAAAAAGTTAAAATCAAACAAATACAAAATAAATAAAAAAATCGAATTAATTAAACTTATTAAAAATAAACAAACAAAACACAAACAAAAGTAATTAAAATCAAATTAATTAAAAAACAATAAAATTACGTAACTAGGTCAAAAATTAATTAAAATTTAAAAATTAAATTCAAACTAATTAAAAAACGCATTAAATTACGTAACTAGGTCAATGATTACGTCATAATGTTACTAATTACGTCACAAGGTCACCAAAAGGTGACTCACCCTTCACTCCTCCGCCAACCCCAGTTGGCGTAATATTTTACTATATGTCTTTGCGCCTGCGGTGCATCCTGCTCACCCACCCTGCGGCAGCTGGCGTAGTATTTTACTATATGTCTTTGCGGCAGGCTGCGGCAGCTCCTCCGAGTATTTTACTATATAACCTTTGCGCCTGCGCTCCTCCGCCAAAAATAATAATCAAAAGGGACCTAATATACTACTTTCATTTCATTCAAATGTTATATTTAGTTTTTGCTCTGTTTCTTTGTTTCTGTTTTGAGTGCAGTGGGTGGTTTCATTGAGGTCTTTATTTATAATCAGATTATTCACGTATTTTGAACGCCCCTCACAGGTAAACTAGTTCTTATGAAAGCTTTAGCTGATCAGTCATAAATTACTTTCAGTGATTAGGACATTTCTTGGATACTTGAGCCTAACCAGTTCAAAATCCGCTCTGAATGAAACATGTTTGACATTTGTAGAAATGACGCTATGGAGGCCCATAATGAGCAAAGACAGAATGTCCGACAAGTGTCCAGCGGTTGTTTGGTGTGGGAGCACCGTGTGACGACTGGTGAATAAAAGCTAATCTGCTCCAGAGGTCCTCTGCCTTATAATCATTTCTATCACGCCCACCAGTAGCACCGAAACCTTCACCTACACCGCTGTCGCCCCGCGCTTCCCCCAATTTTAATCAATAGCCATCCCATTATTCAGCCAAATCAATACAGAGCGTGGTTCCTTGGCCCATTCAATCACTCGTGTATTTAAATAGCACATATATGTGTATATATATATATGTGTGTGTATTTATGTATTTATATGTATATATACATATATGTATACACTTTCGGTACAAAGAATGTTTAGGGAACGACAAGCGGTCTTACATCTTTGTTCAATTCTAGCACATTCTAGCACATCCCCACAATGTGCCGGATCACGTGTGATCACCGAGTAAACTAGCCCGATAGTGATTTTATTCTTCCTAAAGTGTCATCTGTCTGCATGGGTCCCCTTTCTCCACTGTTAGCTGCAAGTGGACGCGGCGCTACTTATAGCACCCATCTTTACCGACCGCTTGCCCGCGACAAGAATGTAGATGAGCGACGCACGTGTTAAGTGTGGCAGTGCGCAGCCCCCATCTCAAACCTGTGCTGATTGATGAGAAGACACAAAAAAAAAACTGATCCCCAAACGGCGAGAGGCACAGCGCTGTGTGTTGGAATTGGGGACATTTTCTGCTAGAAGACTGGGGACATTGTGACCGTGGATGGCCCTGGTAAAGTACACAACTGTGTCTGCTCGAGTTTGATGTTTTTTTTTTAAATTTAAAAAAAAAACGATCTTCCCCTACCCCATGTAACAAGGACGTGGACATGATGAATATATCAGTGCATGTATATATATATATATATATATATATATATATATATATATATATATATAATATCAGATATTACTGATTTTTTTTTGTCACCATTTGAAAAGTTTAGTAACACGACACCTATGGGTGTATGTCTGGTCGTATGTTTCAGAAACATGTTGGTGTGTTTTTTACTTAACAAATGTATCAGTTCACCACATGAACAAACTAGACCTAAGCATTGTTTCATTGTATTCCAAAGAGAGTTTTAAATTAAGTAGTGGGCACTCACTTAACCACCACATCCATCATCGTGGCCTGTACAGTTGTGGATCGTCCATATCCTTCGTGACGCTGGTTTTCACCTCCCTCACCCAACCATAAAAATCCTGACCCCCTCCACCTACCAACTAAATTAGCGATACCACCACTCCCAGTGTATAAGGTTTATATGCAGTACCCCTGGCTAACTTAACGTCTAATAAACACTATTACTATGCTAGGGAAATGAATAAGATTGAACATTCGCATTAATTTTCACGAACATTGGAATATACACAAATTGATATGATATTGCTGGCCAAGTTCATTCCACGTTGTCAGTTTTATAAATTAACCAAGGGAGGCAACGTAGATTTAACTTCCTAATATAAACTAAGGAGCAAAGAAACTTAACCTAGGATGTCCATCGCCGTTTTATTAAATTAAAATATAATGCTATTTAATATGTATATGAAATATTCCCTGAATACTTCTTTTTTTTTTGTCACAATTTAAAATACAAATGCAATTGGATATACTAGTTATAAATTTCATTTCTTAATAAGAAGATCTAGATTACATTATCTCTGTATCGTTTTCGTGATTTTTATTAGATCATGTAATTCTAATACTTAACTTTTTAAAAATCAATGATTGAAATAGACCAGCTCCAAATGCTGTAGTGTAATGCCATGTCGTTGGGAATAATGTTTTCTGTATGTTGAAAGATATTCGCGCATTAAGAAACTATGATTTAGTTTTTTACGGCTGTGTAAAGTTACGATGATATGAGTGAGTGTACGTCTAGGTTACTCTTGCCCAGCCGATGTCCCTATGATATTTAATTCTTCCATTTTATTTTGTTTCTTATAATAAGCTAATTTTAAACATATGTTTTAATAGGGACAAATTGGCAGAATAAAATAAAGGTCAAAGCCGTACTTGCCGTGCTTTACTCAGTATCCTATACCGTATTTGTGTAGAAACCAAACAAAATTTACTCTATGTATGGTGGTAGTATGTTTGCCTTTTGGCGCAGACCTGCGGATGATGTCAATAAAATAAACTTGGGGGGGGGGGGGGGGGGCACCTTCAAAATTGTTACATTTGATGCCCTTTACAAACTGCCCTATGGCTGGTGCGACCAGCACCAATCGCGCCGCCCTTGCTTATTTGTGCTGTGCTACTGGGTTGACATTACGCAATATTGCCTTATTAAGGCGTACTTTAAACACACTTGCAAACATCCCGGTGGCATTGAACACGAATACATGTGCCAGTACACAACCGATACGTCGTACATACAACCGCTTGTTCAATTACACTGTCACTAACAGCGTTTGGAGAATCGTGTTTACCTTAGGAGAGAGAACCCACTAGAATAGGAAGTCCACGTGAACAAAGCGACAAAGCCTAGTGAAGATAGACTGAGGGTGGAAAGGTTATGCCTACCGTCAAATAGCGTAATTCGTTTCATGACCCGTGTGACGTGTTTAAGCACGCGTTTATGACATGTTTGTTTTATAAACTAGCTCCAATTCATGCTCATCTCAGCTCGGCGGGTTCCGTAAAAAAAAAAATGTCTAGCTGTCTAATGCAGGCTTCCGTGATAGGGCAAATGGCGGGGTTATAAGATCTGCATGAATCACACGTGTTGATAGCCTCTATTTGAATGTATCAGATGGGCAATACTTATCTGTAAGAGGTCGTCCATAGATGACGTCACACACCTCTTATAAAGGTGGGGGCTAAGGAAATTACGGCATTTTGTTGAGGGGGAAAAACATTCCCGCCTCCGGGGTTCTTTTAAAGATGGGTGAGGGGTCGAACTGCGGTCATTTTAGACATTTTACGATATCAGGGTTGAGGGTAATAATGGGTTCAAATTGCGTGAGGTCATTGATGGACGACCCCATAATCAACTGGCTTTAGTAACGTTTTCTCTAGTTTAGTTATCCCAACGGTGAGCCTACAAAGCTACTATCTGATCAGCAGTATGAAAGTACGAGGTCTATGTAGCTAATGTTAAAAGTTGACACACTTACTAGAATTCATCATTTCCCATTCCTGCCCAAGACACATGGGGCAGATGAAGTAGAGTTCATCCGTTTCCCTAATGACCTGGGCTTATAGGGGATAATTAGGTCAGCACTATGCCTAGCTACCTTAGTTTCCCTAGTGTGTTAGATACCCTTCTGATGGGCAAATTTGTGGTTTAAAGTAATCCAAAAAAAAACCCCAGTAAATACGGAAAGCAGCTTTCTATAGCTAGTTCATCAATTCTATTTCTATATCTCTTGAGATGTGCATCTATTGAAGTAGCTTGAGATTGTATTTGCCTATTTTTTTTGCTCTCCAGATAATTGGCTTGCTAAATGCATTCACCCCACAGAAATCTTTAGAGAGTTTCCAAGATGTGTAAGTACCTAACAAGTTCAAGTTTTTCATTCTTATTTATTTTCATTTTTAGTTTATAATTTATAATATTTATTATTAAATATTGTTCCTTTTTATTTGTAACAACAGTTGTAAATAAAACATATATATAAATATTTATTTTATTTAAAACTGTTAGCTGATTTTTCCTCATTTATTTTTCACATAAAGTAAGAGCTGGGGTTAAATGGCATAGAACGGAAATTTATTTTCATTGATTGAACAATTACAGACCTGTTATTGAATTGGTTTTTTTTAATGTTTTTTTTATGTTATTTTTTTTTACTACTTCTCATTTCAAATGGCTTTTTTTATGATATCTTAAAGCTATCCTACTGTTAAAACTGATAGGCATTTAAAATACAAAGGAAAGCATTTTAAAAGAAAATGCTACAAAACATTGTCTGATTTTTTGTCACATAATTATTTGTGAACCAAAGGCAATATTGAAAGATCCATTTTAATTTAAGACTGTCACTTAAAGCTAATGTGATACAGGTAGAAGCTTTTATTGGGGGGGGGGGGGGGGTGGAGGTGGTATCTGTGCTGTAATGAAATCAGGAAATCCTTTTAGCTTTGTATGTATCTTATTGTTAAAAAAATGTACTTTTACAGTTTTTAACCATTTTATAAGCTGTTTTAAATAAAGTACTGTTTCATTTTAATGTGACCATCAGGTATTTAGTGATGGAGTTGATGGACGCCAACCTATGCCAAGTTATACAGATGGACTTAGATCACGAGAGAATGTCTTACCTTCTTTATCAGATGCTGTGTGGCATCAAACACCTACACTCTGCTGGGATTATACACAGGGTGGGTACCTCCTCAAGTGTAGATATCTGTAGCATTTCATACTCATAGTGGGTCTTGTCACAGGGTTGATGGTTACTATATCTATAAACTATATTATACTAGACTTCATTGTCAGTGCAGAGGCCAGCTATAGACTTAATTTCTGTGCATACTAATAAAACACATTAAAACACAGTACTTTATTTGCTATCCAGATATAATTCAATTCTACTAATCATCTACTACACTAAGCCAAAGCTTCCTCATGTCACTATCCTATTCACCATCATACTCAAACCTAATCCATTTTGTCTGCCATCACTACTAACTAACCCTAAAATGTCCTTTTTAATAGTCTGTCTTACTCTATTATTAGTCTATAAATATCTATACTATGATAGGTCTCATCTCCACCACATAGTATGTTATCTTTAGCTTTTTGTATATATGGAGTGTTTATATTAGCTATGTTGGATTAAATAATGTACAAGTCAGCTATTTTAGCTGTTTGTGCCATATAAAAACATGTCTATTTCTTTTGACCCTTTTCTGGAAGAGAAATTTATAAATAACGTGCTTACATTCTCTTAGGATCTAAAGCCTAGCAACATAGTTGTCAAGTCAGATTGTACTCTAAAGATTCTAGACTTTGGATTAGCCAGGACAGCAGGCACAGGATTTATGATGACACCTTATGTGGTCACACGATATTACAGAGCCCCAGAAGTAATTTTAGGGATGGGTTACAAAGCTAACGGTAAGTTGTTTTACATTTCAGCATTTTAAAGTAACTGGAACTTTGTAAAATAAGCTGGACATTTTAATGGCCAGTTTGTTGATAATGACATACAATTTTATTAATAAAATTATTTTTAATAAATTACATCTTTATAACATTAGGTTGCAGAAATATATATGTAGATAAAATTAGTGGCTTAAACTTAAAGTTTCAATTTTTAAATTCTAAATCAATTCGGCTTATGCATAAAAGACCACTTTAGTTTAATGTCGTAAAGTAAAAATATACATGAATGCACTTTGACCTTTCAGTTGACATCTGGTCAGTTGGTTGCATCATGGCTGAGCTTATTCGAGCAACAGTAATGTTTCCTGGCACAGATCGTATCCTTTTATTATAATCTTCTTAAAAGTTTTTAAAGTTATAAACATTAGGTTGACCATTTGAAAATGAAAGCAGTTCTTACACGCACTTATCGCTGAAGTATTTTTCATTTTGATGCTTGTCGTCTTTAAAACTGGGTAGGTTCTGTCAATGTTCTGTCAATGTTCTATTCTGTTTGCTCGTTACAGATGCTTTAAAGGTCTAAAATATATTGCTCCGAATTTCATCTTAAACTTGCATCCTGAATGTATATAGAATAGTCTTACACTAAGTTACAGGATCTTTAAAAATAAAATTCATAGTTTTGTTTTGCATTTTGAATATTTGCAGATAGTTTTCTTTTTACCATTTTTCAAGAATAGAAAATTGTCCAGATGTTTCCCCCAATACAGTGGATCTTAACCTGGGTTTGATCTCAGGAAATCAATACACACACCCGACTCGTATGAATTATTATCAGACTGTCAGTGCTGATGATAGAACTATTAAGAAGGGTTTTGTGAATGTGCATATGAAATTAGTGGAGTTTGTTAGCTCCAAAAAGGTTAAGAATCACTATTTCAATTTTAATATCTTTGAACACTTTTCTTTTGGCTAAAATAAAAGATATAAACTGGCATTGGTGAACATTCTTAAGTATATTGGTTGTTAGACATTGTGATCCTTAACTCAAGCCCTCAGATATTGATCAATGGAATAAAATAATAGAACAGCTGGGTACACCTAGTCAAGAATTCATGGCTCGACTGCAAACAACTGTGAGAAATTATGTTGAAAATAGACCTAAGCACACCGGATTTAGTTTCGAAAAGTTGTTTCCAGATGTCCTTTTCCCTCCAGACAGTGCTGGTAATAAAAAGATTTTTTTTAACCAATAATTTAGCTTATCATTGAATCTTAGCAATGCCTCATACATCTATATTTTTTACCAGTATTTTTATATTGGTTTGTATATTTATGTTGTGTAATTATATTTTGTTTAGAACATCCTGGTCTGAGAGCTACCGTAGCAAGGGATTTGTTGTCCAAGATGTTGGTTATTGACCCTGACAGGAGGATCTCAGTTGATGAAGCACTCAACCACCCCTACATCAATGTTTGGTATGATGAGAGGGAGGTCAATGGGGTCAGTTCACTTTTCTTTTACAACAAATAGTTCATTGTCTTTTCCCATTTTGAATAGTTGATGAAACTATTTACTATTTGTGTCAGAGTAAAAATTAAAATGATATTGTTGAATATTCTAGCCAGCACCAGGCCCCTATGACCATGCTGTAGATGAACGTGAACACTCTGTTGAAGAATGGAAAAGTAAGCAAACTTTTGTTGTTTTTTACTATAAAGAAAATAAGCATTTAATTTAATGTGAAGATTAATACAAGGATATTTTATCAACATTCTACAATAAAGTAATATTTAAATTGTTTCAGCACTAATTTATAATGAAGTTATGGAGTATGAAAACAGAGACAAAAGTAAAGATAAGCAAAGTGCTATGCAAAATCACAGTGGTGAGTATTTCTTTTTTTTTAAATGTAATTTTGCTGTCAAAATCAGCTGTGGACAATTTTAAAACGAGGTTTTTTTTTTGGGAGATTTTTAGATCGGTAATATAACTGACACACTTTATTGGTAAGGGGAGGTTCAGTGATGTATTGTCATCTTTTGTAGATGGTGCAAACAGCATGGAGACTGGTGTGGGTAATACAGAGAATGCATCCAGAGTAGTAGGGGCAGCCTCGGCAACAAATCCACAGAATCATCACTAATGATGGCTTTAGTCTGTATATAGATCTTAACTTTTCCTGCCCCAAACATCACAACATCCATGTTCCATCCATGAACCTGTTTCTGGCACATGCACAGACTATTCTAAGAAGATTTCCATTTCCTAAAACTGTTCATGTGTTTCAGCTTTGGTTCAATCATTTCTCACCAAAAAATTAAAATTTTGAAAAAAAAAATATATTTTTTGCCATGTCAATTTTAGTTAGAAATAGGTAGGAAAAAATTAATAGTTGTTCTTTTATTGTTAAATCAGACATTTAAAATACACAATGAATATTTCAGCTTCATTATTTTAGTGAAGATGATTAATACTTTTTCTTGTTGATGGTGGAATATGCATCAACACAAAAAAAAAAGATTTTTATTGGCTGCAGTTATTTTTAAGTATATATACTCTTGCCCTTTCGATCTTCAAGGATGTCCTATGCTCTCGTGTAAAACTACTGTTTGGTATGCAATGTCTCAGGAGAAAAATGTATTCATAGATTTTTTTTTAAAGTATTTAAGTCTGAATTTCAGTTCATTTTCCAGTTATGCATTGTTCACAAATTCATGAATTTATTAAACAGTGTTTGTGTGCAAATAATTGCTGTAAATATTATTCCTTGTATTTAATGTGTTGACAAGCCCTTCATTTAGAAATTATAGTGCAAGTTGGTGTTGTATGTTTATGTAGTTTACCTGAACCAATGAATGCTGGAAAATGCTGATTCTGTTTTAGTTTGAAAATTTCAAATTCTTAACTCAATTGTAATACTTGCTGCAGATGTTGTTGATCTGTGCAGTTAAAGGTATGTGCAACTGCATACTATTCCAGTAAACTTCACTCTGTCAGCGTTACACATGGGACTAATGTTGACATCTAAATACAGTGTAGCGTAGTTTAAGATGTTTCCGTTTTCTCTTATAGGGTTTCCCTATATTTTTTGCAATTCATCCTATTGCATTGGGTTGAAATTTTGATGGGTACAAAGTACCCACTGCACTTCACCAATTGTGGGGCCATGGGTTGATAATTTGCTTGCTAAAAAAATAAAAATTAAACTTCTTTTTAAAAGTTGCTATTTTTTTAGATTTGGTGTTGGTTCCACAAAGATTGTGCATGTAGTTTTTTTTTAATGTGATATTATCTTGGTAATAAATAGGATGATAGGCAGTTGCATATTTCTTGATATTGGCAGGTAACGAACAGTTACTTTTTTAAAATAGCTTTTTCTTAACACGCTTTGTTTATCTTTTGTAAATGAACACTACAAAACTTTAAAATCCTGTATTAATTTAAATAAATGTTCAAAACTATTCTACAATTTATGTATATACAAAATCTCTAATTTACCACATAATGCATTTTCTATTGGATTTTACTTTGGGCTGTGCAGAAAAGTTAATTTAGAATTGTCTTAGTTTTTATTCTTTATGCTACTAATTGTTGGTTGTGCGTTTTGTTCATATTAAAGCATTATCATTTATGTTACTCTTTGCTATAAAATAGAATCTCGTACAATAGCCATTTCTAATGAAATTTGATGATTTTCCATTTCTAATATCACTTTGTTAATAGCTATTTCTTATAGGATTTTGATTAAAAAATAGATTGAGCTTTTTTTTTTATCAATTCAAACAAAATGGATTTTGTACGTTAGCTTACTTAAATTGCTTATAACTTGTCCAAATTTCCACTTAAGTTGAGCTAGTGGATGTTGTTCTGATCTCCATATCTATCCTTAGGCAGAAGGATGTAACATGTTACTTTAGTAATAAAAATGGGCACAACAGCAAAGGTTTACTCTAATTGAAGCTGATTTGGCTCAGTGAAATAGATCACAATAATGTCAGTTTTGGCAATCTTTTAGATTTGCTTCAATGTTTTTCTTTTTCTTTTAATCTTTTATATCTACAATTGTTGATTCTTAATATATTTAAATTTGTAATAATGTTTAAAAAGTTGATAGAATTTGTGTGCTAGAGGTAGAGTAAAAAAACAGTGTATTTCTGTATTTTTCAACATAAAATTACTTTTTTGTGTTGGGAGTCATCATATATGGTGGGTATATCCCAAACTCTTTTAAATGGAAAAGTATGCCCAGTAGATTTATAGTTAAACACTGGAAAATATGATAGCTATTCTCCAGTAGGCCTAAATATCTTCTATAAACAAGCATAGGTTAAAATTCTGTAGCAGTATTAGGTTGTGAAAATGTACTCTATCAATTGGCATTGTTAGCAGTGTTAATTTAAAAATTGTATAATTTAGGTATAACACAAAAAAATCATTTTTTATAGTGTTGAAAAAAGATATCATACATGTCAAATTTATTGACTACTTCACACTTTAAAGACTTAAAAGCTGTATAGTTTCTATCCTAGCTGTTTGTAGAGTTTCTTCTTAGTTCAAGCTTTTTTAACACACAGAATATCTATTACCCATCTTTATCTAACCATTAATTTATTTAGTAACACAGTAAAGTTAATAAAAGTCAGTTTTATTTAACCCTCTTTTAGAATGTTTCAATAGTTTAAAGTTTGAACCATCCATTTTTTGTGAAAGGCCAAATTAGATTCCAGTCATCTTTCCTTATTAAACAGCAATAATTAGCGATTTCTTGTCATTAGTTTAAAAATATTTTAATTCAAGTATTTTGTAAGAAATGTATTTGTAAGACTGGTTTTGTTAACACAACTTACCTCTGTTTTAATTTTTTTTTCAATAGAAAACTGACAAGTTACTCTGTCTTATATACTCTGATTTAGAAAAGGTTGTTTTATGTGAGCTGGTGTGAAAGTATTGTTTACTGTTAGAACTTATGTGTGGTTATTTAATTAGCTGACAGAGTCGATGAAATCATTTTATTGTTTTACTATTTGTACCAAGTCCAATTGTATATTTATATATTTCATTATATGACTTTGTACTATGTACATTTCTTATATTTACCACATGTAGAGAAGAAATTTTAAATTTGCAATTTATCTATTAACTCATTTGAAATGGGATTTTAAGATTTACAGGTCTGCCAGTTAGCTAGGCCTATACGCTGGCGCAGTACATTTTAGTATAGTGTAGATGTTAAAAAACTTTTATAACTGTAATTTTAACATTTTAATTTTACTTTTGGGCATATGCTCTTTTAAAAAGCATGTAAGAATTGTATTTTGTTATTTTTAAAACCTACTGTTAGTGTTACAAAAATGGGCAGATCTGAATTGTTTTCAGTATTTAAATTTACATGTATATAATTAGTTTGAGTGTTAGTTTCCTTTTTTTTCAACTCTGAATCTGGTCCTGTGTTAGCTTATTTTTGTCTGAGTGGTCTACAGTTGTTATTTTTGTTACCAGATGAAAATGACCCAGTAAAAATGATTTTGTAAACTATTTTCTTTGAGTTTTCTTTTTGTTTTGTTGTTCCATTAGGGTTTTAATCTCTAGAATTAAGAACATCATTTTAAAGGTTGAACATTATACACAGAGTTTCTTCCAGGCATCTCTTCGGGGGGGGGGGGGGATCTCCAACCGGAGAAAAAAAGTTTGGAAGAAACACCGATTATCCATGCTCAGAAAAAAGTGTTTTCACTTATTTACTTGTAATTATGCCTCTAATAGTAATTTAGAACTAGGAGATGCCTAACTTAAACTCTTAGTGGGTATTAATAGAAAATAAGGCCGGGGGGGGGGGGGGTGCTCGAATACTCTGCATGTTATTGCATATGGGATATCTTTTAATAGCATGCATCAGTGTGTAGACGTAGGTGGTGATTTGTGTCTGGGCCAGTAATGTAATCAGATGACCAAGAGGTAATTGATTGATAAAATTTGATATTTGCCTTTTTTTTCTAGCTCTGCCACTCGCCCAATCAAATAAAATTCAACCTATCGATTCTGTTGCCTGAAGCTCAGTCGCATGAGATTCAAGCTAGGTTACGGTGGTAAAAGGTCACTAGCTCATGCTAGTTTGCCAAATTTAAGTGTCGAGATTCATGTGCATTCAAGGGCGCTTTCTCCAAGCTAGAAAAAGCAAACTGGTTGTCCAAGTTCCAAAATCCAGAGAATATCATGGGATTGTCAACGTAGCCTGCCTGCTCCCACTAGAGCGATTTCGCTTCTTGGTCCTAGAATACAATGAGGCCAACTGACTGAATACACAGCTCACGTCTAAGAAGAGACCTAAATGCCGATAGCGTTAGAAAATGTAAATTTGTTACGTGAAGATCTGCTAGATCAGAGTTTCTTCCAGGCATCTCTTAGGGGGGGGGGGGGGGTAGAAAGTCTACCCCCCCCCCCCCGAACGAAATGGAATTTATATAGAAAACATACTTTTACCAGTGTCCGCCCCCCCCCCCCCCGGAAAATGTTGACCGCCCCCCCCCCCCCTCCCGAGAAAAAAAGTCTGGAAGAAACACTGTGCTAGATCTAGATTATACATGAACTCTAATAAGACGCAGTTTAGCGGGTGAGGATAAAGAACTTACAATAAAATGTGAATCTTGCAACAACAAAAATTATCCCATTTGCTTAAAAAAAAGAGAAAAAAAAGTTTTTAATTTTTTTTTTCAAATAGATCCTTAGAGGTTGAGAAATGTTAAATCTGATAGTCTATAGATCTACAACAAGATCTAGATTCTAGATTAGATCCTGCGGCTAACTGCGAAGGCACATTCTGATGTCACATGATGAAGAGGCAATTGGTTCCCGTTGCTAGGTAAATGAAAAGCGGGATTCTCAGGGCATGATGGTAACTCAGTATTGTTCCTGAAAAGTTTGTGTTACATTTTGGTTGAAATCTTAATTTCTATACTCGATACTAAATCTGGTTATCGAGAGTCTAGATCTAAATCCAGATAATATTATCTAGATGTTAATATACATTTTGAAAAAGTAATAGATCTACTTTAATTACTTTAACTCAATAGATTACTTACAATAACATGGCAGTCATAGTTTAACAAAAAATCTCTTACATCACTACCGTCACTACGCCTAACTAAACTAAAACTTACTACTATAGACTATAGATAGTAATAGTAACTATTAGTAACTAACTATACTTCTTCTTAGGCTACATTAAATTCCCAAGATTCGGTCTAACACTCTGACTTCTTAATGTTTAAATCAAGTGTAACACTCTGACTTCTTAATGTTTAAATTAAGTGTAACTGGGAAAGCTTTGTACATATAGTATTAGTATATATATATTGAATTCATTTTATCCATTTGCAACTTATTTTTACAATGTATTTTACATGATATATAATTTTTATGTTAGCTGTGAGGCCTAGTGCAATAAATAATATAAGCCATGAATGAAGAAGACAATCGTCCAGACTTTTATAACAGACCATACCAGAAACCTGACTATTCTCCTGATCACTGTAAAAGGCAGCTGGTGATGGATTTTCCAAAAGTATGCATTTACTTCTACAATCAAATTTTGAATTAACTTCTCTAAATAGGGATATGTATTATAATACAAAGATCTAGACCTAATTACTAATTAAGCTTTATAAATAAAATTGTAGGCCTATTTGAAAAAACACTTTCATCACATAAGCCCCATTCAGATTCAGGGCTATTTATTTTTACAGTATTATATATTTGCAAGCTAATATCAATGAGCCAAGTTTCAGAATTTTCTTATTTTAAAAGATATTTTAAATATAAATTGGTTTAAAAAAGTATTTTTTTTCCCACAGCTTTACATGGTTGATATAACCGCCATAGCAAGTTTTCATCAATGGCAATATGCTAAAACTCACAAGTCTTTATGCTTGATCATGGCTGAGCTAGAAAAAACAGGCAGGTTTATATATAGTTATATTTCAGAGGCGTAGTGAGGGGAGCAGGGGGGTGCGGACCGCACCGGGTGACACCATTTAGGGGGGTGACACCAAGGCAAAAAATAGCAAAATATATAGAGAAAAACTTGAGGGGGGGGGGGGGTGTGCAAATCGAAAGTTTGAGGGGGGGGTGCAAATAAAAAATTTGAAAGTTTGTCCCTGGGAAGGGTCGCTACGCCTTTGGGAGTGACACCATTAAGTGCCGCACTGGGTGACACCCGACCTCGCTACGCCACTGTTATATTTGGCATTGAAATGTAAAGTTCATATGGTTTCTAACAATTTTATAAATTTGGTATGAAATCTTGTTTTTTTCTTTTATCTAAGTTGTGTAGTTGTGGGTTTAAGTTTAATTTTAAAGTATTTTTAAAATATACCCAGTCAACTTTTTAAAAAATTATTTAAATCACTTGCCCATAAGCCTGTGTTACAAACAGTATCATTGTAAAATATCCCAGTGGGATAGGATAGCATTCATATTCATTGCCACATCCCATCCACCTTCCATATTTGCTGCTTCCCATGCATCTTCCCTGTCTGATAGAAAATTCATGTGACCTTCCCCCCCCCCCCCCCCCCCCCCCATCAACAAAATAACTAAAAGAAACTGCATAAAAACAACAAGGATCATGGATGCACAATTTAATGATTTATTAATTTCTAATGCAATCAATACTCTTCTAATATAAGTCATTGGGACGGAAGACTTTAAATAAGTCTCTATAAGAGGTTATAAATTCAAAAACAATTTAATAAAATTGTTTCTGAATTTATAACCTTATATATATATATATATATATATATATATATATATATATATATATATATATATATATATAAAGCAGGTATAAACCTTCCTCCCAGTAGGCTAACAATATGTTCTGAATAAGAACATATTTGGTTAAGGCCAGAGGGGGGGGGGGTGCGGACCGCACCGGGTGACACCATTTAGGGGGGTGACACCAAGGCAAAAAATAGTAAAATATATAGAGAAAAATTTGAGGGGGGGGGGGGTGCAAATCAAAAGTTTGAGGGGGTGGGTTGCAAATCGAAAACTGAAAGTTTGTCCCCCGGAAGAGTCGCTATGCCTCTGGGGGGTGACACCATTAAGTGCCGCACCGGGTAACACCCGACCTCGCTATGCCACTGGTTTAGGCATTTAGTTCTCTAATCTGGATAGACACACAAACTCTTGTTTTATATATCTAGGCCAATATATAGAAATTAAGTTACTTAGTATCATTTTAGAGTAAGTGTTTTTATTGCCAGTGTGCTTTTTTTTTAGGTCCTGATAGCAAGCAGCCTGTAGATGTTTTGTTGGAAAATGGTAATCCATTTTATATATATTACATTGTTGAGAATTTATTTGCCAATGCTGTATTGTGTTCCCAGAGCCGGCGTTAGGAATACGCGGGGCCTATGGCCAACCATCCGCGCGGGGCCTTTCCATTATTTATATATATATATATATATATATATATATATATATGTGTGTGTGTGTGTGTGTGTATAAGGGCTATATAATGTGATGTACACATAATAACACAAATGTTTTGGAGTTTATAAGCTAATGTCAAACTTTCCACTATAATAACATATTTTTCTCTCCCATGTATTAACCCAATGTTCGTAGTTTTTTTTTTCCTTTGCTAAGATATTAAATCACTTTTGACAGTTATGTAATTCATACCAAATCACTTAAGAAAATTTAATCACGTGCCGAATAATTAGGAAAATAAAGTTTACAATACAGCGAACTCGGCCTGATGTATCAAAACAGTATAGACTTCAAAATTTGTTTAGAATTATACAATATTTTAAAAGCAAAAACATTATTGTCTTAATTATTGAACGGGTGAATCCTTAAGGTGATACAACATAACAACAGTTTTAACTTTCTTCCAAAAAATAATAATAAATCACTCTGTTTAATGCCGCCTGATATAGATCCTAAGGCGCCCCCCCCCCTCGTCGCCCTCCTCCCACCCCTCTGCACGCAACCGAATGTTAACTTTGTTATACCAAGACAAGTAGGCCTACATATAGAGTTTCTTCCAGGCATCTCCCTGAAAATTTCAAGTGCCCCTCTCCCCCCCCCCCCTGGAGAAAAAAGTCTGGAAGAAACACTGTACATATACGACATTATACGACATCTACAACAAGAAAGTCAGGACTAGAGTTCATCAGGTCACTAACGGTCTACTACAGACATCCCGAACTGCTCACTAAAAGGACGTCTTCATGGGTCCGCATAAAATAGGGTATCTCTTTACGTCGTGGGCTAATTCTCGACCGCCATCTCCAGTCAGCTCAGGTCAAATGCCAGGCGACCGTACCCTACACAAAGGGAAGGCGTGACACTATTTTTGTATCGAATTACGGCCTGTCCCAGTTCAGTTGGGAATCACCAACATCAACCGTGGCCTCAGTTATAACAATCAACAACGTCGGCATTCGATCATTTAGTTTTTCCCAATTGAATTCAGCAACAATTTATTTTTTTAAGTTTACAAACTAATTCAGATAACAATGACATTGCTGAAGCGCGGGGCCCCTTCAAGCGCGGGGCCTATGGCGACCGCCCCGTTCGCCACCCCCTAACGCCGGCTCTGTGTGTTCCTGCAGACAAATAATTTATTGTTTTCCTAACTTGAAAAGAATAGATTTAAAATATGCAGTAATTGATTGTGTATTGTGTATGTTAAAGTAGTCAATAATAAACATTTGAAAAATCTATTTTAGATGATGGATTATCAAAAGTATTTGAGGTGCGTCGAATGGTTAGTAAGAGATCTGTTGGCAAAAAGCTTCAAAATGTGCCTTTACCCCTGCAGATAGAAGTAGATTTTGTGAATAGCACAATGGAATACCTACACATGGTATGTTGGTTGTATTTAAATTGTCAAATAATAGCCAACTATATTTTGTTTTTATTGTTTTCTTTCATGTACTTTTTTTAATTATTAAAAATGTAAATTAAAAAAATATTAATTAACCACATTGCAACTACTCTTAATACAACTGGTTGTATTCATTTTTAGGAACAGGAGAAACAAAAAATAGAATGTGCATGCTGCTTTGATAACAGTGAGTTTGAAAAAATGGCTCAGTGTATGGAAGGGCATTTGGTTTGTGTGGGCTGTCTTAATTCATATGCAGAAGAAATCATTTTTGGAACTGGAAAGGTTTGATTTTAAACTATCATCTGTTTGATATTTATTCAATGTATTTTTTAAAGTGTTGAATAGATTTGCAATAGAGCAACATAACTTTATTTTTTTTTTAATAGCACCTAAGCACTACTTTTTTTAAAAAAGGTATATTCCTACACTAATTTTATCTATTACAGTTTTATTTTATAATTTAAAAATTTCATCTCAAGTCGTCAACAAAATGTAAAAACAAAACAGACAGTGATTTTACAAGGCAGGTAGAAAAACTGCATTTCTATTTTTAGGTCACATTGAACTGCATGGCATTTGACTGTCAGACAACTTATCCAGAAAGTAAGTTGTTTGTCAGTTTAAAAGTTGTAAGCTACTGCATAAAAAGAATGATTGTTTGTGATGTTTTTTCTCTTTGCCATTATTAATGAAAGATTATTTATTTAGGTGAATTAAAAAGATGTCTTGAACCAAAAACATGGAGGAAATTGGAAGAGAGATCAATGGCGGAAAATTTGAGCACAGCCAACTTGAGTAATTTGTTTAGGTATTTATTTTATGAAAATAAATTGTCACTTTGCTTATTCATATAAATAAATTTTGTAATAAATATTAAAACTTGTATTTGCTAGCCAGTGTATGATTTTATAAAAAATAAAGTAGGAAACCATACAAACTGAAATCTTATCAACAAAAAGTATTCTTTTTGTACTTGACAGTTTGTAAGGGGCTGATCTTGTTTGTAGCTTGTACATAATTATGCACACAAATGTACATAGGTACTACAATCTACATGGTTATCCTATGGTATTTTACTTTCCACAAATGAGTCAGTCATTAATCAGAGTTGTGTGTTCTCTTAAAGCTGAACTCAAGACTTCAGGGTTAGCAGTTATTGTTCAAACTTCATAACTGTAAATGCAACATGTTGTCTTCCAGATGCAGTCAGTGTGAATTTGCAGCCATTTTATCTCCTTCTGTTAAAATGTTCAGGTGCCTCAGGGAGGAGTGTCAAAAGGTGATGATCTACTTTGTATGTTTCAATGTGTTTCACAACTTTGTAACAGTTTGCTGTTTTCTTGATACAAATTTCTAATGATGTATTGAAACAAATAAATAAAATCCACCCACAGACAGTTTGTAGAGACTGTGGTGTAGACTGGAAAGAACATGAAGGGTTTACATGTGCACAAATTGAGAAGAAGGATGAAACAGCTCTAAGGAAAGAGTAGTAAGTTATTACCATAAAGACCAATGTCTGATGCATAGATATCACTTGAAAAAAATACTACTCTATTTACTATCTAGTTTGAAGACTTACGTTATTAATTTTAAAATAAATTTTTCTAACAGTAGAATTTAAGTTGTGGTAATTGCACTTTTTATTAACAAATATAGCTGGCTATAGGTCAAAGCTTATCACTAAATCAACTCCAAGACATGTCAATGTTAAAAACTCAGTGATTAATGCTCATTCATTTTTTAAAAAAAATTGAAGCAATGTTTTTATAATTTTCATTTTGCCCATATTTTTATTTTACATTTTTAGTGAAGAGAAAATGACGAAAGCCAAAGTTCGTAATTGTGTATCCTGTAAAGCTGAATTCATGAAAGACACAGGCTGTAACAAGATGACTTGCCGTTGTGGTACTACAATGTGTTACATTTGTAGAAAGTCCAAAGTAAGTTCTTCACTGAATTTGTTGATGGAAATTATTTTTAAAACAGTAGTAGTATAATAGAAATGTGCAAGCAACACTTATCTCACTGTTATAATTTTCATCTCTTTGTGGTTAATCCTAACCAGATTGATTATAATCACTTTTGTGCTCATCCACGTGACCCTGGCTACGCCTGTGCAGAATGCAATGCTTGCTCCTTGTGGACTAATCCAGAAGTAAGTAATTAAAGTAATTTGTTAAATATTTAATGCATTTGCAATTTGTTAAATTTTGATGCATTTGCAATCAATTTTGCGTTAAAAATGTTTTACCGAAATAAAATTCTCATAGCAGCTTTGGAATCTGGTCTGATTATGAATGAAGATGTCTTGCAGATACTGTAATTGTAGGTTTTGATTAGTAATGATAGCAGTGAATGTTATAACATTTTCTAATTTTTTGTTACTTAAAACACTGAAGTCCCTTTTGATTGATGCATGCAATACTTTAATATCGCTTCTCTTTATATCTTCAGGAAGATGATGAAAGGGCTGTTGCTGAGATAAGAAAGGAAGCCAATGAGAGAAGAAAAGCTCTAGGTATGTAGTTGAATTAAGTCTAACAATATACAAGCAAGGATGGTAGAACCTTTACTACTAAGAACGGCACTAAGTTGTTGTCAAACCTTTTTGATAATTATAACTTAGGCTTCTTATCTACAGTGTAACACATGGTTGAAAGTTATAAATTTGTCCTCCTTAAAAGTAGTCTTAATGTCATTTGATTGTATAGAACTGATATTACAAGATATTAAATTTATAAATAATGAATATTTTTTAAAATTTGCACTTGTAACACTGCTTTTACTGAGATAAAATAACATAGCGTGTAATATTTTAAATAGGTTTCCTTGAAGATAAAATAATAGGTGCACCAAAGAGCCCCAAAATACCAAGCAAGGCGAAAGGAGTGGCACCTGTACCCCGGCCGCAAAACAATGTGCATATCATTGGTGGATTTGTGGTTAATCAAATTCCTCAGGTAAATGGGCAGTTAAATCAGGTTAATGATATGCCAGTTCCTGGAAATCGACAGCCAATAAATGTAAGAAATAGAAGAAATCCAAGGCCGCAGCAGAATCAGAGATATGATGACAATAACTTGGACCCATATAATCCATGTAATATTTCTTAATTAGCTGACATAAGTTGTGAGTTGCATAATTTTCCTTTTACTATTTTTAATAAACCCGCTAATGTTTTTATTCCATCACATTCCATGGCCTATTCCATCACTGTTTTTATACAATGTACATTTATATTTATAAAACATCAACAAGTTTGACATCTATTTACCTAATGAACTCAGTTTAAATGAGGAATTTTAACAATGTGTACTGTTTAGAAGTATATATCTGTATAGTGAGATCTCAACAGGTTGTCTTTAAACTATTTTTTTCCAGTAAACATTTTGTAAAACATATTTTGTTGTTTATTTATTGTGTTTTGTTGATGTGTAGGGCCTATTCTAAACAAAAATAAACATATTTTTTGCAAGAGCAAACTTCCATCTTAGTACCTGAGATACATTGTTTTGTGGATTTGCCTGGAACAATTTGCTGCATCTTGTTAATAAGAAAAGGAGACTAATTTTAAAATGATGGTCATTGTAGCAACAGTGGCTTTGAAGAATGTAACTGATTTTCAAACACCATCTTTTCCAACACCATCATGTTTAGCCAGGAGAAATTTTTGTACCCAACTTGAGATATGAAGTTTCTAATCATAAATCATATACCAACAGGACAGATGTTGTTTTTGTTTTTACTGTTCAGTCTGTGAACTACTACTTTGTATTTTGTTATGTGGTAAAGATTAAGATTCGTAGCCCAATGCACAGCACTGTTTTTCTTTCAGATTCCATAACAAGAGAAGATGCATGTTGTGCAAATCAATTTAATGCTTAATTAGTTGGTATAATTTCTCTTTACCCCTTCAAGTAGGATAATGAATTTTTATAAATTAGAATGCCTAATTGAAAGTGTTGAATTTTCTTGATAATTAATCTACATTAGCAGTTTTCAAAATGGGAGATGTGATTTTCTGGAGAGAAGCAGACTAATGTCTTAAGGGAGTTGCATTTAGTTAAACTGTACTGTATAGTGCCTAGCACCAGAAAATATGCCTTATCTGAGCTTATACTGTGTTATAGGCTGGTTCATGCAGAGGCAAGTTAATTTGTAATTGTCATTGAATTATCAAAATAGGCCAAAATAAATTAAAGGCAGCCTTAACAGTAGCAGTCGTTGTACTGTGTTCAGCATATGTAACTTTTTTCAATAGTGTCGGGAGGGGGAGAGAGAGAAGCAGTCGAATGCATATTATAAGAATGTTTTTTTGTAAAATTTTACTTTGTTCTATAATAATACCTAGCTAATTTGGCACAAGTTACTTATTTATGAACTACACAAAACTATTTACTAATACTCAAACCTAGTTTAGTGATATTAAATTGGTAAAATATATATCTTGTGTTTGTAAACAGGCATAATTATTAAACATTTACAACTGTAACTACTTGTTTTATTTTTTGTCGTTTAAAAAAAACGAATGTCCAAATCTCCTGTGGTCAAAGACCATTATCAAAAGAGATACTCGGATAGCCACTTCAGATTCCATGGTATTTGTCGTAATGCATAGGATGAAGGAAATATCTTTAGCAATCAAGTAAAAGCCTTTGATCAAGAACCATAACCTTCTTACAAGTAACTGGCCATTAATGGCATTCATCATGTGGGTATTTTCTTTGGGCATCAAAATTAGCTTTTAATTATTTATTTTTGGCATCCACAAATTTGTCGCACGTGTCACGCCCCTTAGCTACTCCTATGTATGTGGCTCAAATGGGCGTGCCCTATACACATAAGATAATGTAGATCGCCATATTAGGTCCTGAACATTAGAATCCCAAGGATGATAGGGAAGTAAGCAGCCAGTAACTCACGGTAATACAAAATAAACACAGAGAGACACATCACAAAGTTTATACTTGAGAATGTCCTAGGACAGTGGGGATCCAACGTTGGCACATCCCCAACTGGAGAGAATGTCTATAGGATAGTGGGGGGTCTTACGTTGGCACATCCCCAGCTGGAGAGAATGTCCCAGGACAGTGGGGGTCTAACGTTGGCACATACCCAGCTGGAGAGAATGTCCCAGGACAGTGGGGGTCTAACGTTGGCACATCCCCAGCTGGAGACAATGTCCCAGGACAGTGGGGGGGGGGGGTCTTACGTTGGCACATCCCAACTGGAGATAATGTCCCAGGACAGTGGGGGGGGGGGGGGGGGTCTTACGTTGGCACATCCCCAGCTGGAGATAATGTCCTAGGACAGTGGGGGTCTAACGTTGGCACATCCCCAGCTGGAGAGAATGTCCCAGGACAGTGGGGGGGGGGGGGTCTTACGTTGGCACATCCCAACTGGAGATAATGTTCCAGGACAGTGGGGGGGGGGGGTCTTACGTTGGCACATCCCCAGCTGGAGATAATGTCCCAGGACAGTGGGGGTCTAACGTTGGCACATCCCCAACTGGAGAGAATGTCCCAGGAAAGTGGGGGTCTAACGTTGGCACATCCCAACTGGAGAGAATGTCCCAGGAAAGTGGGGGTCTAACGTTGACACATCCCCAGCTGGAGAGAATGTCCCAGGACAGTGGGGGTCTAACGTTGGCACATCCCAACTGGAGAGAATGTCCCAGGACAGTGGGGGGGGGGGGGTCTTACGTTGGCACATCCCAACTGGAGATAATGTCCCAGGACAGTGGGGGGGGGGGGTCTTACGTTGGCACATCCCCAGCTGGAGAGAATGTCCAAGGACAGTGGGGGGGGGGGGTCTTACGTTGGCACATCCCAGCTGGAGAGAATGTCCCAGGACAGTGGGGGGTCTAACGTTGGCACATCCCCAGCTGGAGAGAATGTCCCAGGAAAGTGGGGGTCTAACGTTGGCACATCCCCAGCTGGAGAGAATGTCCCAGGAAAGTGGGGGTCTAACGTTGGCACATCCCAACTGGAGAGAATGTCCCAGGAAAGTGGGGGTCTAACGTTGGCACATCCCAACTGGAGAGAATGTACCAGGAAAGTGGGGGTCTAACGTTGGCACATCCCAACTGGAGAGAATGTCCCAGGAAAGTGGGGGGAGGTCTTACGTTGGCACATCCCAACTGGAGAGAATGTCCCAGGAAAGTGGGGGTCTAACGTTGGCATATCCCCGACTGGAGATAATGTCCCAGGACAGTGGGGGGGGGGGGGTCTAACGTTGGCACATCCCCAGCTGGAGAGAATGTCCCAGGACAGTGGGGGTCTAACGTTGGCACATCCCCAACTGGAGAGAATGTCCATAGGACAGTGGGGGGGGGGGGGGTCTAACGTTGGCACATCCCAGCTGGAGAGAATGTCCATAGGACAGTGGGGGGGGGGTCTAACGTTGGCACATTTCCAGCTGGAATGTCCCAGGACAGTGGGGGTCTAACGTTGGCACATCCCCAGCTGGAGAGAATGTCCCAGGAAAGTGGGGGTCTAACGTTGGCACATCCCCAGCTGGAGAGAATGTCCCAGGACAGTGGGGGTCTAACGTTGGCACATCCCAACTGGAGAGAATGTCCCAGGACAGTGGGGGTCTAACGTTGGCACATCCCAACTGGAGAGAATGTCCCAGGACAGTGGGGGGGGGGGGGTCTTACGTTGGCACATCCCAACTGGAGATAATGTCCCAGGACAGTGGGGGGGGGGGTCTTACGTTGGCACATCCCCAGCTGGAGAGAATGTCCCAGGACAGTGGGGGGGGGGGGGTCTTACGTTGGCACATCCCAACTGGAGAGAATGTCCCAGGACAGTGGGGGGGGGGGGGGGGGGGTCTTACGTTGGCACATCCCAACTGGAGAGAATGTCCCAGGACAGTGGGGGGGGGGGGGGGGGGGTCTTACGTTGGCACATCCCAACTGGAGAGAATGTCCCAGGACAGTGGGGGGGGGGGGGGGGTCTTACGTTGGCACATCCCAACTGGAGAGAATGTCCCAGGACAGTGGGGGGGGGGTCTTACGTTGGCACATCCCAACTGGAGAGAATGTCCCAGGAAAGTGGGGGTCTAACGTTGGCACATCCCCAACTGGAGATAATGTCCCAGGACAGTGGGGGTCTAACGTTGGCACATCCCCAGCTGGAGAGAATGTCCCAGGACAGTGGGGGGGGGGGGTCTAACGTTGGCACACCCCAGGTGGACATATATGACAAGTTTAACTCAGTGTTATCCTCCTGTCACAGAAGCAGAATAACTCTACGCCGCATGAACCGTCATTTTCGAAAAGGGAACTTTAACTATTATTATGATATTTAATGATAGAGTTATTTTATACTCTAATATCTATCCTTTTGTTTTCTATTCTGGTTTGCACAGCTGCGTTCAAGGAAGGGGGGGGGGGGGCGTCGTCCATAAATGACGTCACACTCGTGGGGGAGGGGGTTGTCCGTAATTTTATGACGGAGTGTGATGAGAGGGAGGGGGGGGGGAGTGTTCAGATGGTGTGACGTCACACTTTTGAATTATATAAAAATCAATGTTAGAAAACGAATTTTAGCCGTTATTTCGCATTTTAGAAAAATGTTTTAATAAATTAAAATACTCGATGGAAAAATATCGTATTTTAAAAAGATTCAACTGCAAATTTGAGGAGGGGGTAGGGGTTGTAGGCTGAGGTGTGACGCCATTTTAGGGGAGGGGGTCTGGCTTTTTGTGACGATGTGTAATGGAGGGGAGGTAAAAATCTTTAAAAAATGCGTGACGTCGTTAATGGATGACCCCTTCGCTATTGTGGTATAGTGGTAGGGCACATCGGCCACAGAAAATGATAATTTATGGGGTTTTACTTTAAAGAGTAAAGTAGTAGTCAAAATTAAAGCCTGTGGTTAGACTGCCTTCTTAAATTAAAGTATATGATGCTAATTTTAAACAGGCCATCCTGGTAAGGGCAGTGGTGTCCGATAGTAGAATCTTCTTTATAAAGGAGTGTAATACCGCGTTTACACTTGCGACATGTATACTAATACTATACATGTCTAGAAAAAAAAACTTCGCTATAGGGCCTAAGTTAATAGGGGAGCCTACTCACTTATTGCAAAGGTTTTTTTTTTCTAGAAATGTATAGAGTCCTTGCAAACACGTGACCTAAATCACGTGATACCTACGCCCGCCGCCACAGTGGTGTACATCAGACGTAAACACAATCAGCTGTTCGCCAGCGCTGGACGTGTTCACCAGCGCTGGACGTATGTAAATAATCGCGCCGCGGAAAAGGAAAAATACGTTAAAAAACTTGAACTCTTAGGAATTGAAGATCCTTATACAGTTATTGACAGTTTCGTGGATAATATAAATATGTGGCCGAAATTTCTAAATAAAAATACTGTTAGTAATACCGTTTGCGTTTAGAGTTTAAGTAGACGAATCTGATCAAATGCAGTAATATATTATAGGTTATCTACTGTAGCAAACGTGAGACCACTTAACTCCTACAAAACCCACACTACAACGACTAATATAATCCATGGGTAATAACCAATCTGGGTAGAATGTTATACAATTTAAGACCCTTATAATCCAGCAGGGAAGTGATCAGACACATTAATACTGATGTGCAACCCTCATGATTTCCAGCCGCCACCTGTATCTAGCCCACAATAAAACCAAAGAGGAGTCTGCCCTGCCCTCCCCTGAAAATGTCTCACCTCCGTGATACCCAGCCCCACAGAGATAGTATTTCTTATATAATTTTGACCCTCAGGGCCCAGCAGGGAGAACAAAGGGGAAAATCCCACTGCTCTCCCCTCAAGATTTCTCACCTCGGTGTCATGTTATGTCATTTATAGCACACATGGCTTATCAGGGGAAAGCATTAAGGCATTAAGAATCTTAACTCTGGACAGCTACACACTAGTATACTAGCTACACACTAGGTGCCTACTGTAAACTACTAGACTGTAGGCCCTATGTACACCTGCAATTGTATCAATTGTAGACTGGGTCCATTGTTATTATTCTAAACCATCTCGCTTATAATGTTTCTAGCTTGATTTGTTTCTTTTATAAACAGTGGATTTTTAAAAAAAAATTAGCCTAATCATTAACCAAATAATAATAATGTGGTTATTTGTTGTTGGCTGGTATGATCTAGATTGTACTACTAGGCTACAAAAACTTAGTAGACCAATTACTAGATATGAATTTGAATTTAATTAAACTCAGTCCAGTATCAGATACATATTGCTGTAAAAAGACAACAAAGTAGGTAGGCCTTAGTAATTTATTAAAGCCTTCTACTACAATAATATCAACTACATGCTTGTATAAAGTTTTTACAATTTAATTTAAGTAGCAGATTCTAGATCTAAGTCTAGTCATACAATCTATTTCAATTTCAGAAAATATCGTTTGCTAAAAAATGATTAGATTATAGAGCGAGATTTTAGATCTTAGAGACAATTAAATGCTTTATTAGGCCTATTATGACTACTTTTGATTTATTATGGGTGTATTTTGAATCGAATGTAGATCTAAATTTTGTAATTAAATTTAAGTAAAGAAGTAGATTCTATATCTACCCAGCGGAGCCAGTCATCCTAAATCCAGAATCTAGATCTGTGGTCCGAATTTTGTTTACGCCATGTTTAGAGCTAGATTCTAGATCTAGATATTAAAACACTATTATTAGGCCTACTAATAACTATTAGATCTTATTATTCTTATTATTACTTTTGACTTTGTCTTTTACTATTAGTATTTGTGAAGGTCGAGCATATTTGTTTTATTAATAGATTCTAGTTATCTTTTATAATTAAAATGAAGTTAATTATTTTACCGTCCTTACATGAAACAAAGTATCGAGAACTGCATTGATCAGATTCGTCTACTTAAACTCTAAACGCAAACATTGTTACTAACAGTATTTTTATTTAGAAATTTCGGCCACATATTTATATTATCCACGAAACTGTCAATAACTGTATAAGGATCTTCAATTCCTAAGAGTTCAAGTTTTTTTTTACGTATTTTTCCTTTTCCGCGGCGCGATTCTTTACATACGGTGAACACGTCCAGCGCTGGCGAACAGCTGATTGTGTTTACGTCTGATGTACACCACTGTGGCGGCGGGCGTAGGTATCACGAACGGACGTGACGTCATATGAAAGGACTCTATAGTATACATGTCGCAAGTGTAAACGCGGTATTAGGTTATTGGTAGTTAACTAAAATACACACATAGCTTGCTAATGTCAATGCTAACCATATCCCTAAACCCAACCTTAATTTCTAACCATAAAACTAGTCGAGATTACAATACTATTTAGAATCTACAACTTAACTGCCTAGCTTTACCTAATACACCTATTTTTTGGAGAGTCCATTTTCGGACATAGGTATCATAGTTACTAAGATCTCTAGACTACTTCTATTCTCTGGTATAGAAGAGCTGGATTTTTAGTGCATTCTGGTCAGCCGGTTGTGTTTCCGAAAAAGTTTGTGCCACTAGCACATTTAATTGTAGGCCTAGGCTAGATCTAGATTCTAGATCTAGAAGACAATAGATTTGAATGAGTAGATCTAGATTCTAGTTCTAAATCTAATGTCATTATTCTTATAGTTTATTGTATTATATTTTAGGTAAAATCTTAGTTTAGCGTCGTAAATTCCAACGTAGCTAGTAATGTGCGATGAAGGTAACTAATGAATATTTCTTTCATTTGGCCATATTTATGTCATATTTTACATAACATAACAGATAATTGAACAACAAATCATAATCCAAGACCTAACCAGTCATAAATATCCTGGAATAAACTTTAAACTACCCCGTTCGAGACAACAATGAGTAAATACAAGCAGCGGCCATGTTTTAAAAACAATAAATTGTCTATTCGTATGTCTTTTGTGTTGATTTTGTGGTTTAATATGATTGTTTTGTATTGTTTTAATATATGCCGGGGGTCGTCCATAAATGACGTCACACTCGTAGGGGGGAGGGGGGTCCGTAATTTTGTGACGTTGTGTGATGAGGGGGAGGGGTTCAGATGGTGCGACGCGTCACACTTTTGCATTTTAAAAAAGCAATGTTACAAAACGAATTTTAGACGTTATTTTGCGTTTTAAAAAACTGTTTTAATACATTGCAATAACAATTGATTAAAATACTCTATTTTGACAGAGTTCAGACAAGATTTTGGAAAAATATAGCTGTTTAAAAAAAATTCAACTGCAATTTTGAGGGGGGGGGGGGTTGTAGGCTGAGGTGTGACGTCATTTTAGGGGGGGGGGGGGTCTGGCTTTTTGTGACGGAGGGGGGGGGGGGGTAAAAATCGTCAAAAAAAGCGTGACATCATTTATGGATGACCCCCTGTATAGTAATTTTTCTTTTTTTTAAAATATAGTTGACATGAATGACTAATAGACCTTATCAGACTTAATAGTGTGCATCCAAGACCACAACAATTGTTGGGAGGTCGAACTTTTGAACACTTTATTTGCAGTAAGCAAATCAATATTAGATCGCTCATAAATGACGTCGCTCTTAAGATAGTAATGACAGCGTGCATTATTACAGAGCAAACATATGAACATATTGTTTCAGATAGAAATTGTGATTTGTGGTGGGGAGAGGTTGAGTAGAACTCAGCGATGTGATTTTGGAGACGGGTCAGGTTTTTTTTCTCGTGAAAACGGGATGGTTGTGGGAGAAAGACCAGCTGTAGAAGTATGATGAGTCATTCATTGGTGATCCATTTTCTCAGTGGGGACGATAGAACTATTAAGAAGGGTCAAGAAATGTAAAAAGCTTGCCGAGTCGCATTTCTTGAACCCTACCTTTTTCATTCCCCCACTTAGCACATCGTCACCGAGTTAACGCTCGCGCGTGACGTCATGTAGCGGTACCGCCGACCGTTAAGCTAATTTTATAGAAAAAAAAAAACAAGCACTGCCTTTTTGACGCTTTTGCGACGTTTAGTTTGATTACATAAGTTGGTGTTCATTAAACAGCCCCTAACACATCTATCACTCGTCCATTTAAACGTACGTAGTTATTTCTGCAAGCTTGCTGTCTTGATACTTTCGGCCCTTTAAAAATGTATTAAGCTCACACCGTATAGAACTAGACTACCCATATTAAGCTCCAAAAGAAGCTTGGTGAAAACAGGATGGCCGTCCGATTTTGTAACTGCTCTGCGCTTTATAAAAACCACAATAAACGATAAGATGACACTTATATTAAAGTAAATTATAGTTCTGAATCTTGATACATTAAAAGTGATATTCGGAAATTAAGAGCCAGACAGTCAACATGATATTTCAATTTAAGTTTAAGTCCAAGAAAATAAATTTCCTCAAACGATGGAACATTACTAAATTTTCGCGCAGTTTAGCGAAATTGAATTTAAGTATTTACGTCATCTTACAAAGCGCGATAGCCTACTGGTGCTCTAACGCGGCCCATGCTAATGGCCGTATTCCTAACGCCCCGCATTAGATGCGGCTTATTCGTCGGCAGGCATTTGGCGGCAAGCCTTTTTGACGGGGATAATGTGTAGCGGCCGTTTTGCCAAATGTCTTAAACTAGCAGGCTTGCAACATTTGTGATGATTCGTTTTAAGCAAGGTATACGTATACTAATGCTTATTTATCGTTATTTTGATTGAACAAAGCATTATAGAGGTTCTCCATCAACCATCTAGGTATTTTTCCCCGTTCACCTCCTTTCATGAGACCGACACGTCATAAATTGCAAAGCCGCCTGAGTTGACGTCACAAATCTTCACTCACTCCCGTAGCAAATCATATGTGACATCATTTATGGGCAACCCCATATCACTCACTTGTGTACTTGATATTGACAATTTGACAACAAAGGATAACCAACATGTGTCTGGCAGGTGGAGACTTGCGATCGACCATAATGACAACACGCACTTAAGGGGTGGATTGGCTCATTGTTTTAGTTTTAGATTATGTTTTACGAGGGAAGCTGGTGGATAATACATTTTGTCTCTCTGTATATATAAATGATGACAAACATTTAATGTTGACAAAATTATGGTTAGAGATCTTAGATAAGGCAGAGTGAAGCGTATTTTTTTACATTATGACTTGTTGTGACATTGACGACAAAAATATGACGGAGGTTGGGGTTTAATTAAGGTAAAGAGAAGTAAAAAAATGTCATAAGTTAGAATTACTAATTGATGAAAAGAAAAACCTGAAATGAAAATAGTGAACATTCAAACAATAAGAAAAAACTCACAACTAATTAGTAATAGTAAGATCAAATAAACATTAGTAAAAAAAAACGTGATTTAATACATGGATACAAGTTGCATCTCACAATGCTTCTAGAATTAATAAAGTTGTTTGTTAGGAAATCCACATTAAAAAAAAAATGCTTTGTAATACGGACTACACAACAAGACGATCATATTTAAATACATTTTCATAAGAATAGAAATTAAAGGGAAGCTACTCTCAATAACATTTTCTTAAGATGGCTGCTGTTTTTAATAGCAAATTTACTATCTCGAACAGGGTTGATAAAAGTTAATTTCAGGATATTTAAATTGATTTAACCATAAATGGTGATCTATTATTCAATTATCTATAATATTTTATCAAAATATGCGAAAATATACTCATATTTAATGACATATTCATAAATTCACTCTCTCCCACATTACTAGTTTTGGCCGAATTTACGACGCTAAACTAAGATTTTACCATATTTTATATAGAATCAATAGATCTAGATTCTAGTCTAAAAGCAGAGGCGTAGCGACCCTTCCCGGCGCCCGGGGACAAACTTTTCGATTTGCAACCCCCCCCCCCCTCGAGCTTTCCATTTGCACCTCCCCCCCCCCTCAAACTTTCGATTTGCACCCCCCTCGAGATTTCCATTTACACCACCCTCAACCTTTCAATTTATCTTTCCAACCCATTTTGGCGCCCCCTAAGGTCGGCGCCCGGGGACATATGTCCCCCCCCCCCCCCCGCCCCCTCGCTACGCTACTGAGTCTAAGTCTATTGTATATTCTATAATATTCTATACTCCAAGAGTCAATACTCTCAAATTACTCTCATCAACTCATCAGTACTCTACTACTCAGTACTCATCACCCATCATAACCACTTATTTCACTTAATAATGTGACTTAACCAGTGTTTCTTCCAGACTTTCTTCTTGGGGGGGGGGGGGGGGGCACTTGAAATTTTCGGGGGACACACTGTTAAAAGTTAAAAGTATATATTATATATTTATTATTTTCTAGATCTATATAATATATAACATAAATTTTTATTTTTCTATTATTTTCTATCTAGATCTATATAGATTCTAAATTTTGTTTAAATTTTCAGATTCTTAATCCATAAAACCTTATGCCATATGTGGAACAGGAAAAACAGCAGCTACAAAAGACAAAAGAAAATACAGACTGTAGTTATATAATTATATAACTGTAGTTAGTAGTAGAATAGTAGATCTAGATCCTATTCTATTGTGAGCTGAGAAGTGTAAAAATAACTGATAATGGATTTTCCAAAAGTATGTAGATCTATCCACTTCTTCAATTAGTTTTGGATTGTTTTTCTACTGGCTCGACTAGTAACATAAGATGCATAACAAAATTACCAACAAAACTGCATCCCTAACTATTAACTTAACTAACTAAACTACTGTTGTTGTCTTTTGTCGTATAGCATCTGTAGATTAAGAGATAAAAATCTAGGCTGAAATATTTAAATTTTATCAATTTGATGGATATTTAAAAAACAAGTAGGAAATCACATATTTAAAAATCTAACTTATACTTTAATTTTACAAGGTTTTAGGGTTAAATCTCTATTTAATTAAGGGTAATAAAAAGTTGAGTCAGGTGCCCTACCAGTATTGTGACACAACTGAGCTAAATCACTATTCATAAGAATTTATTAAAGGTTTTAATATTTTTTGTATTTTCCAACAGCAAATAATTATTTCAATTGATGAATGCTTATTTATTTTCCATATTTATTTAGTGATATTAAATTGTAATTTTAGGTGCTGATAACAAGCCTCGTTTAGAACCTCTTTTGAAAAATGGTAATGATGTTTTTAAAGTTTTTCATACCAATCATCTTTGTAAGATTGGTCGACATAATATATCATTTATTATTTTCATTCTGTACTAAATCAATTAGTGATCAAATCTTGGTATTATGAAATAAGACAATACTATTTATTTACAATCTTACCTAAGATTTACTGTTTTAATTAAAGTTAAAAGAAAATTGCTTGTTTGAAATCTTTTGCCAGAGGCATCAAAATTTATTTTGTTTCTTGTTGTCATAAAACAGTTTGTTAAAAAAAAAATTTTGTGATAAATGTTTATGGGTATTGTGGCTTTAGAAATGTGGAAACAAAATTTTCAATAAATGTTAAGTTTACTTCTTACTCTTAGTGCACCATTTAAAATTTTTACTAGCTGCAAAGCCTATCAGTATCAGGCACACAAAAATATTAGATTTGATAGATTTTCCTCTTGTCTCTCACATTAAATGAACTAATTTTTGTCCCATTTGAGTAAGCCCACCATAACGGTACTATTAATAACCCTTTAATAGATATTAATAGCTTCACATACATGAATTCCCACCACCCCATTTTTAACTGACCACTTATCCTACTATGTCCAATCACCTATACATAGTTACAATTATTCCTAATTAGTATTTTGCTGTTTTCCAACTAATTGAATATTGAAATAAACCTATTAATATAAGAAACTAATAATTAGAAAGAAATTCATCTTTATTAAATTATGCTATACAACCAATTCAACTATACAGGAAATATTTTATAATAAATTAATACAAATGGTAAAATATGAACAAATTGTTTTTTCCCCGTTCCTGGTAATTCTTATTAGTTAATGTTAGGTATTTCTACAAAAATACTGACACATACTGACATGCTAATCATTATTTATATATCAGCACACAAGTGTAGCATTTGAAATCTATAGTTTAATAATGGAAAATTCTACTAAAAAATATAAATAACCCATTCTAATTTTAAAAGTTAATAGAATTATTAATCTTATTTCAATGAAATTATTAAAAATGCTCTAGGATTATCTAAATGGAGTAGTTTCCCTGCTTGTATAATGTTACAAACAAAGGTAGCCAATTATATACTCAGATAGACTACCTTATTCACAGCTGGGATTTTATTAATTATCATTTATTTGTTGAAGATTCTCAGACGGTTTGTTTTATCTTGCTTTTGACTTGGACTGTTTTAAACACTTCTCCAGTCTTTTTAGGACAATAGAAATGTGGGCTTTTATATTTACCAAACAGGAGAAACAAACAATAGAATGTGTATGCTGCTTTGGGTATTGTGAGTTTGAAACTATGGCTCAGTGTATGGAAGGCCATTTGGTTTGTGTTGACTGTCTTAATTCATATGCAAAAGAAATGGTTTTTGGAACTGGACAGGTTTGATTTTAATTAAATCTTCTTGATATTTGTTAAAATTTTATTAGTTTTGTTGAACAGATCGGCAATTTTCAATTAAGAATATGCACATTTCATGTCCAAAATTTACTTTGAGTATTAAATCTAATTTTTTAAAGTAATTTTTCTGTCATGTTGTCATTAGCTTATTGATTTATTCATTAAAATTCTTATGCTGTAAGAGGTGTTTTCATGCTAAATTTCGTTAAAGCATATAGCTATCTATATCTGTCATTAAAAGACAATTATCTGGCAGATCTAATATTACAATTTATTGTTACAAATACACTGCAGAACTTTATATTTCCATAGTGTTTACATTTTATGAATAATAACTATTAATGTTTAGTGACAGATAAAACTAGTAAACTGGTTTTAACATATATACTATTGGTCTGTTCTTTGTTTTAGGCCAAGTTGAACTGCCTGTCATTTGATTGCCTGGCAATCTATCCAGAAAGTAGGTTGTTGAGATAAGTTGAAATGCTTTGAGTATCTCAAAATTTATTTTTATGTTGTTAGATGTAAAAAAAAAAATTCTTTAAACCACATGATCTTTTCCTGTTTTTGCCCAAGAGACATGAGGCAGATGAAGTAGAGTTCATGTGTTTCAGTGACCTTGACATACAAGGGGATAGTGTAGTCAGCACTGCCAAGCAGCCATTGACTTAAGTCATGTACCCATCATAACTGAGTTGACTCAGGGGTATCCTACAGACTCAAGCACAGGATCCAACAGTTGTTTAGCAGTTGTAAGCTCTACCACTCAACCACACCATCCTATATTACTTTAAATAGTTGTCTTTTATTTTGCTTGTAACAATGCATTCATTCCCTTTCAGGTGAATTAAATAGGTGTCTTGCACCTATGACAAGGTGGAGATTGGAAGAGAGATCATTGGAGGAAAACTTAACCACCGCTAACTTGAATAATTTGGTTAGGTACTGGTATTTATTATTTTTTTAAAATGTCACTTTTCTATTTTTCATGTTTGAAATTGCTAATTGAATATATGAAAACTTGTACCATTTTCATATTGCATGTTTGATATGTGGATTTTAACAAATACAGTTGTAAGCTTGAGTCAGGTACCCCTCAGAGCTGGCTTTGCTCTTATAGCTGAGTGAAATGGGATAGCACTTTGTGGGAATATTTCATAACTTAGAAATTTGCCTTTCAGATGTCCTCAGTGTCATTTTGCAGCCATTTTATCTCCTCCAATTAAAGTCTTTAAGTGCCTGAGGGATGATTGTCAAATGGTGAGATCTAGTCTTTTTTTAAAAATGAATTTAGTAATAATACACTTCCATGTTTTAAGAAATATAAAGCTTTGTTAATCCTGCATTCAAATATATAAATTAAAAAAAAATTTAATACTTCTGCAATAAGCAGAAATAGGAGATAATAACTGAACAAATAACAATGCCACATACAACTTCAGAAAATATATTTTAAACATTTCCTTCCACTCAGAAAATATGTTAAAACGGTCAATCAAATTATTATTTAATTTATTATTAAATTCATAAAAATTCATTAAAATAGTGTCATGAAAGATTTATGCTTTAAAAAAAAATTAGTTTCCTCTACGTTCTAAATTTTAGTATTTGATAAGCATTCAATTCTGAAAGAACAAATGACTAAGCAAATTATTAGCATTGCATAATAAGCTTCACTTACACGATACATGTATTAAAGCAAGTTTTGAGGGAACTAATATGTATTATTTATGGACATCTAAAGTGGGTAGGCCCTATCTAGATGCTGTTTTCTTACTTCAAATAGAAATGCTGTTAGATACAAACAAGTTAACAAAAAATATTCACAGGTCATTTGTAGAGACTGTGGTGTTGACTGGAGAGAACACAAAGGGTTAACATGTGCACAAGTTGAGAGGAAGGATGAAACAGCTCTCAGAAAAGAATAGTAAGTTTTTTTTAAGACTAAAAGGTTTCCTTTGCCTTGAAAATCAAATAAAGTATATAGTGCAATTTTGTTAAACTTCCTTACTGACTAATCAGTGTATGACAATTCCTTACATTAAATAATACATTAATCAAAATTTATAGCAAAAAGTTTAAATACTAATTTTATAACTATTTTCATGGACATGTTTGTTATTGAAGACACTACTCAATTTTATTTACAAGCATCAGAGTTTTTAAAAATTGCAAAGTTTAGTGCTTGTTAATGTTAGTTTTTCTTATAGAAACCTACATGGGGGAGTAAGGGTTCTTGTTAGAGGGTTAATGTCTAGAGGGATTATAATCAGGAAGCTGTACAGTACCATTGACTTCTGAATAATACTAAAGATATCAATATCATCTACCTTCTGCTATTACAGGTCAGATGCTGGTTAATTGAGTACAAACATTGTAGGAATCTAGTTAATATGGCCTACTATTTAACATGCCCTTGAAGCATCCATTCATTAAGTCCATGATGAAGGGGGAGGTTTACATACAAAATTCATCCTCATTATGCTTAATACCATAAATGACAAATATCGGCTACAAAGCCATGGGTTAAGGCTCATCTAAAGTCAATCCCAAACAATAATATTGCTTGCTTATTGTGTGATAAATATATTTACATTTAGTTAATACTCAGAATTGATCATACCAATTACTAGATACTAGCATCTGCAATAAAAAAAAAATTATACATTATTCTGAAACTTTTATAGTAAGTTCCTGAAGTTCATTGTACTTTTCTTTAGTGAGGAGAAAATGACAAAAGCCAAAGTTCGTAATTGTATATCCTGTAAAGCTGAATTCATGAAAGACACAGGCTGTAACAAGATGACTTGCCGTTGTGGTACTACAATGTGTTACATTTGTAGAAAGCCCATAGTAAGTTCTTTACATTATTTTGTGAGCATTTTAAACAATGAATATAAAAAGTCTATATGCAATAATTGTGGTGACTCCCGAACAGATTGATTATGATCACTTTTGTCGTCATCCACGTGATCCTGGTCACCCCTGTGCAGAATGCAATGCTTGCTCCTTGTGGACTAATCCAGAAGTGAGAAGCTAAAACAATTTGTTTAATATTTAATTAATTTCAATCAATTATATTTTTAAAAAAATATTTACTACAAAAAATTCATATAGTCTGCTGCAGGGTGTATGTATGATCTAGTGTAAAGTTTCATTGTTGGTTGGGGTTAGTAAGGGTAACTAGGAATGTTGTTACATTTTCTAATATTTTTTTGTAGCTTTTAAACACTGACATCCCTTTTGATTGATGTATGCAATACTTTAATATTGCTTCTCTTTATATCTTCAGGAAGATGATGAAAGGGCTGTTGCTGAGATAAGAAAAGAAGCCAATGAGAGAAGAAAAGCTCTAGGTATGTACTTGAAGTAAGCCTGTTACAGACTAGATAGAAAGTGTATCTCGTTAAAGAAATACAAGATGCTTGTTCGGAATGACCAATCAAAAGCAATCTTCACTGTTACTAATATTACTTATTCGTCTTTCCATTTTTATTGTACATGATTTAGAAGACCTTTTTGTTTAGAACATTTTAAAAGATACTTCTGATGGAGCAGAATTTATGTCTGTGATAAGATTACTGTTAAACTTTTGAAATAATTTCTAGAAAAGAAACTTTATTCCCAGTTGTTTTAATTATTTTTTTTGCATATTTTTATTTTTCAAGTAAGGTGTTTATTAACATTAAACTATATTTTATACGCTTTTTAAAAAGGATTTCTTGAAGATAAAATAATTGGAGCATCAGATTGATGAGACAATAAATACTAGGAATAAAAATAAACATCACCTGGACCTACCAGATCCTGGAACTGGCCAGTCTATTGGCTAGGACATTTGACATCAGTGCTGTTTCCCAATGCACATATTATATAACATCAAGGAATTGGTAGTTTAATATCTGTAATTTTGTGTTATGTGAGGGTGGTGGTATAGATCATTATGTTCCACTACCTTTGATATTGTTATTTTGTTTTGCTATTAGGAAGGTGTTTTGAGTAAGTTGACACATCTGACTCACACATTTGTTATCATTTTGTTTTTAAGAAGTACAGTTCAACCAGTTTTTTAGCTAACTAGCAACATTTTCTAAGATGTTAATTTTTATATCTTGCCCCAGACGGGTTTTAGCTCTATCCTACTGAAGTAATAACAATCAGCAGTTGCTGTTTTAGCAAAAATGCTTTTCACAGAAGTTTGTATTACAGGGTCTAAATGTTACATGAGAGAACTATTGTATATGTTGTATAGGGTTACACATGTGGTTTAAAATTATCTACTGCAAGAGCCCATTCTGTAAATGTGAAAAGGTTGTGTTACTTGGGGTCAGAGTACATTTGTTGTTATATTTGATTTCAAATGTTGATAATATATTAGACCTAATGTATAAGATGTTAAACATAAGGTTAAACATAAGGTGTATGACTAAGTCAGTTATGATAGCAAGAGTGGATTACAGTCAATGTGGCCCCAATATTTGTGCAGGCAGGGATATTTTGTGTGTTTTTATTTATTGAAAGTATGTTTATATACCTATAATAATTAGTATAAATAGGCCCCTAAATGTTTATATATTTATTTTAAAACGTCTAAAAATAATTATTTTGTTAAATTTATAATATATATGTCTACACATTTATAAATAAAATTAAAATTTAAGCTTGTTTGTGTCCTGGTGAATTAAGTTATTTTACACCTCCACTTTGCTTGACATCTAAGGATGTTACAATCTGACACATACAATATGCCCGTTTGTGAGCTGACTTACCAAGACATAGGTCTGATGAAGTTCATCAAAATTTTTGAAGAAGCTTCTGTTGTTACATGACAATGGCAAATATTTGGCTGAAACAGGTGGTGTTTGTTAAATAATGTGGCTAGTTTTTATTATGAAAAAAGTCACAGAAAAACAGACAAAAAATGTTTTTAAAAATAGTTTCATTACTTGTTGAAAATTGTGGGTGGGTGGTTTTAATATGGGTAGTGTTTTTTTATAACATATTTATAAACCGTAAAAGCTCGGTTTTAATAATAATCAGACTTTGATCTTCACAAAAAGTAATAATTGTGTTACAAAATTATTTGAATACCTGGTAGAAAAATTAATTATATAAGAAATTCAGCCACATTGTTGTGTTTTTTGCAGGTCATAAAGGTAAGCTGTAAAGGTGAAAAAAATATTGTTGAGGACAAAAAATAATAACTATGACTATGTCTTCTTCCCATTTCCCACTGATTCAAATTTTGTATTTTAAAAACATGCTGAAAACTGAGTTGGTTGAAACATTCTACTTAATTATATTCTATAACAGATTAAAACCTACAAACTTCATTTTGTAGACTAATTTAAATAGTTTTACGTGGTTTACCAAACTAATGTAACTTTCCCATAGTTACATACTACTGCATTTTCATTGTACAAGATCTTTTTTGAAACAAAAAAGACTTTCTAACTACCAGAGTAGAAGAGAACATCTTTTGTTCATCTGTTACATTTGGTGATGCGAGCAGTAAAACCAAACAAGAGTATTCTTTAACGGCACTCGCATTGTTTACTGTGTCACCTGGTGAGGGTAACCTAATCCTTCCTGACACGCGCAGCCTAGACCTACCTGACGAGGGCACCCTACCCTAAGCCTACCTGACACGGGCAACCTAGACCTACCTGACGAGGGCACCCTACCCTAAGCCTACCTGACACGGGCAACCTAGACCTACCTGACGAGGGCACCCTACCCTAAGCCTACCTGACACGGGCAACCTAGACCTACCTGACGAGGGCACCGTAAGCCTAACTGACACGGGCAGCCTAGACCTACCTGACGAGGGCAACCTAAGCCTAACTGATGAGCGTACAAGACCGACGGTGATATCGTGTGTGAGGACCCGTGCTTGTCGGACGTGCACAAGAGCAATTGGAAGCATCGGCAGAACAAAGTGACTGTGGTTCATCGTTCTCAAATGTGACATTTTTATTTTGGAGCTATTTCATCAACCGTGGAGTACCAACCAGAGACGTAGCGAGGGTAGTTCGGGGGATACGGACCGCCCGCACCTGGTGACACCATTGGGGGGGGGGGTGACACCCAGGCAAAAAAACATCGCAAAATGTACAGAAGGAAAATGCTTTTTGCCAGTTCCATTAATGGTTAATTAAAGTTAGTCTTGTAATTACAAATCGACAATTATTACAACGTGTTACCTATAGACTCAATCTATAGAGAAAACAATTCTACACCCAACTGTATTACAGTGGCGTAGCTAGGTCGGGTGTCACCCGGTGCGGCACTTAATGGTGTCACCCCCACAGAGGTGTAGCGACCTTTCCTGGGGACAAACTTTCAATTTTCGATTTACACCCCCCCTCAAACGTTCGATTTGCACCCCCCCCCCCCCTCAAACTTTCGATTTGTACCTCTTAAAACACTATTTAACACTCGAATTAATCACTAAATATTAATTAAGTGGAATTATCATTTTTCTCTATATATTTTGCTATTTTTTGCCTTGGTGTCACCCCCCCCCCCCAAATGGTGTCACCCGGTGCGGTCCGCACCACCGCCCCCCCCCCCCTCGCTACGCCTCTGCTGTATTATTAACAGACTGTAGATAAACATCGTTACTATTAAGTCTCCAGTGATTAAAGTTTATACACATACATACGCTTGAAGTTTTTTTTTTTGGGGGGGGGGGCGGTCAACATTTTTCGGGGGGGGGGAGGTGGCGGACACTAGTAAAAGTGTATGATTACTCCTGCCCCCCCCCCCCCCCCCCCCCCCCCCCCCGAAGAGATGCCTGAAGAAACTCTGGCGACGTATATGATGGGCTAGTAATTAAATTAATTTCGTTTCCATTTCGGCGAAAGGAGACTGACAATTCGGCCAATCGGTGTGAGCCAATGGTTGTTTCCGTTTCTAGTAAAGAGCGGGGTTTCCAGTGCATGATGGTTAATTTAAGTGACCATTCAAAAAGTTGTTACTGAAAACAGAGTTGTAAAATGTAAACACACGTCTGAGACTGATAAATTTTAAGTTTGTTTTGTTTAAATTGTGTGTGTTAACTTAAAATCTAAGATAACTAGAATCAAGTGTTTAACGACCGGTAATCTATCGTTTTAGGTAGCCTATGTAAAATCGGCCAAGACTAGAGTACTAGAGTCTAGATCTAGATCTAGTAATGTGAAAAAAAGGTGACTCATTACATTGAATTAAAATTTTAGGATGTAGGCCGTTCGGTTCACAGTTTCTGGTTTTGTTTGTTTATAATTTAGATAGATTTAGATCTAGCCTAAAGATATGTTAACTCACGGTGCAAGCTCTCAAAGCAATTTACTAACATAACATGGCTGTGTGGTAGGGGGATAAAACCAATGATTTTGAAGCTATCGTCAATGACAATTTTATTACTATTAGAATATTAGTAATCGGAATTACTATACGCCATACGCCTACATGTGTTTGAACTTAAAATCAAATAACTTCTAAACTACGATTCTAATGTTAATCAGCTTATGATTAAAGTGGCTATTGTAGTATTTCTCGCTATCCCGGAGGCGTGGCTGGTTGCTAACAACAATATGGCGTACAGACCTGATGCATGACTTCCGACGATTTTTCGTCTTAGTTCCAGAGACCTTTTTAGAATTACTTTTAAAAATGTTTATCATGAGTAAGATGGCTGGTTTTCACGTTATGAAAACTTGCTATAGATAGCCTGGCTAAATATGCCAGAAAAGCATTTTAAAATTTGCTTTGGAGAATGATGGCTAAATTTTAAAGTCTGTGTCATTAACATTGATAGAACTTTTCAAATATCAGCCTGGAGAGTACAAAATGAATTGGAGGTTGTAGAACTATTAGGGTTATCAGTCTATGAAAAAATAAATCAAATATTGCTGGCACTTTTAAAAATAAGAGACGACTTCTGAATGACAACCAAATTGTCTAACCGGATTTGTTGTTTTCCTTAGCATCAGAATAAAAATGGTTGTCATGGAGAAGTGTGTCGTGTATGGCAGTGAGTGCCAATAAATATTAAATTAAGTAGGCCTAATTTAGTTTAAAACAAACTAAAAACTTCAAAATTAGTGCCTAATGGATTAAATATGGATGTCTATCATTCAGTGGTCATGTTTAAATTGAAAATTGGGTAAATTTAGATTTAGTAAGAAAATCTAGGCTATCCGAATAGCCCCAGCTGCTATAAGGGAAATGGCGAGGCGGTAAACTGCGAGAAGAAAATGCGAGACATATCTGCGAAATCACGGGTAAACAACAAAAGAGTTTGCGAAAAAAAATGTTTTTGTTTTGTTTGTTTTTTTTTAGTTATAAACTAAAGAAGCTGATATATCATGAACGTTGTGTTGTTCTTTTTTTAAAAATTTGATACACATTTTTCACAAATCATTTTGCAGGCTACCGATTAAATCGGATAAATAAAATTGGTATAAATTTAAAGGTAGGCCTAAATAAATATAGTTTTTAATTTTAAAAGTCATCATGAACAATAATGAAGTTTAAAATCTTAGGCGAGACCCTAAATTATAGTTAGAGATTGACTCTACAGATGGCCGCTGTTTAGATAGCAAATCTTGCTCGCAAACACTGTTGTTTAAAGTTGATTTCTGGCCTATATTGATATATTTAGCCATCGCTTTTGGTTTAATATTCAGTTATGTATTATATTTGACACAAATATATCACAATATGCTTGTATTAAAACCATAAGAATGAGGCACCTTTTTTCACATTACTAGCTTTGGCCAATTTTACGCACCTAAAATGATAGATTACCTAGATTTTGATTACCCAAATGTTCAGCTATACTTTTTAATTAGGACTACTCTACACTATTTCTTAAGGAATCCATGTATAGATCTAGATTTCTAGATTATTAACAGATCTAGAATTCTAGACCCTATATAATAATTTGTTTAGAATCTAGTAGATCTAGATATTAACCCCTTCTGACATGGTGGTTCATTTTTGTACACATTAGTTTTGACAAAATTTGGACGCTGTGTTGAGTTGACCCTTTTGAGTTAAATATAAAAACTCAAAACAATATAATATAAACAATCTAATGTAAATTAATTAAGGCCTATCTTTTTAATATTTATTTTTTATTTTCAGATTTGAACAAAAAAAAAAGCCAAGGGATTATCTGATTTTTTTCCGCCTTTTTCATTTTTTACAAGTAATTTAACAGATTGTGAACCAAATCTTTGGTCTAGCAATCATGAACGACAAAGAAAATTGGCCTGTAAACTTTTATAACAGACCTTTAATTAAGCCAGCATATTCTTCAGAAATTTGTAAAAGGCAGCTGATGATGGATTTTCCAAAAGTAATAGCACTTAATATTTTTAAGCCTAAATTATCTTAAAAATTGATTGATTTATGGCATCACTTTTTCTTTTCTCATATTACAGATAATAATACTTTACACAATAAACTATAGGCTTGGCCTATTGGAATTATTATATATTAAAGCCTATTCGATATGCATAATATTTATCAACAGAATGCTAAAAAAAAATTTTAAAATATTATAAGGCCTACAGATGAAGATTTTTAATTAAAAAGTTAAAAGATTATATGGTTATATCACATGATTTACCTGTTCCACAGATATATGTTCATGATATCATAGCAATAGCAAGTTTCCATCAGTGGCAATATGCTAAAACTCACAAGTCCTTATCCTCTATTATGGTTGAATTTGAAAACCAAGGTAGGATTTATCAGTTACATTTTGGTCTACATTTAAGATTTAACAGAATTGTAATCATGATTAAAACATTCTTTTTATGATGAATAGGCCTAAATTTTTTTAAAAATTTACATGTGTTAGTGCTAATTTAGTGTATACCCTTCTATTTCATTATTTAATTTTAAAAAAGTTCATGAATGACATGGGTTATATTGTCTAATGGACGCCTGCTAAAAATGTCATTGACAGAATATGACTCTTGGGAAATAAATAGTCGATAGTCTCATTTTTATATACATACACATACAAATTCCCTTACTTTCTCAGGTCAAAATGACATCTAAAATATAAGCCTAAAATTTTATCATTTTTAGGTTCTGATAGCAAGAAACCAGTAGACATGCTGTTAGAAAACGGTATTTTCACTTTTTAAAATATATATTTCAAAATGTCTATTTTTTTCTCATCCATTGTTACCATTTGTGTCACAATTTTTGTTTAACATTGTTGTAATATAGATGATAAAATAGAGAATAAACTTTTCAATACTCTTAGATGATGGAGTAGGCACAATGTTTACTGTGAGAAAAATGGTTAGTTTGAGATCTTTTGGCAAAAGGCTACCAGTCTTGCCTGCTGACCTGCAATCAGAAATTGATTTTGTAAAAAGCAGTAAAAAGAATAGTGTGGTAAGTGTTGTTTGATAATATTTTAATAATAAAAATAAAACTAATATTTCACAATAGGGAGTGAGTTCACAGAAAAAAAGGCAGAGTTTAGTTTTCATTAGGGGATTCAGGGTTCAGGTGGTAGTATGCTCAACTGCTAGTCAGAAAGAGCTCAGATTAGTTAGTAGAATATCACTGTATTCACCCACCTCTGATGGGTATCTGACTTACGATAGGGAGAGTACTTATGGAATATTGCCGACCAGACTCTCCCTTCATATCGTGAAATCAAAGAAACAAAATGAAATCTACTATATCTGCCCTATGACTGAAGGGTCCAACAGTATATCTTAACAAATGTATGTTTAAAATATTCCTACAATCAAATACTTATATGTTCATTAGGCTACATTTTTATTATTTTCTTTAAAAATACCCACCTTCAAATGTACTACTGAATATTATATAATGTTTGCAAGTTTTAAAATAGTGAACAGTTTCATTGTTCATCTTTAGTTTTCCTGTACCTTAATTAACATCTTTTTTTCCCACTAGAGTGAAGATATTTCATTTATTTTGGAACCAAACAGCTTCCCAGAGAAACAAACAATAGAATGTGTATGCTGCTTTGGAGATTGTGAATTTGAAAAAATGGCTCAATGTATGGAATGCCATTTGGTTTGTGTAGGCTGTCTTAATGCATATGCAAAAGAAATTGTTTTTGGAACTGGAAAGGTTTGATTTTAACTTTTCTTAATAATGCTTGATATTTGTTCAATATTTTTATAATTTTTAACAACATTCTTGAAAAGATAAAACAATCTTTTGTAACTCTTTTCTTCTTCTTCTTCGTTCTTAATTATTAGTGTGGAAGGGGATCGAGATTTATCTGCCAGTGGGTTTGAACTCGAGACTTATTTCGAATTTATCAACCATGAGCTTTTTGCAGACTCGACCACGCCTCCAACACAATTAAGCGTTATGTGTCAACTGGTTATGCGCCATTGAGGCCATTGACTCCGATTTCAGCCTGCTTTTCTTTTTGGATTTGCTTCCATAGCCTTTGTCCAACCAAGAACAAACTACAAGGCAGCAGTTGTTTAATTTTGGAGTTGTCTCTCCTAGAAGAGTGGCTGTCCCCAGCTAACGAGCCTCATCTGCCCGAGGGTTCGAACTCGAGACTTTTCGGTATAGCAACCATGAGCTTTACCGACTCGACCACGCCGACCCCTCTTTTGTAACAAAAGATAGTTTTTTCCTTACCTTAACAGTCAGTTAAATTTTTTACATATAAAAATTATTGTAATATCACCTAATAAAATTACCTGATAAACCTTTAGTCAATAATTTTTGTTTTAGGTACAGCTGAACTGCATGGCATTTGATTGTCAGACAACATATCCAGAAAGTAGGTTAAGTTATTTAAATACTAGTGATCTACTTCATAAAGAAAATTATTGTTTGTGATATTTTTTCACTTTATTACTTAAAGCGAGTTCTCTTATTTAGGTGAATTAAGAAGATGTCTTGAACCAAAGACTTGGAATAAATTGGAAGAAAGATCATTGGAGGAAAACCTGAACATGGCTGACATGAATGATTTGGTCAGGTAATGTTTGCTTAGGAACACACTTTTCTAAAAAATGTATCCAATTTATATACATTATGTCTCTATCTATATATATAGATATAGATAGATCTGATATTTTGTTTTTCCTCTACCTCAATAAAGTTCCATACATGGAGTTTAAATAATAAAAATACAGGTTTAGAGAGCTAAATTATATGGCTTTTTTAAAAAAAAATATAAAGGTCTTGTCACCATCACCTCCCCCTTTTAAGACATTTAACGAGCACAGGTGGATAAACTAAAAATTTGTATAGTGCATACATCACAAATTAGATATATTTCTATCTTCCAGATGTCCACAGTGTGATTTTGCAGCCATTTTATCTCCTTCAATTAAAATGTTCAAGTGCCTCAGGGAGGATTGTCAAAAGGTGATGGTCTATTTGAGATTTTTCAATGTATTTAGCTGCGATCTTAGATCTCTTTATGTAAACCTAATTTTGAAATGATTTATTGAAACAAATAAATAAAATCCACCCACAGGCAGTTTGTAGAAACTGTGGTGTAGACTGGAAAGAACATGAAGGGTTAACATGTGCAGAAATTGAAAAGAAGGATGAAACAGCTCTCAGGAAAGAGTAGTAAGTTATTAGCTAAAAGATGAAAATAATTTGAAAAACTGAGTCTTCTGATGTTCCCACTCAAATTCCAAAAGTACTTAGGCAGTCATCCATTAATGTTGATATTGTGAAGGGAGGTTGGACTTCAGTTAAATGGGGGGGGGGGGGGGGGGAAGAGAAGAGTAGTTTTGTTCATGTAGATTTTAATCACATTAAATTTTACTTAAATTATTAAAATATTAGCATTACAATATACAAAATGCTCTATAAATGTATTTGATTTTATAAAAAAAAAAGATATACTGAAAGTAACTGCTGTGAGGACTTAAATATTTTTTGGGAGAAAGGGGGTGAGGCTTAATTTGCTGTTCTAAAATTTCAAGGGAAATAAATCTAAATTTATAAGTCCATATTGTAGAAAAATAATTTTTTTTGCCGAATGAAATACAATCAGTACTTTAAAGAATATAGAATCTATTAAAATTTGACAGTATGTAGTTTTGTCTAAACTTTTTATTGAACTAATATTATTAAAAAAATGTATATATATAGTAGCAGTTAGAAGATTCTATTAAATAAAATACTATACATCCATAACTGTATTTGTAGTTTAGCCTGTTTTAAATTTTTTATAGGAGACCTTGCTAGAAAAATAATTCAAATTACATTTCTCTACATATCTTTCCTTGGTAATCTTTTACAATTTAAATGTCCTTTGATTTGTTCATTAAAGTGCATTTTAAAATTAATTTAACTGCCTACAGCCTATGTGTAAAATAGTCCGGCATTTCATTCAAGTCAGTATCATACTATGAAATAACTGGGTTTTTTGTTTTGTTTACATAAATATTTAAAACACAACAAAGTACTAACAAAATTAAATTTAAGTGAGAAAAGTCTAGCGGTAGAGAGCTGGACTCCTAACTCGTATGTCTCGAGTTCGAATCCGGGTTCGAGGCAGTAGACCGTCCCTGAGTCCACCCAACTCTGATGGGTACCTAACTCAAGTTAGGGAAAGTAAGGGCGGCTGGTCATAGTGCTGACCACTCTATCTCTTCATATGCCGAGGTCACAGAAACAAGTGAACTCTACTTCACTTGCCCTATAGACCGTAAGGTTTCGAAAGGGAACTTATTAAATCATCCATGTTAAAAAACATTTTAAAAAGCCAAAACTCATAAAAGTACATTGTTTCCAGTGAAGAGAAAATGACAAAAGCTAAAGTTCGCAATTGTAGTTCCTGTAAAGCTCAATTCATGAAAGACCAAGGCTGTAACAAGATGACTTGCCGTTGTGGTATAACAATGTGTTACATTTGTAGAGAGTCCAAAGTAAGTTTTTTGTAAATAATTGCATGGGATAAGCTTATTTTAACAATAAGTTAGCGAATAAGACTTCACGTTTCAATATAGTAATAGACTTCTAGTTATAATTTTTGTACTTGTGATGTCTCCTGATCAGATTGATTATAAGCATTTCTGTGGTCACCCACGCGATCCTGGACAACCTTGCAGATTGTGCAAAGCCTGCTCTTTATGGACTAATCCAGAAGTGAGTTGAAAAATGGTTAATTCTTTTTAAACCAATGATATGTCCATTTTTAAATACTAAAATATTCTAAATGTTAATTTTATCACTTGATGTTGTGGAAAATTCTGCAGCCATCAAGGTTGCATAAAATAAGTCTGATTTAGTATAAGCTTTACAATTTTGTTAGCTAACATAATTGGGGATTTTGTATAATTTTTGGCATTTTATGCAGAGTTTAAATATTGACCTTGATAGTGTGAGGTTTTATTGTAATTTATGGTTTTATATTCCATTACTTTCAGGAAGATGATGAAAGGGCTGTGGCTGAAATAAGAAAAGAAGCCAATGAGAAAAGGAAAGCTCTAGGTATGTAGTAAAAAAAAAAGAATGGCAAGTTAAGACTAGAGTAGTAGAGAAGTAAATCTGGCAAGTTACAGGTTAGAGTAGTAGGTAACTAAATCTGGCAAGTTTTATTTTGACCTCTACAAAAAAATTAAATACTCCTCCCTGCCCACATGATGGGCACATCAAAGATTATGGTAATTTCAAAACTTATTTCCAGTATATCAATCAAATGTGTTAATTTAATTTGCAACACACTTATTGTTGCCATATTTTGTCATGATGGGCATTTTTGACCTGACACAAATAATAATCCACAAGTGATCTCCCCTCCTAAAATTGATAATGAAATTAAATTTTTGTATCAGCTTGCTTTGTGTTAAAAATTACCTTTTTTGCTTTATTATACTATTTCCTTTTTGCCAAGGTTTTGTTGAAGATAAAATAATCGGAGCACCAGTTACTCCTAAAAGACCACTTGTGGAAAAGAATAAACAAGCACCAAGGCTACCAAACCAACCTCCAGCACCTAGGCTACCAAACCAACCCCCAGCACCTAGGCTACCAAACCAACCTCCTGCACCAAGGCTACCAAACCAACCCCCAGCACCTAGGCTACCAAACCAACCTCCAGCACCTAGGCTACCAAACCAACCTCCAGCACCTAGGCTACCAAACCAACCCCCAGCACCTAGGCTACCAAACCAACCGCCAGCACCTAGGCTACGAAACCAACCCCCAGCACCAAGGCTACCAAACCTGCCTCAAGCACATGAAGCACACAGGGCAGGTAACATAAACAGGAATGTTTACCAGCCACCAGGATATTTCAACAGAGGTCAAAACGTCATGCAAGGCTTAAATGGGTATATCATGGATCCCCTTCCTCCGGTGAATGGGCTATTTAATATTTTTAACAACTTTCCGGCCTTTGACCCAACGAGACCACCTCCAGCACACATGAATCATCACCAATGGGAGCCACATTTTAATTTTGCTGAGAGGTGGCAGAACCAAAGGTATGATAACTTCTATGAAGACAATGATTATATTTATTTTTGATTCTTATGCATTTATAGAGCTTACTTATTTTCAAACTTAAAACAAATCAAAACCCTGACTTTATGTATTATGTTTATTATTTTAGATTTTTATTTAAGTCGTGTTATTTTGATTAACAAATTATACTTAGATTTTAGACAAACCTATGACTGACAAAATTGTTGAACCTTGTTTCTGATGTTTTACATGTTACTATTTCAAGTCTTTCAGTCCTAGTTGTACAGAAGTATTCATTCACTTCCTTCTGCGTTATCTAAATTATGTAATTACCTGTCAATAGAAAATGCAGTCTTTCATCTTTAGGACTTGAATATGTCTCACATAACTCCTACTACTACATTGTGTACATTTATTTTTATAATCAACTGTTTATTACATTGTTTCAAATTGATGTTTACTACTTAGACATCTGCCTTATATGTACTGTAACATAAGATGTATCACACTTAAAGGTAGATCTGCTCCCTACATAGTCAACTAATCCAGTTTTTTATATTTATGTACTTGATTTCTTAAAATAAGTTTTTTACATATTCATTTTTGTATGCCTACATTTCACTGCCCTATCCAAGTATTAATAGCTGCAAATATTGATTCAAGGATACACTTTTTTAGGTCTAGAAGTTTTTACCCACTCTTTCTATCATTTGGTCTTGTTACGTTACTTAAAAACATGTGCCTTGAAGTAAAGAGCTTTGTTATTGTTAATTTAAGGATTGAATCTTGTTGACATGTAACCCATTATGAAAAATAGAAAATATTTTTACTTATACTATAAATAATACAAAACTAAAGCAATTTTATATATAAACTCTTTATGATAGTTCCATTCAGCCTGAAGATTTCTGGTTAGTGTTAAGATGTCAGTTTGGTAGATGTTGAGTTTTAACTATGGAGTAGACTTCAGGAAATCTGTTATTGCACTATAATTGTACTTAAATCATTTATAGTTTTAAGATCAATCATATATGAATCAATGCTGGCTGTTTATTATAACTTGTATGCCAATTATCTGATGTAACATTTCATAATTGAAGTTAATCAACAACTGGTAGAGCTCAGCTCAATGTTAAAACTTTATTAAATCACAGATGCTTGTACCAAAAATATGTATTTGTTGTTTTCCTATTTTAATTTTATAAAACCACTGTTTTCTATCAATTGAACTAGGTTTATGAAAATAAAAAATATGCAACCTATGGTTGCTTTTTTCTTCTGCTCATCCAGTCTTGTTCTTCATTTTAGTTGAAACATTGATAATTTTACCATAAATGTTTTAAATTAAATTTTGGATGAAATGTGAAGTAAATTTTTATCCTTGTTTATTGGACTACTAGCCGTCCCTGGCTTCTGTGAAAAACCAATCTGTAAAGGACTATGACTTTTTTTTTTTATTAAGCAGCATATATATGGCATTGCTTGGGTTTAGGAAATATTTTACACAAATAATAACTTAAACACGAACTTCAATGCAAACATTAAAGGATAGCTCTCACAGTATCTGTGCTTTACCTACCACATTGCACTTTATCAATCCATGCTATAGTTTTCTCTAATAAAAAGTATATTCCCCACACACCCCCCATGTAATATATTTTTTAGATATTATATATTAGATTCTTTCTAACTTGAAAGTCTTGAGTTTGAATCCGGGTTCAAGTTAGTTGAATGTTAGGGAAACCAAGGTGGCTGGGCATAGCGATGACCACACTATCCCTTCATATGTTGAAATCTCTGAAGCAGATAAACTTTGCTTCATCTGCCCCATGTGTTTTGTAAAGTATAATGTACGATTACAGCTAAAGAATACACAACTCCCAATGATAATGCATTACAAAAGCTGTTTCATAATTTGTCAGTTTTATTTTGACATAATTTGAAATGGATATTCTTTTTATATAAAATTTAAAAACTAACAAATTAAAATCATTTGAATTTTTTTTATTATTATGAATGAATTTTCTTGCAAGATGACAGGAATATGAATGTGAGTATTTACAAATGAATGGAACAAGCATTTTAACAATCACTTAAAACCAATCTTTCATATCATTATACATCTGTTATCTAGGATAAAAACTATTACCAGACAAATTCCTTATCAGATATTTAATTAACAGTAACATGTCACAAAATTATAATTTGGCCACCCTTGTGAAACAAAGTATGTTTGAAGGATTGCTCAGCATTAAAAAAACGTATGATGTACATAAAAATATAACATTCACACACACTCACACCATGATCATGCATCCAAAACTGTTTATTACCAAAGCCACAAACTATCTATTACCAAAGCTGCTGTTGAAACCTCCTCGATTACCTCCACCCCTGTTAAAGCCACCCCTTCCTCCCCTGTCACCACCACCACGACCAAATCCACCCCTGCCACCACGTCCTCTGTCAAATCCACCACGCCCCCCTCTGCCTCGATCAAATCCACCCCGTCCACCTCTACCTCTGTCAAAGCCACCTCTGCCACCACCTCCTGCAACAGAAAAAATGTTTCTAATATGACACAATGTTAACATTTAAAGTTGGTTTTTGCTTATTCACTGACAAAGACATCACATTTCAAGCCCGTTATACAAAACTAAAGGCCTTGCTAATTCACAGTAGTTAGTTAAGTACAGGGAAAAAAACTTCTTTAGTTAACTATGCAATGAACAGGGAAAAAATGAAAAACAAGGCAGCTGCTAATATTTCTCTTGTAAAATGATACATTCTGCCAATGACACCAAAATCTTACCTCTCTTTCCAGCACCTCTTGGACCCGCAGGTTTGGCTAAAAACCTGGCTAGTGGTAAAAGTTTTGCAGGATCAATGTAAAACTGGAATTAAATGGTTATATACCATTAGCATTTTATAAATAGTTTTTTAAGGACAGATCAGTATTGCTTTATTTTAATTTTTAAAATTGTGTCACTAAGGGACTACCGATATCAGCCTAGTTGAAAGAAGTGTTATTGTGTTTGTTGAAGCAAAAAAATTCAGGTTAGGTAAGTACTATATTTAGTACTTCCCTAACTGTTCATGGCACTATTCATTTCATCTTGATCTACACATCAATCATGTGATTCTACAACATCCACAATGTGTACTATTTATCACAAACTGATGTACTACTCTGACAGTACTCCAGAGTATCTACTTAGTAAAAGTATTTCAGTTAGAATTTGGAGTTCTACTAACAAATTACCTTATCAGCTGCATGACTGTTAATCTTATCATTTCCAATTTTTTTTTTTACTGTTTCAAATGTATGTATAACCTCATCAAGTTCTATTACAAAATCTAAATAATTATGTAATAATTAAATAATGATAAGCCTTAATAATAAGCCTTAAAAAATATAATTGTATCAATTTACCTTAGCTGCCTTTTCAAAAGAGGTTGCCTTCATATTTTCAGATAATTTCACAGAAAAAAACTAAAACTCCATTAAGGTAAATAACTATCAATATTAATAATAATTAAGCTAATCTTAAATGTAACATTATTTAACAAGAAACGGTTTGATTAGCTGACACAATTAAGTTGATTGAAAAAGCTGAAATATATATTTATATATTTGTTAAAAATTAAATTATTTAAGGATACAAAATCTTTTATAGGTCCAAAGATTTCATCTACTTTTCCTATTTGCTCTTTATTCTTTAGATAAATAGGTGCGTTGAAGTAGGGAACCTTGTCACTTGTGCATTTAAGAACTAAATCTTCTTCACATGTATGGGTCATGTACCCAATTTCTAAAATAAAGAAACATTTTAGAATCATGTACAAATAGAAACATGTACAAAGATAAAGCAATAAGTCGATTCCTTTCAAATAGATAATACACAGTTTTTAATGTAATAAAGCCTACACTAAGCCATAACATACATCTGTAAGCATGTAACTGTATGTACCAAAATATAAAGGCTTTAAGTTGCTTACCCATTACTTCCTCTGGCGGACCTTGATCTTGCCATCTGTTGCCAAACCCACCTCCTCCGCGACCACGACCGCCTCCTCGACCACCACGAAAACCTGTAACAGTACATGACATGATTTGAGCAGGAAATAATACATTCAGAATGAAAAATGTGATGAATGTTGATAAAACCTAATTGCTGGCAACTGTCTTTTTGATGTATATTAAATAAAACATATCCTTGTTAGGCTTAAATAGTAAAACTATATTTGACGCAATACTTTTTTTTGTCTTTATCAAGTAGTGGAATCATTAGAGAAAATGTTGGCTACTCATAGCATCTGACTAGTAGTAAATTAGGTCTATTATAATTTTAATCAGTGAATGAAACAGAGAAATAACTTTAGTATAGGCTAGTTAAAAATAATAATTAGCAATTCAAAATGATTGGTAAAACAGTAGGCTTATTTAACATACTATAGTATTAAAATAAATCAATCTATCCAAACTTTAAATGTAAAAAGACCGCACAGATGAAGTATGATGCACACAGTACTTCAAGTGGATTCCGGCATCGTTTTACTAAATTTTTACTGCTATAATCTTTCTGGAATAATAGCTGACGTTAGTCAGAAGTGATTACTCGGAAAAAAAAATTTCACCCTAGTGTCTGCATTTGGTCGGCAGAAGATACTAAACCCAATAGTTTTAGGCATGTGCTGTGACCTTAACTGCAGTGCTTGGGTTCTGCAGTTTGTTTGTAAAAACTAATATTAGATTCGAGAATCATTTAGGCCTAGTTAGTAGTAGTTTAGGCTACCGGCTACATTTTTGAGTGATTTTAGAATAGACTAGATTCTAGCTAATCTACTAGATCTAGTCACTGGAATCACTGGGTGTAGATCTAGTTACAAGTGTAGTTTACTAGATTTTCTAGCTAGTTTTAGTCCATTTTTTTGTAGTGTTGGTCACCCTTATTTTTGAGGCTGATACTAGCCGGAAAAAGATATGCATGCGAAATGGAGAGAAACTACGACTTGCCTTCGTGGAGATGTTTTCGATGGTACTGCACATGCGTGAACTCTAGCCCTAACCCTACCCCTAAACCTAGCCATAGGTCACTGCGCATGAGCAGAACTATCTTCTGCTGACTAGGACACTAGGTGGGGCGAAAAATCTTTTTCCCAGTAGTCTATTTTTTGAAGAATTTTATTTTAAATTTCTTAGGCTGTAGAACAAGATTGGTAATCTATCGTTTTGGGTACGTAAAATCGCCCGCGGCTATTTATGTACGAAAACGTTGCCTCATTGTCAAGGCTTTAATAGAATTATATTGTCATACTTTTGTGTCAAATATTATAGATAAATGAATAATAAACCTAAATCAATGGCTTAATATATCGATATAGGCCAGAAATTAACTTTAAACAGCAGTGTCTGAGAGCAAGATTTGCTATATAAACAGCAGCCATTTGTAAAATAGAGTGACTTCCCCCTGAATCTGGCGCTAAAACTAAAAGCTTATAAAAATAAAACTTAGACAAGATGGCTGCTATAGTAAATGAGCATGATTGCATCTGTTGGAAACATCGCTAGTCTTCATTTATTACGGAAAAGTTTTAATTCAATTGTTTAAAAACAGGTACATAAATGAATCAAGGAAACATTTTTGAATTTTTTAAAACATAAATCCTCCTCAAAATGTAAAATAATTATTAAAATTTAAGGAGTCACCTGTTTTTCACATTACAAATCGCGGGCGATTTTACGTACCCAAAACGATAGATTACCCAAGATTCTAAAAGCCTACTAATACTAACTAGATGTTGATTCTAGGCTCTACATTCATTTATCATGTCGTTGTTAACCAACAACACTAAAACAGAAATTAAATAATTCGAAATAAAAAAAAAAAAAACTTACCCCCTCCACCACCACGTCCACCTCGCCCTCTAAAACTCATCTGAAAAAGATAATTTTAAGGTGTTGTAGTATTTTAGATTCTAGATCTAGAAATCTAGATTAGGAAACGATGCAGGTTACTATTTTTAAAAAGAAGAACAAATACCCTATTATATAATTTATAACTAGATCAATATCTAGATCTAGATTCTATAACTCAGTATTGTAGTCTTTTTGAATTGTTTACTGTTTACACGTGTGGGCTAAGCGGAAGCACAATTTTAAGTTTTATTTTCGGCAATCTATTAGCAGGGATCCCTGCGCAAACCAACGTTGAAGATTCGTATCCGCGATGAGAAGAAAAAGTGGGTAGGGCTTAGGCTAAAAAAATAGAAAACAATGTAAAAATGATCCGACAGTGAGGCAAAAGCCGCAGCGGCTGGAACACAATGGACCTAACTTAGAGGAAATTGTCTGGAGAAGTGGTTGCGTCTCTGTGCTCTACAAGCCTTCCGCGTGAACAATGAACAGTAGTAGTAGTAGTAGATATTACAGATACAGATTATGTCTCAGGATCTTTGCCAGATAAGTCCCGCTACTGGAAAACATCTATGTCTCATACGGGCCTGTTGATGATATTAAATTGAAATAATGTAGGACATTACTTGCTTTATGGTTTCTCCATAAATGACGTATACGCCTTTTTACGATTTTATACCCCAACCCCAGACACCCTAAAATGAAATCACACTTCAGTGCCTCCCACTTCCCACCCTTCTACAAAACACACTTTTCCTCGTTTGAGACTGCGATTAATTTTTTTAATTGAGCTAGTCAACATTAGGTGTTGATCAGTTTTTTATTTAGAAAATCGTCTAAAAATGAAAAATACTGTTACAGCGGTAATTTATGAACGCTCTTTAAAATCATTTTTACCATGTCCCTTTTCTAACGTCAGAGCCAGGCACCTCCTATAAAATAACGTCACACTACAGTCTAACCTCTCCACCATTTAAACAGCGATTTAAAAATATATTTACTTAGCTGTTGAGCAATTAAAAAAATATGAATTAAAAAAAAGTATTTTTAAACGCGACAAAGTCCGACTAAAACTCGGTATCTAACAACATGACTTAAATATTTTTTTTACATGCAAAAACACTTTCTGAACTTCCTATACCCTTTTCACATATCATCTCATAAGCAGTGTTTCTTCCAGACTTTTTTCTCCGGGGGAGGGGGCACTTGAAATTTTCGGGGGGGGGGGGCGGTAGACTTTCTTCGGGGGGGGGGGGGGGCGGATACTGTTAAAAGTATATATTTTCTATATAAATTATATAAATTTCATTTCGTTTGGGGGGGGGGGGGGGGCGGTAAAAAATTTTCGAGGGGGGGGGGGGGGGCGAAGCCCCCCCGAAGAGATGCCTGGAAGAAACTCTGCTCATAAGTCCGACCTCCCTTATTAAAACAGTTTTCTAAAACGCGAAATAACGGCTAAAATTCGTTTTCTAACATTGCTTTTTAATAATGCAAAAGTGTGACGTCTAACCATTTGAACTCCCCCCTCCCCCTCATTACACACCGTCATAAAATTACGGACCCCCTCCTCCTCCCTACAAATGTGACGTAATTTATGGAAGACCCCTTTTCAGACGAAATAGATAATAAGTATAGTTTATATAGAAAATATATACTGTAACCAGTGTCCGCTCCTCCCCCGCCCTCCCCTGGGGAGGGGGGGGGAATTAATCCAAGAAGTGCCCGTTGGCGACATCAGAAATATGAAAATGCTTCATGGTTTTGTGCTATAAGCAGGAAAATACGTTTGCTTAACCTGAAGTTAAAAGCTTGATGATTTGTTTATTTTTGGGAAGGAAACTATTTGGCAAAAAAAATGGTGATTATTTTCTGACTTCGAAACAGTACTCAAACATACTGATATGAAGACCTTTTTAGTTATTATAATTATAATATAATTAATACAAAGTTTAAATATGCGTAGATAGTGACCCAAGGCTCGATGCCAAAAATCCTACGTAGAGCCACAACAATGACGTAAAAAAATATAGCCTATCGTAAGTAAATAATTAGCGACATATTGATACCCATTTGTGGCAGTATGGCTGTTATCAGAAAACTATATTTTGGAGATTGTATAATTAGTTTTTAATATTTAACGTCCTCTCCTAGAGAAATAAATAATTAATAATAATGCCCAGAGACAGCCGGTAAGTGTTTAACTATTCTTTGTATTGAAATGATTATGTGTAGCTTATGTGTATTTAAAGTGGATTATAACTGCTTTAAAAGAGTTAGGTTGTTGTTGCGGCCTGTTTTTTTGCCGCAAAATCTTGGTCAAACCCATGAGTCAATCAGGAGTCCCATGTCGATTTTTTTTATTAGCAATTAGTTAGAATTAGTTTATTCTTATTCTAAAATCTAAAACTATTCTTAGATTTGATGTTTTTCTACACAGATCTAGATTTAGATCATTCATACCTCTCAGCAGAATTCTCCGTCCATTTTGCCATTTTTGGACCATTAGGCAGGCGCTATTGAATGGCATTTCAGATACAAATAAACCAAAAGTATCCTGTAGCTCTGCATCCATTCTACTATAATGTTGTATATGAGTCATTTTGTATTCCTACGCGTAACATTGGAGATAATTCTGAAATTCAAATCCCAGCTGTGAACCTCCTAATTGCTCAAGACAATCACTGTGTTGGCCTATAAGTATGTTTAAATATTTCATTGATCCTCACTCAGCCTACCTATTAAGAGCAAGTCACGTGACCCACTTATCCCACCTGGAAGCTAGCCTGGTCACTTGACTCCCGCTGAGCCTGCCAGGTCCAATGAACCTTATGGCAAACTAGGTCATGCTTTCCCTCTCCTTCCTCTAAATTCTTATTTAATAAGCAATATTTTGAGTTGTGAGCGCAGTTGGGGTAAGGGAACCAATAGGGACCAAATATCGCTAAATCATCCCTTTTTTCTAATTTTAGTAGAGAAAACCTTGACATTTACAGTTAGCTATCTATCTATAAAAGCTATTTTTTTTCATAAATGAAAATATGACGTGCTAAACACTGTGGTTTTGCATAAAACATCAAAATACAGTAGCTACAGGCTGAAAACCAGAGAATGAACGCAGCGTTGGCCATAACGCAGATCGGCCGTCAACTCTACTTAAATTGAATTAACTTTCTGCCCTACAGGTCTTATCGTAAAAGGTCTTCATCAAGAGACAGAGATAGGAAGAAACGTAGCAGGTCACGAAGCAGATCTAGACGTTCTCGCTCTAGAGACAGGCTTCGTAGGTCACGTTCGAGGGAAAGAAAAAGAAGTAGGTCAAGAGACAGGGATCGCAGAGATAAAAGAAAACGTTCATCCTCCAGAGATAGAAAGTAAGCTGCTACCCCTCTTTATTATTTATTGATTTCTTCATAACTTAGTCAACATTCTCTAATAATAATAATAAAAAACAAATTAGGGCTATTTCCAGTTGGAACTGTTATCAATAACGTTAGTTAGGTTAGGTTTGCCTGTTGCCCCTCCTGGGATATAGAAGAAATTGATAATAACATTGAGATACTGAATGTAGACTAAATTAGATATGTTAAACATTATTACATAATTTATTAAGTTTACATTCAATGTGTACACTTGCAGGAGTAGAGCCCCTTGTATTACTTGTAAATAATTATTTTGTCAACACAACTTCTCCAGACTACTTTTAAAAAAAAATAAAAAAATAGCTGGTCCATTGTTTGATGCTTATTAATTTTTTTACTACAGTTAAAAAAATCATGATGTATTTGTGTCATTTATTGTGTGTACTCTGTTGTAAAATAGTAAACGAAGATCAAGAAGTAGGTCTTCCTCACCTGTAAAGACCAAGAAAGCTTCATCAAAATCTCCCACCCCTGAGAGGAAGAAGGTTTCTCAGCCCACAACTGACAGTAAAGCTAAAGATGAGCCCATTGATAAGGTGAGTGCTGTTCAGCTGACAGTTCATGGTGACTTGTTATAAGGTGAGTGCTGTTCAGCTGACAGTTCATGGTGACTTGTTATAAGGTGAGTGCTGTTCAGCTGACAGTTCATGGTGACTTGTTATAAGGTGAGTGCTGTTCAGCTGACAGTTCATGGTGACTTGTTATAAGGTGAGTGCTGTTCAGCTGACAGTTCATGGTGACTTGTTAAAAGGTGAGTGCTGTTCAGCTGACAGTTCATGGTGACTTGTTATAAGGTGAGTGCTGTTCAGCTGACAGCTCATGGTGACTTGTTATAAGGTGAGTGCTGTTCAGCTGACAGCTCATGGTGACTTGTTATAAGGTGAGTGCTGTTCAGCTGACAGTTCATGGTGACTTGTTATAAGGTGAGTGCTGTTCAGCTGACAGTTCATGGTGACTTGTTATAAGGTGAGTGCTGTTCAGCTGACAGTTCATGGTGACTTGTTATAAGGTGAGTGCTGTTCAGCTGACAGTTCATGGTGACTTGTTATAAGGTGAGTGCTGTTCAGCTGATACTTCATGGTGACTTGTTATAAGGTGAGTGCTGTTCAGCTGACAGTTCATGGTGACTTGTTATAAGGTGAGTGCTGTTCAGCCGACAGTTCATGATGACTTGTTATAAGGCTGGTTCAGCTCTTATTGAAAACATTTGTATTTGTGAGTTTTTCATTTGTACAAAATCTATGTCACTTACAAGTTTTTCTGTAATGTCTTATTCTGTTATGTTTTGCTTAAAAGAAATCTTCTCTTATTACCTTTAAAAGGAAGAAGAACAAAAACGACTGGAAGTTGAAATGCAAAAACGAAGAGAAAGAATTGAACAGTGGCGAGCGGAACGTAAAAAAACTCAGGAACTTGTCCCTGTTAACTTTGCACCAGTTTCTAGAAAATGGACTCTAGAAGATGATGATGATGAAGAAGAAGATGGTAGCGGGGAAAAGAAACATGAAGATGATGAGTTAGATCCACTAGATGCCTACATGCAGGTAGATTTTCGTTTGTTAAGTTTTTTCTCGGGTATATCAATATAAACCTGTACTAAATATTTGTTTTGTTTCCTTGCTTGTTTAGTCTGTCAATGACGAGGTCAAAGTTTTAAAAGACAAGGATAAGATACCTTTAGGAGAATCTGATGTAAGTATTTAATCAAGCAGAATCATAGTTGGAATGAAAACCAGTTTTACTCTGTTCATTTATTTTTTTCCGTCTAACTTGGTAAATGCATATTGTTTATTCCATAAAGTTAACTGTTATATAGACCTCACTAATAAGAAGACTATTAATCAATGGATGTTTTTTGCTGTTCAGATTCAAGGAAAGGTCGTAACTCGCATCACAACAGTAGTAAAGAAAAAAGTTGAAAATCCTGGGAAAGACAAGGGAGAATTGATGTTAAATAACATGGATGCTTTAGAGGTGAGAACCTTCATTTTGGTTACCATAATAGTAGGTGAGAGTGTACTAATATAAATTTTAATACTGGTTTTATAAAATATGTATAGATTGTTTTTTTGTGTGTAAAACTGGGATAATAAGCTATTTTTATTGTCTTCTATTGTCAGTATTCTTCAGAGGAAGAAGAAGAGGACTTGGATTCAACAATGGCAAATTTAAATAAGCGGAAAAAGGTAAGATTAAAAAATAATTACATTGCATTATACGGCCAGTTCAGTTTTCAATTTTTCATTATAAAAATTTTGAGCATTTTTTTTGTATGTAGGATCTTGGAGCAGTTGATCATGAGAAAATCTATTACGCCTCATTCAGAAAATCATTTTATGTGGAAGTCCCTGAAATAGCTAAAATGACACCAGAAGGTAAATTTTAATACTATTTTATTGTAACATTGACCATTCCAGTTGCACACCATTTTATCATATAGTGCACACAGGGTTGTGGTTGTAGGTTATGTATATTATTTTATTGATAACAATTCTTGATGTATTTTATAATAACTTTAACAAGTTCTTTTTTTGGTTTTTATCAAATATTAAAAAATAATTTTTTTTCTTATATTCATCAAAATTGTCTTATTCTTTAAAAAAAATAGAGGTGGAAGCACTCCGCAATGAGCTAGAAGGTATCACAGTCAGAGGCAAACATTGCCCAAAACCCATCAAAACCTGGGCACAGTGTGGTGTTAGTAAAAAAGCCATGGAAGCTCTTAAAAAGTAAGTTTTTTTTTACCACTGGAATATTTGTAAACACAGTCTAAATATTACCCAATGTATCACCAACACAAAAAGGCTTTACAAATGTTTAAATTAGTTATACAGTTGTCACACATCTGATAAAAATGATTAACAAACGAAATATTGACCTCAGACACAAGTATGAGAAACCAACACCTATTCAAGCTCAAGCTATACCTGCCATCATGTCTGGCAGAGATGTCATTGGTATTGCTAAGACAGGTAGTGGCAAAACTCTAGCCTTTGTGTTGCCCATGATTCGACACATACTAGATCAGCCTCCACTTGAGGAAAATGATGGACCCATTGGTAAGATAAGAACACTAGCTAAAAATTTAGATACACTAAAAATTCATTAGACTTTCAGCATTTCAAAACAAAATTAATTTAAAAAAAAAGTTGTTTGGTTATGAAATAATTCATATTTTATTTTGTTTTTTTAAAACTTTATAACTATATATAAGTAGACTTTAGTTCTGTATAGTAGTTGCACTAAAATAAATAGCAGTAGAAAGAGAATGACTTAGGCTTATATAACTTAAATGACATGGCTTTTGCTGATATAACTTAGATGACATGACTTTTGCAGCCATTTTGATGATTCCTACCAGAGAGTTGGCATTACAGATTGCTGCTGAGTGCAAGAAGTTCACCAAAGCTCATGGCTTGAGAGCTGTGTGTGTGTATGGAGGGACTGGCATATCTGAACAAATAGCTGAGCTTAAGCGCGGCTGTGAAATTATTGTCTGCACTCCTGGTCGGATGATTGACATGTTGACTGCCAACAGTGGTGGGTTTAATTAAATACATGTGTACATACAATGTTAGGTTAGAATTACTATGGAGTTATACCCAGTGCTTAGTATTTGTTTCATTGGATGAAAATAGACTAAAGTGTATGAATAATTTTATTTGGTGCAACAAATGTCATAAAATTTGGCTCAGTCTAGAATACAAGTGTCATCAAACTTGCAACTGGTTGTAAAACTGGATGTACACTATCTTAAAAACAATCAGGACAAAACAAATGCAACATTATTCACAGAATGCCATGAAGCAAATTAGTCTTTTTCTTTTTTCAGGTCGAGTAACCAACTTAAGGCGTGTCACATATATTGTACTAGATGAAGCTGACAGAATGTTTGATATGGGATTTGAACCCCAGGTATCTTTTGTTGTCTCAATAAGATTAGTTTCTTACTTTAACTCACTTTAAAAAAGATGTTGATCCAACAAAATAAACTACTGTTATCCATTGAATAATTTATACCTTGTTCTACAGGTGATGAAAATCATAGATAATGTCCGTCCTGATCGTCAGACAGTCATGTTTTCTGCAACTTTTCCAAGGCAAATGGAAGCTTTAGCCAGGCGTATTCTAAATAAACCAATAGAAGTTCAAGTTGGTGGTCGCAGTGTTGTCTGTAAGGAGGTGACACAGAATGTGGTAAGGCCAGTTTTTTCACCTGTTTTTTTATTGTGTTTATATACAGAACCTCTAAAAATAGGATCTTTTGGTTTCATTTAGTTCTAAATAGTTGTAAATTGTTTCAGATCTTGATAGAAGAAGACAAAAAGTTTTTCAAGTTGCTAGAATTGCTTGGCCTCTACTCAGAGCGTGGCAGTGTGCTGGTGTTTGTGGACAAACAGGAACACGCTGATGACCTGATGAAAGACCTGCTCAAACACTCGTACACGTGCCTGTCCCTGCATGGAGGCATTGACCAGTACGACAGGGACAGCATCATCCATGACTTCAAGTCTGGGACCATCAGGCTGCTGGTCGCCACCTCTGTGGCTGCCAGAGGTCTGGACGTTAAACAGCTCATTCTCGTTGTTAATTATGATTGTCCGAACCATTACGAGGATTACGTCCACAGATGTGGGTTAGTATCTTTTTTTGCTGTTTTCTTTGTTAAACTTCAGCACTTATTATAGCTGAGTTGGTTGACACTAATAAAAGCTCAGAAGGATGATAAGATACAGTACACTAGTTGCACATTTACACAATAAGCTCAATGAGTGACAACACAATATGATTAAGATCAGTCCGCCAAATGTTTATTGTATAACAAAATGTTAATACCCATGTGTATATTGGGATTGTTAATAATATTGGCTAACCTAAACTCTAGCACTAACCTGCTGATTTATCCATAATAAAAAACACCAGAAAATGTGTATTTCCTTTCTTTCACCCTTCAACAGCATTATAACCACTATACTTACAAAACATAGAGTAATCATCTCTCTAAACAAAACTAGTGTGGGTTCTATATTGTATTATTACAAGAAAAAGTATTGACCATTAAAACTACATGTGGTGGTATTTAGACAGGTGAATTGATAAGCTTTGTTTTATATTAGAAAATATGTTCTTAAATATTCTGCATGAATTTCCTCAACACAGGCGTACAGGCAGAGCTGGTAATAAAGGTTTTGCTTACACATTCATCACAGCTGAGCAGGGTCGGTACGCAGGTGACATCATCAAGGCTGTAGAACTGTCAGGTTCTACTGTACCTGAGGACCTGCTGGCTCTATGGGAGACTTACAAGGAGGAGGCAAAAGCTGTGAGTTATGTTTTTCATTTTACAAGCTTAGCTTACCTCGCATATATCTAAATCTACTCATTTCATTTATTCTGGCTGAATGTGCAAATGAAAATTATTTACAATTTCTAGTCAGGGAAAGTTGTCAAAAGTTCCAGTGGTTTCCATGGTAAAGGCTTTAAATTTGATGAGACAGAAGCTCAGCTTGCAGACGAACGCAAGAAGCTGCAAAAGGCAGCTTTGGGTCTGCATGATTCTGATGATGAAGATGGCGGTGCTGTGTCTGTGAGTATTTGATTTACTTGCTATTCTTCTTCTTACAAATCAGATTTTTCCTTTTTGAATGTGTTTAATTATTATTCATTTACTAAAACTGAAATTTTAATTTTTTAAAAAACTGTTTCTTGATTTAGATTGACCAGAAAATAGAGGATATGTTTGCCAGCCGTAAACGTGTGACTGATGTAGCTAAGCCTATGATAAACCAAGCCATTGGTGCACAAAATCTTGGTGGCCAAAACAACCAACAAAAACTGGAGTTGGCACGTAAATTGGCTGCAAGGATCAATTACCAGAAAAATCTGGGCACAGAGGCACCAGATATCAGCCAGCAGGCAGCCATAGCTATAATGAAGGGAGACTCTGTTGTAGTGCCACAAGTGGCTGTGAGTATCCATGGCTTAATTTATTTCTTGTGTATCTATTTAGTTTATGATTTGTTTTTCATTTACAAAAAAAGTATTGTAATATAAGTTTGAAAATTAATTAAATTTTTAATAATGTATGATGCAGAATTTGAACTTAAATGTAGAATTAAAAAAAAACAACAAAACAAATTACACTCAATGAATTAGCATTTAAAAATTCATAATGGTTTCTCAATAGAAAGTAAAGATCATTAAGATAGAGATTCATTTCAATTATGAACACCAGTTCATTTTTATACTATGTTTATTATGTTACAAACAAATTTCTACAATTTAAAAAATGAGCTACTTTCACCCTAAAATTTAAATAACAAAAATAAAATGATACTATTCCAGTCAAAAACTATAGCAGAACAGTTGGCGGAGAAGTTGAATGCTCGTCTTGGTTACAGACCTCAGTCAGAAGAGGAGCAGATAACAATGGAACCAGCCCCGGGTGAAACATTCAAGAGATACGAGGAAGAACTGGATATTAACGATTTCCCTCAAACAGCTAGGTGGAAAGTCACATCCAGGGTATGCCATTTCACATAAATAATACACTTTTCTGAATGGCATAGTCCTGTTCAAATTCAATATTTTAAATTATTAACCAGGAAAATTTTATAACACATTTGTTTTATTTCCCCAGGAGGCTTTGGCTACCATTTCAGAATTTTCAGAGGCTGGAATCACAGTGCGAGGATCTTACTTCCCTCATGGTAAAGAGCCAAAAGAAGGGGAGCGCAAACTTTATCTGGCCATTGAAGCAACTAGTGAACTGGCTATTAGTAAAGCTAAAGCTGAAATCATTCGGCTGATTAAGGAAGAGCTCATTAGACTGGTATGTATATTGTTACATTTTATGACATTTTATAACGCACTTTTTAAAAAAAGTTTTTTAAAAAAAATTAATTTGTCAATGTTTTACATATTTTCTTTTTTTTTTTTACTTTCAGCAAAACTCCTACCAGCCAATCAACAGAGGCCGCTACAAAGTTTTATGATTATACACAAAATGTATATATGTTTTTGTACTGTCCACAAGTCACACTGTGTATTACTGTCAAATGTATTGCTGTTTTTAAATATTTTATTTGAATGTCAATTTAAATGAAATAAATAGAAATTAATTAATGTATTGTTATTCATGTGTTTATTTACATGAGTGTGTGTGTATGTAAATATATACAAACATTTATCATACAAAGGCTATGGAAGCAGGCTTGATGTTAAGCTTATTTGTTCTATATGTACCATAGGAATGGATAAAGTTGAAAATTTGTCATGATAGCTGTATTTCAAATATAAAGTTGGATATATAAAAATAGTGGACAAGTCACAGGATTGTAAATTCTTAACATCTGAGATAAGACAGCAAAATAAACTTCAAGAGGAATATATGTGTCTTTGTGGGGTGGGTCTCATTTTCATTTTGGAAGATTGATGCTTATTTATGACATCCCATAATATGTATCAAACAAAAAGGAAACTTAAAATTTTAAAACATTTAATGCAGTTTACAGCATATTGATTGCTAAAGAAAATCTTTAAAAATGAGTAATTCTACAACAATTTTGAAAATTAAACCCCTAAAGTTAACTTTGAAGTTTACATTAGTAGTTTAATTTTCAAAGCTGTTGTAGAATTACTCAAAATTTAACAGCTACAGGAGAATACACTATCACCTCTTTTATGGTTCACAACATTTATTTAACAAAATGGATTAACATGAGCACAATAAACTGATTATGCTTAGTCTCAAGTGACATAGAAGATTGATTTATAATTTCAGTGTGTACTTTCTGGATAAGGTTAAGTTTCCTTTTTGAATCTGATGGTCAATGGGGGAAGTGAAGTTGAGTTCACCTGTTTCTGTGACCAAGGCATATAAAGGTACAGTGTAGTCAGCACTATGCCCAGTCTTCTTTACTTTCCCCCACTGGGCGAACTCTGGGAAGGTCCACTGACTTAATCCGATTAGAACTCTAGACTTTTGGGTCATCAGTCAGGTGCACTACCGTTAAGCCACACAGTCGCCAATTCAAGGATAAACTGATCATAAAAGCAAAAGTTGCCCAACTACTTTAATAATCATTAAAATAAACATAACATACATACTGATAATATACTCCAATCAAACTTTTTTTTAAACAGAATCATTAAATAAAAGCATTTTAAATATAATAATAATTTGGAATTACAAAAGAAATTACTTAGCAAAGTACAGGATAATCCATGACATTTCAGTTATAAACACTAAAAACCTATTCCGCAATTATGTTTTATAAAAATGCTGCAATAGTAAACGAAACAAAAGTATCATCAGCCCTAGTTCTAGTCTGGATATATTAATTTTTTTGTTTAACACATAATAAGTAAAAAAAAAAATGTATATATATTTGAACATTGTCTTTTAAAAAAAAAGAAGCCCTATCAAAGTTTTCCAAAAAAAAATATAAAAAAAAAATTAAAGTGTCAGAAAAGTTTTAATGGAAAACTACCCAATATCAACACAATTAACTGTAGGGGTCATCCATTTTGACATTCACATAAAAATTGGAGTTTTAGACTCTGCCCTCTAGCACTGATATATACAAAATGCTATTAAAAAACTTCTAATATATTAATTCAATAACATATTGTGTATGTGTGCTTGAATTTTGATACTCTTGGGATTTACTCCTTTCAGTAATATATTTTATTATTTAATTTTAAATTTTTATTTATTATTATGAGTTAGTTTTTTATTCAATATTAAAAGGTTTTAAATGCATAATTGCTTTAAATTAAAGTTTTGTTTTCGGAATCAACCAAAATGGACATTTTGTATATAGAATATGGTAAATTGTGAGGTCAGTTTGGGTTCATATAATCCTTCCCTCACCATTAATTTATATAGACAATGTAAATTGGTTACTAACAGTGCTGTATTTAAAGAAAAAAACACATTAACGTTGGCATTTAAATATACTTGAAATAGCTATAGGCAGATGAAATGTTTTGCACTTGCAGACATGCCTACCCCTGTCAGCCAAAAGTAGGAACAGTTATGCCTAAAAAGAGGAATTTGAAGCCAAAAAGAGGAACATACTCGCCGACGCAACTTTACTAAGTCAGAAATAAAAATAATTAATTAAATATTTCTCTAATGACATTAGTAGGCTTCTAGTCCTATATAACTAGTCTCTAGGATACATTTAAATACTGCTTAATACTGCTTAATGTCAGCTTACATTTTAAAAAATAAATTAACCAATAACCTGAGACCCCCCCCCCCCCCCCCCCGAATAAAAATTATAGCTTTGACATAACATTATTGATTTGATTATTTGTGTCTTGCTATGTTCTAGGCTATATGAATAACAAATGCTGAAGGCTTCATCATATGTAAAGTTACGAGCAAAGACACTTGATCTACCTAGTAAACTCCTAGTTACTTCTTACTAAGTTCTTCATAATAGTAGTTACTAGTTAAGTTAAACTTACAAGATAGATCAGTATTCACTATTTCAGTATCTACTAGTAGATCTAGTTACAATTCTAGATCTAGTAGTAGTAGATATACTACTAACTAGATCTAGCATTAAGATGATACTTGTAAATATTGTAAGTAAACTAGGAAACAGAAACGGGTGCCAAAGGGAGATAATCGCTTTTTCCTGACATTTTTTCAATTTACTTTATTTCCTTTCTTTATTAAATTTAAAAAAAAAATCGGAACCAACTGAGTCGATTTCGGGATGACGGAACAAATTACTTTTTTAGGTGAAAAAGCGGGACGGTTCCGATTTTGGCGGGACGGTAGGCATGTCTGCACTTGTTGCAGTTCCATATAAGTTTATTAATTTATACCATATGGTTGTCTATATTGACCTCCCCTTCAAACACCCCCCCCTCCATTGTGGAAGTAAAAGATGAATGGTACAGTACTGTAGTATAATATAATTAAAAAAAAACAGAATCATGTGCACATCAGTATTTAAACATTGAGAAATAGTTTCTGGCTAGTTTACAAAGCTTCCTACTGATATGATACAACAGTTAACGAGAAAACTGTAATATGTACTCAAACAAACTTTTATTGGACTTACTTGAGTAACTCAAATTTTCTTTGTGATGATGCTTAATAAGTTCTATGATATTTTCTAAAACAAAAAAAAAGACACTTCTTAGTATAGGTCCTCAAAATATTTCTATACTAACTTATCTTAAATGAGTCTCAATATTGACAATAAGGAGGTGAAAAAGCACTTAATCTGTATAAAATTAAATATATAAATATGTCTACCTACCTACCTCTCTCTCTCTCTATATTTATATATGATCTATCCATCCAATACTTCTATCCATCCATCTATCTATCCATCTATCTATCTATCAATCAATCAATTAATCTATAAATCTAAATATACATATACTAGCTGCATACCCGTGCTCTGCCACGGTAAATCTTTTTTAAATGTACCAACTTGAGAACAGAACAGAACAGAACAGAACAAAACAAACACAACCATAACACAACCACAACACAACCAGAACACAACTACAACACAACCACAACATTAGAATCACCACCGAACAACACGCTTTCCTAGCAGTCCACGCCCAAAGAGAGCCTTTTCAGCATTAAAAATTTAAGTCGCATAAATAGATCCCAGTGGCATAGCGAGGGCGGGTGTCACCCCCCCCAGAGGCGTCGCTATCATTCCCGGCGCCCGGGGACACACTTTCAATTTTCGATTTGCACCCCCCTCAAACTTTCGATTTGCACCCCCCCGCCTCAAACTTTCAATTTGCACCCCCCCGCCTCAAACTTTCAATTTGCACCCATTTTCCAACCCATTTTAGCGCCCCTAAGGTCGGCGCCCTTGTACATATGTAATTATTAAACAGTACGTTCAGTGTATAAAATAAATTAAAGGCAGTATTTAGAATATTTGTGTTTTACCGACCATATTGCACTTTATAAATTCATGCATTTTTTTCAGTACTTTTAAAAATTTACAATAAAGTTTCATGACTAAAACCAATGCGCACCTAATAAACGTGATGACTTTATATAATAGTGGGGAATAGTTGATTAAAAATCATAATTAGTAAACAGTACGTTCAGTGAATAAAATAAATAAAAGATTGCCTTTTATCAATCCATGCTAATTATAATTTTCTAACAATAATTTCCTCTTACACATCCGCTTAATTTGCATTCACATTTTGCTAATTATATTATTGCAACACCAATTCCTTCTAGGATGTCCAAAGATTTGCATTCACATTTTTTTTATTATCGTGATTTTAATTTATTTTTAAATTATCTCCCTTGTCAAAATTAGAAAATAGAGTTGAATTTATTTGGTTTTTCTACCCTACTGTTATTATGTTATTAAAATGTATCCACTTTTTCTAAGAATATAAACGAAAATGATATTTGACATTGATCCATTTAATACTTTTTAGCAATGTGCGTGTATTTAATATTTTCTTTATGTTATGCAAAAGAGTAAAAAACAGTGGCAATTATAAAATAGCTTCATATCATTATATAAACAAAGCCTACTCTAAGACTTATAATAGGACACTTTGATGCACTGAAAAGCATTGCATGGTGTGATGTTTACTTTTATGGTTCCAAAATCTATAGAGATGACAGAGCTGCTACTTAGTTGTTTTATTTTCTACTTTTCAGTAATTTGTGAATTTGACAGTTCCAATGCTGCCACTGAAAATATTTGCTTTAAAACACTATCAGTAGGTCGTTAAGGACGATAACCCCCCCCCCCCATCCCTTTCCCCCAACCCCTACCCTACCCACTCCCCCCCTCCGTGAAAGCAGCCTCCTCTAAATTACCTCCCCTAAGTTTAAAATAGTTTCAAACTAAATTATCTGCCCCTAATAGCCGTCACTAAACCCAGCTCCACGAATGTAAATATTTAGCGTGAACCACAGCTCACCGGACCATGTAGGGGTGAGGTGGTAGGGAGCGCACTTACAGCTTGTTTTCTAGCGTCTCCAAGAAGAGAATTATATATATAGATATAGAGAGAGATAGGTAGGTAGGTAGGTAGATACATATTTATGTATTTAATGTATATATATATATATATTATGTATATATATAAAGTATATATATATATTTAATATATATATTGTATATATATATCTAGGCCTATATATTTATTTATAGGTAGATACATATTTATATATATTTAATATTTTATTTAATATATATATATTATGTGTGTATGTATATATATATATATATATTAAATATATATATATTAAATATATATATATATATATATATATATATATGTTACGGTCAAAGCCCGAAGTGCGGCCAAACCCCGGATTGGCCGGCCAATGCGCGGATTGGCCGGCTCTCTTGGCCAAAGCCCGAAGAACTTAGAACTAAGATCGTATTTCGTACATTGGCCGGCCAATGCGCGCACTGGCCGGGACGTACTGGCCAAAGTCCGAAGTACTTAAACTTGACAGCGTATTTTGTACATTGGCCGGCCAATGCGCGCATTGGCCGGGATGTCCTGGCCAATGTTGTATCTAGACTAAGTTGTGATCGCGTTTTAATTATTCTGGGTGCGGTTTCATTGTGAGTAACGTATTGTTTAGCTCTTGTTTGTATAGCATTCTATATGCAATGCGACATAGACCAAGAGAACCGTCAGACCAAGAGACAGACATAACAGATGGCTGTCAAAAGAAAAAAATGTAAATTCATGTTAGTTTCCATATATGGGCTACAACTGTATGTGACAGCCTCCTCCATGATGACGAGGTGAGACAATCATCAAAGAACAAAATCAAAGACAGTCGGCGTCACCGACCACGTGCAACAAGACGGAACGTTCAAAAGACTTTTCCGCGTTCCTAGATGTTTAAAACATGATGATGACATGGATGCAAACAAATGAATCAGCTCATTGGGCTGAGAGTCTCAAATTCATTTAATTTATGAAAAATCGTTCTTTTCATCAAGGAATCCAACAATCACCATACGAAGCCTTGTTTGGATGCAAAGCAAAAGTGGGACTTAGCACTTCAAATCTACCAAGAGAGGCTCTCAATAAAATAGTTACTGAGGAAGATCTTGAGAACATTGAACAAGAAATGGAGGTTGCCATAAATGCAACGACATCCTCAGCTAACACATCTGCTGCCGTGGCGGAACGTCCAGACCAATTGCGTGACAATAATGTGGCCAATAGATTCTGTATAGTTTGTGAAAAACATTGTAGTGCAGCTCATTCTTGTGGATCCTGTGGCAACGATGTGCATGCTATTTGTGGAATACTCAATGAAGCAGACGAAGGGTACGGAGGGAACATTACCTGCAGATTGTGTCACAACAAACAAGACATCATGGAACACAGGTCAGCAGCTCATACTGGCTTGCAAAATCAAGGTGCTAAGATGCTTAAAACATCAAATACAAAATTTAAAGATGGTGAAGTGGGTCACAATGTACGCATCCGTGTTCCAGATGTTGACAGAGGTCGCGGTGATCCCCGAAGCGTGATTGCAGTTGTCATGAGCGTCGAGGGCGGTTTCTACAAATTAGGAACGGAACATGGTGTTCTAAAACAACTGTATGCTAGAAGTGAGTTTTCAATTCTTCACGAAAAACTGCTCTTATTGTCGTCAGTTGGCACTGAGGAAAAATCACTACGAACCATCGCATCTTCATCGCATCTTCACAATCATTGACTGGGGGCCAAGGCTACACTCGCTGCAATTGCACAACCAAGTGTACAACAAATCGCTGCAAGTGTAAAAATGACAAGCTGCTATGTAATTCTAAATGCCATAAAAGTTCAACTTGTTGTAACAAATGATAATATTGATTGATTGAGACTATAGTACAATAAAAAATTTGAATGTTTCTGTCATTTACTTTAATTAATAATCAATAAAGACTTAATTTCATGATCCTACCGGCATAAAAAAAACCAAAATCTGCTCATGATCTTCTAATTAAGACTTTGGCCGGTCCACCATGGCCAGTCCGCGGACTGGCCGGCCAAAGGCCGAAATCAAGAGCTATTTCAGACTTTGGCCGGTCCACAATGGCCAGTCTGCGGATTGGCCGGCCAAAGGCCGAAATGAAGCAAAGTTTCGGACTTTGACCGACCTATGGGAGGCGATATTGGCCAATGCGCGGATTGGCCGGCCAATCCTAGCATTGGCCGACTTCGGGCTTTGACCGTAACATATATATATATAAATTACTATTACTTGTTCAAGATTTTCAACATTATTGGTGCTTGTAAACTCACTTCACAAAATGCCCTACTCATATTTTACTTACTGACTTGAAGTTTTTTGCGTTGTAAAACCTGATGTATCTCCCTCAACTGACTACTCAACTCTTTGTCACCAAATGTAAAGTAACAAACATCTCGTTGTGCAGCGGCTGCAGCCATAAGCTGTATCAAAGCTAGTCAAAATAAAACAGTCATTGTATCAATACATTGTATCAATTTAATGTCAGGTTAAATGTAATGAAAACCAAAATTTAAAAAATTAAATTTTTACTGAGAGGAAAGTATTTTCATCTAATATATTGCTGGGTGCAAACAACTTTGTTTTTCTCAGGGCATGTGTAGCACACAATTCTATAAAAAAAAAAACAACTCTACACACTAGTCCAATAAGGCATACAGCCAACTACTCACCTTTTAACTGTTTGTCACCACCAAAAGCTCCACAGCCCCAGTTGCCAGTACACACAGCAGGAAGGTCAAGGTTTCTTCTATGATATTCGTCTTCCTTATATTTACCATTGAATGCACAGTAAGCCTGCAGTAGTAACATTGATAAAACTTGCGGTTTAGAAAACAGCTAAAGTCTAACAAATTTTATTCAAAGGGCTGTTTAGTTTATAAAAAAAAGAGGCCAAAACATGATCAGCATTGCACTTTAAGTATCAGTTATTTGAAGAGTCAAATTGCAAACTGCCAGGGTGTAAAAGAAATGGCTAACAATCTTGATAATGAAAACTTTTTATTAAATAAATTTAAGAAAATGCATCTAACCTTGTTAAGTTCTCTATTTAATTGCCATTTCTCAAACTGTTCTTTGTAAATCTTTATAACCAGAGCATCCATAGCAACCACCTCAGTGTAACGCCGTTCCCAGTTGTCTCTGTACACAAGATAAACTTTATCATAAAAACCTTTAGAACATTCAACAAAAGTGATAAACAGCCAACATCATATTTATTGTGACCAAATCTGTCACATTTTTTTTAATCACAAAAATGTAGAGTCACAAACAAAAATTTAATTTTTAAACCATCAAAAGCTTCTATGTGAATAAAATCTGTATTGACCTCTCCATGTCATCAATGTATGGCTCTTTGAACTTGAAAGTATCAGAGTAACCTGTGTATGAGCTGAATCTCTCACAACCTATTAAAAACAACAAAAGATAAATACTGTAAATATTGTAAATTCTAATAGAATTTCTCCTTATATGTAGCCCATTCTTATAAGGTTTCTCCTTAGATTTATAATCAGAACTATATAATCAGAACTATATAATCAGAACTATATAATCAGAACCATATAATCAGAACTATATAATCAGAACTATATAACCAGAACTATATAATCAGAACTATATAACCAGAACTAAGGGAAAAACAAATGAATTCAGCTACAATATTTAAAGTATCAGTTACCTGTCATGATAAGAACCTCTGTGTCCAGTAGACACTCAGTAAACAAACGTGCTACAATCATTTCTGGACACAACATGAACCTAATCTCTTCTTGCACCAGACCGTGACCCAGCACCCCGCCACCCACATACTTGTTGGCAAAGTCAGCCTAAAATAGAAATAAAACAAATAAAATGGTAAGTATCACTGCCATAATTTATAGTTTGTTGTATTGCAATGGAATAGACTGGCCGGCACAATGCCCATCTAAGTGGGTCAACTTTAAGACCGCCATTGGACAAACAGAGAGGAGTAAAGAGCAATACACATCCATAATTACCACGTCTACATTATTACAGAACTCTTTCTTACATTCAAGGATATTGCTTGCTTTGTATGTTAAAAATTAGAAGACTTATAAGCTATTGCCATTTAAATTCTAAAACAATAAACCAACAAAATGAAAGCCAAAAAAAATAATACTAAATAAACCAAACTAAGACCTAGAAAAAGCAATGTAGTTTAATAAAAAACCCAAATACAAAAAGTTTCTAACATAGGTACCAACTGCTTATAAAATCTTGCCCATTGTAAGAAAATTTGTGCTGGAAGTACTTCTTAAGTAGGGCTCATATTTGGGATGAGTTAGTTACCTGCAGCATGTATTTCCCATCATCCTCTATAGTGTTCTCATCAGACACAAACAAATCACTGAACAGCTGCTTGGAGTTTTCCCAGTCAGGCAGGTCTTCAAAGTTCATGAAACTTTGCCGTGTGAAGGTCAAGGTCCCCGCTGGCACTGTGAATATAGCAGTCCAAATGGGAAAAAACTATTTTTAAGCAGTACAATAATCAGTGTGATTGTAATTAGACAAATATTTAGCATTAAACTTAGTGGTGAAAGCTATGTACTGTAAATTTGGTTACAATGTGAAGAATGATTTGATGACTTTGTAGACAGTGTAGGGATAACCCTCCCTTACAGATTGAGTAAATAAACTAACTTTCTGTGGTTACTCTTTCAAAGTAGTTGAAAATACACTTGAGTTTCTGCTGCTTCCTGTCTGCATGTTTATCACTGTACAAACTAGCGGAGAGATGAAATGTGATATTTTCAACATGCTGAATGAAGGATAAAAGCAACACAGCAAACAATTTTAGGAATTATTTTGGGACATAACTATGGAATTGGATGGAAGGGAGGGGGGGGGGGGGGATAGGCACAGTTAATTTGATTATATACTTAGAAATAATATGTCAGATTGTGTACAACCCAAAAGTTTCAAGAGTCCACACATCTCAGATGGGTAGCTGAGTTAAGGTAAAAGTGGCGGAACATAAAGTTGACAACACAATCACTACATATTCCAAGGTCAAGAATACAGATAAGCACTACTCCATTGTCCCTATTAAGACCATCAGGTATATTTGTTACTTTAGAAATAAAAATATTTTCCCTGAATACTCAACTGACTAAATTAATTAGAATGTCAAACTTCAACTTAATGTTAACTAAAATTTAAAAAATTAAAAAAAAAAGAATAAACATGGAATAAGCCTATGACTGAGACCCATATAATTTTGTCCTTCGTGTACATAAATCAGGAAATGTCAGTTGTACTAACTTCATCTTCTGACAGACTGTTACGGGTCAGTTGTAGGTCAGATTAGAATAGGTTAGAATAGTCTAGAACTAGGGGAGAGTGCGTGTGTGAGTGGAGTTCACCCTCCTGTGTAGTTACCCGTGTATGTTTATGTATTGTAATCCCAAGGTCGAATGCAGGTATACAAGGGCGAGTGAACGATTGTAGGGGGTCAGTCAGCGGGTTAGTTGCTAGCGATTAGGACGAGGGCTACGCTTGAATGTATTTGAGACGGAATAAAAGTAGCGAATGAAGTCACGAAGAGTTGTCCTTTATCTGAAACCAACCCAGAACGTAACACAGAACTTTACTTTGGTGGTAGGCCTAAATAGAGGCTTCAGGAGTTTTTATTAGAAATAAAGTTTTCATTTTATACAATGGGATTGTTAAAAGTAATAAAAAGCATTTCTAATTTCAATGCTTTTCTGGCTACTGATGACTACTTACTTGCTGAAGTTGATATCTGGCATTTTGCTACCTCGTACTTTAAAACTCCTCTTGGGGAATGTACAGAAGAAAGCATTGGCCAGTAGACAGGCAGCCTGTTCTTGACTCATGGTGATTTTCCTACTCTGTCTTTGTTTCAACAGTGGGACTGACTGTAAAAATAACAATTAAATAGTTACAATATGTTTGTTAAGTCAGAATTCTTGCCGTTTTACAAAAAAATTTTTAAATACAGTTTAATTTACTGAATCTTAATAGAAAAATATATTTATTCATAATGTTAAAATATTTATCTTATAATACATGTTGCAAAAAAAAACAACAACATTAAAGTTACTAAATAATAACTAAAATTTACCTTTTTAAACAACTCAGGTAACCTCAATGCTAAATTTTGTATCTTTGGAAGAACCTCCTCAAAAAATGTGTCTCTTTTTTCCTCCTTCATCTAAAACGATGATTGAACACTTTTCTCAAACTTACAATTTTTTAATATCATGTTACAGCCTAAACTAAACACAAAGAATAAAATGTTTATAAGTATATTTTTAACCTTCACTGCATTTCTGCCATAATTTACCAACCTTGAGTGGGATGTACATATACACAAAACAAAAAAAGTATATATAAGCAATGCTGAATATGTCTTTAATAGCACTGTAAGAACACTTTTATTTTAATATTTTAAGCATGTATAAGAATCTTCCATTAATGATGTCCTAACTGATGGAAGGAGGATGTGTGTTTTGATTTTTGATATTTTTAAAATCATGCACGGTGTAATTAAAATTAAATATGGGTACAAAATCCTGTTTGGTTTTTTCAAAAATTTAAAAAAGAGTGGATGTATTTGACTTTTAGTATTTTCTGTAATTAAACACAATTTAAAAAAAGGCAAAAAAGCAATTTGGTTTTCACATGGTAATGGTGACAAAAACAATGAAATCCTGCTATTTGATAGGCTAGCATAAATTTTATAAAATAAAATGTAAAAAAATTAAAGCGGGAGTGATCTGCCCTAAACTTTCTAGAATATCCTCATATAACACTACAGGGGATGGCAGCTTGGGATATAGACATGATTCTTAATCAATTTTGAATTACCTTTTAAATAGAATAGAATCTCTTAAAAAAAGAATTGCGCATCAAGTGAACGGCAAAAAATGTGTATAATAGCACAGAATATTAAAATTCATATGCGGTTTTTGAGAAATCTGCCATAGCGTAAATTACTACTTCCCGTCAACGGGAATTACTCAAATTTTGAAAGAAGGCAGACAATTAGATCTTTTACTTATATGTGAAATTTTGTTTATCTATCTTCTTCTTCTTCTTCGTTCTTAATTATTTGTGTTGAAGGGGATCGAGATTTATCTGCCAGTGGGTTTGAACTCGAGACTTTGTTCGAATTTATCAACCATGAGCTATTTGCAGACTTGACCAAGCCTCCAACACAATTAAGCGTTACGTGTCAACTGGTTATGCGCCATTGAGGCCATTGACTCAGATTTCAGCCTGCTTTTCTTTTTGGCTTTTGCTTCCATAGCCTTTGTCCAACCAAGAACAAACTACAAGGCAGCAGTTGTTTAATTTTGGAGTTGTCTCTCCTAGAAGAGTGGCTGTCCCCAGCTAACGAGCCTCATCTGCCCGAGGTTTATCTATCTGAAACATTACTCATTTGATACTTGATAGAGAACTACAAATTTGATATAATACTTATATATGAAATTCCATCAACCTAGCTGTAACGGTACTCAGGTTATTGTGTTTACAGACACACACACATACGGACAAAATTGCAAAACTATGTTTTTCCAACTCAGGGAGGTGTAAAACAACGGGATTTGAGAAAATCTCGACTAAGATTTTTTTGTTCGTTTATAATAATTCCTCTATACTTTGTATATGAGAAAGTAAAAAATGGCTGAACTAGGTCATGTGGTTTAAAATAGCATTATGTTTTTTAAAAACTTTATCTGCAAAGTTTTGTAAACAAATAACTATCGGTCACAGAATTTCTGGCACAGCCAATCAATGTTTGTCTAACAAAAGTTAGGCTTGATGAAAATAAATAGAAATGTAGTCTTAAACTCAAAAAATTATTTTCAAGTTCTTTGGATTTGCAACTTTTATAATATTGATTCTAGAAATATAAAATTTCTGAATCATTTTTAGGCTTAAGTTTCAATCTTTTATTATTCTTATGACTGTTATAAATTCAAAATATATATTAAAAAAAAAAATAAAAAAAAACAATTTTATCCATGTCAACAATTGATTGGAAGGATTCTCGACAACTCAGTGGCCTCCATTGAAGAAGTCGTCAGTTTTGATATTACAACCACCATCCTTGCATAACCCGATGAATCGTAATATTGCTCCTTGACTTATTATTTTATAGTTAATGAAATTTATATTATAAATTTTTTTCTCCTTTGATTGTCACCGGATATGTACAGATTTATTATAAGTTATAAATGGGTTGATTATACCTACAACATAGAGTGAAGGTTAAAAACAGTTCTAGCTATTTTCTTAAAGCCCAACATACTGAATGCATTATAGGTAAACATTTTAAGCTCACATGACTACTGACCTCCAGAAAATATCTGTATAAAGCATCAAATTTCCAAATTTTAGAGTACTGTTCGTTGTAAAACAACATAGCCTCCTGCACATACAAAAACACATTTAAAAACAGCTTTGATGATATTTCATAAATACCTAGGAAAAACATTTGAAGCTATTCAACCAACTTAAAACAATAAGATTAAAACCATACTGTAATGTTAATTTTGTGTTAGAACCTGTGACACAATTTAAAAGTGCATCACACTTCTACAGAAACTATTATTATACTGTTCACTAAATTTGAATGAGTCTAAAAACACAATGCTGTAAATGATCCTACTTTTTAAAATTCAGTTTACGCTAGAAGGTATACTTTAAATGTATGTCAATTAAACTCTTACCTCTAACTCAAAGACACCAGATATTTTTTTTTTCAATGCTACAACAATTCTCCTCCATCTTGGGGGTTCACTTTTCTGAAAAGTTTAATTTTAATTTTAAAAATTGATATACATTGAGGACATATTCAATATTTGTTTTCTACAGATTAATTACAAGCCAACAACATTTTTTTATTAAGGACCATAAAACAGCAGGGTTCAATTTTCTTTTAATACTAATATAAAATTATTTAATTATTTAATTAACAGGATGTAGAATTAACTTTAAAAAAGAAAACACAAAAAAAACTCCCTCAATGCTAGCAAAAGAAAAAAAATGAAAACATTAATAGTATTGTAAAAAACAGGAAAGATAATAATAGTACAACAAATAATGTACCAACTTCAAATTTTTCTTTTGAAGAATTGGGTAAATAAGCATGGTCTTCAAAAATGAAATCCTCTTTTCTTTCAGGGTAGATAATTTTACGTTTTCCTTCTTGCTGTGAACATTACAGAAGACATACAGAAAAAACTGAAGAAAATTATATGAGTTGAACCATATAATAATACTTAGATAATTTTAACAGGCTGTATTCTTCTAAATATTTGTAGTATCATCGGATATACATACTGAAAATTTGAACAAGACTGTATGGGATTCACTTCCCTTTAATTCAGGCAAATGTTCAGAATAAATTTGTATTCCTTTCATCTGGAATAGTTCCAGCTAAAATAAAATGAAAATGCTTATTTTTTATAAGAGACTTATGAATTATAGAGATAGCATACCAAACTAGTAATTTTAAAGCACAAAAATTTCAAAATTAAAAAACTTATTTGAAAAATTGTCATTAAGCTAAAAATGTAACAATATTTCAGCAGTAACTTAGTCAATATAAATATTGAAAAATAATACACTTTTAATACATTACAAATTGTCACAAAAAAAAAATGTACTTTATTCTTTGCTTTATAATCTTCTGATGAAGCTGGACTATGATTTGAATCATCATCTTTGTCAACATAAGACCTAAGACCAAAACAAAGTTTATAATATGACCAGAACATCTAAGAACTTATCACTGTATGGTGTTGTATTGGGCCTAGGCATATGAGACAGCGCAGTGACACAAGCAAGAAAATCAACCAAGGTAAATAGTTTTAAAATTGGTTACCCAAAGCAGTTAATTCAAATAACTTGCTTCTGTAATGACTTTTTAAAATTTCTTACTTTGGTTTATAAGTATTATCAAAAGTATCTTTTCCTGAACAATGTTCAGCTTGTCTTTGACTTGATGCTCCTGAAAATAATTGAAATTAAATGACATATAAAACCATTGAGTATTTATTAAAAAAAACCCTAAATGCAAAAGTTTAATTTGATTTTTTTTTTTATTAACCTCTTGAAGAAGCTGCACTTATAAATTGAATGTCTTTAGCGTCATCTTCTGTGTCAGATTTTCTGAAATAAAAAAAAAAAATATTTAATAGTGAATGCAAACGATATACCCTAACATAGACTTCTATCTCAATATCTTTGAATACAATAATTAATGTCCAAAAAATAAACTACATGAATAAATGATTACACTAACACTAAATACATACCTTTGTTTATTGTATGAAGTGGAAGCACGTTGTGAGTGGTTATCACTGAGTTTATTTTGTGAAGACTGCCCTGAATCTATCAGAAAAAAAATGCAATGCTAAAATGAGAGTTAAAGTATATAATAATCCTGCACAGAGCAATTAATTACATTACTACAATGAAACTCTGAAATTTGATTGGCCGGGTATTTTTTATGATAATCTGTCAAAGTAATTACATTGTTTATTGTTTAAATAAACCAGCTTGTTTATCTTTGATTAAATTTATTTTTCTCAAGATAACATATCATTAAAACAAATCTTAATTATGACCTAGATATGTGTAATATATGTAGACAATATGCAGAAAGTAAAAAAAGAAATCTCTACCAATATAATAAATTAATAAAACTAACCTAAAAGTAAAGCATGGAAAAGTTACATAACCTACCATTTTTGTCCAATGAGCGAGTATCTTCATAAGAATTATTAGATCTGTTATAAAACACATGTACAATTAAGAATGGACATAAGATAATGAAATTAACTCAGAATGAATCCATTATTTTAGGAAGGAGGAAATGTTAAACAGTAACTACAAAGGATAACTATATTGATGCAAATGCTTAATGTAGTGAGGTATAAAAGGATTAATAAAAATGTGTTTTTAACAATGGATGGAATATCACAATACTGAATTAAAACTATAATGTGAGGACATAGTTAAATATAAGGAAGCACACACATATTAAAAAAAAGTGCTATTCAAAATATTCTAAAAATTAACTGTTATTATACATTTCCGTATATTAACTACATTTGTAGCATCTCACCAACAAACTAGGATAAAATATTGATAGTAATACAACTTTTTTAATGAGCAGTATAAAAAAAACAAATTGTAGTTTTTGTTGTCTTATCAAAGGTCTCATCAGCAACAAAAGTCTTAATGTGGATGCTAAAAACTGTCTTACCTCCCACTTGAGTGAAATGCTACTTGCAACCCTGACGATCCTTGGGATGATGAGTTTTGAGATAGTCCTAAACAAAAGGAAAATTTAACAAAGCAGAATTTAGTGAAATTTAACCAAAGGGGGTCCTCTGGTGCCCCAGCAGTAGTGTAAAGTTTGGCACCATGAGTTCCCCACAGCTCTCTTAGCCCCTGGGGTCCAATGACTGGGTGTCCTGCAGATACAGTTAGGGATACTACTTTAATCAACAGTCAAAGTGCACCAAAGGAGGCCTCTTGCAGTAGTGTCACCTGCAGCACTACCATGAGCACTATGGTGCCTACATTTGTTTTAAAGAGTGCCACACACAAGATATATGGTCAGGCTACTACTATTGATGACCAAATCAAACCAGGGGTCACACCCACCATCCCTGCAGTAATGTAACTAGTGGCTCCCAAGAACTCATTGCGACAGCACTGTAACCTAGGTGATCACAGAGGGATGTTCTACCTCACCACTGCTATTTCAAGGTTTTTATACAGCATGCCCTGGATTGATTCTGAGCTAGTATGGATAAACCTGTGCCAAAACAACTAAGATCCAAGAAATATAGTGCCAACATTGTTTACAGTTTTATATTAAAAAAAAATACACAGCTGGTAATGTGTTGATGACACCCTCTTAAAAAGATGCACTAAAAAAAACAACAGAAAAACAACATTGTATTAAATACTTTCTGGTATAAAATGAAGTGTAATAAGTTTCAATAAAAATGACACATTGTAAGTTAAAAGTTGTCATGAGGAGTGTCCTTAAATTTCCTTTCTTCTGAGATTACAGCAATTCAATATGGGTAAGCTAGTATTATTATAATTTTAATATTCTAGTTTAATTTTCTTACTTTTCGTATCCGAGCTTTCATTTTGATATGATGTTGATCCTGCTCTGAAGATATAAAAATGATATAAGCTTGGTTAATTGACAATGGGACGGTTAGGTCAAATGGTAGAGCGCTAACCAGAAAGTCTCGAGTTCAGACCTTGTCCTTAAGTTTGAAAGACATCTCAGAATCCACCAAGCTCTAATGGGTATAGTGGTATAGTCAGAGGCGTAGTAAGGGCGGGGTTGCGGATCGCACCAGGTGACACCATTTAGGGGGGTGACACCATAGCAAAATATTGCAAAATGTACAGAAGAAAAATGCCTTTTTGCCAGATCCGTTTGTGATTAATTAAAGTTAAATAGTCATTTAAGTACAAATTGACAATTATTTCAAGAGGGAGGTGAGGGTGCCACCATGACGTAACGGTGCTAAATATAAAGACTGCATTATTAACAGACTATAGATAAACATCATTACTACTAAGTCTGCAGTGATTTAATCTTATACACATACATATACCTGTATGAGGTATTTATTTAAATTATAGGCCCATGTAGGCCGACACACACATATATATTTCCTTGGGGGGGGGGGTGTGACACCACAAAGTGCCCCACCAGGTGACACCCAACTTAGCGACGCCACTTGGTATAGTGCTCACCACACCATCACCTTATATGCTGTGGTCAAGAAATAAGTAGACTCTATGGATTGTTAGGTCCGAAAGGGAAACTTCATAAACAATTACAAGTTTAAAATAAGCAATTATAAGACATAAGGTTACTCTATCAAATTATTAATACTTATTGCTAAAACATAAAGAAAATTTGTTTATGAATGTATATTAATTAATTAAATCATTTGTTAAGCATGCTAAACAAGCACAGTGGTTAAGTATTTTATGAGGTGACTTCTGGACAAGTCAAGTTTAGATCAAGTATAATTGGTAAATACACATAACATAAATACATATATTTTTCTACCTTATTTTGACATTTATGCTAAAAGATATTTTCATATACAAACTCATTTACCAAGAGAAAAACATACCTTTTTAATATCTAAAACTTATAGTTTAATTTTCTTTAAAAATCAATAGGCTATAGGTATAAATATTAAAAATTACTTACCCTGTTCTAGCAACATTAGCATAACTCTTTCTTGACATTTTTGGTTCTATTTCATCTAAATCTGAATCAGCTTAATGTGTAAAAAGAATTTATTAATAACCTTTTTCATTTAAAAGTGAGCACAGCAAGAGTACAAGACAAATAATTTAAATATGTATAAATAAATATATATATATAAATATATATATATATATGTATATATATATACATATATGAATATATATATATGAATATATATATTCTATCTATATATATGAATATTTATTTTTTAAAAATATGTATAATTATATTAATTATTAATATTGCAAGAGCAAAGACACACTTTTATTTATAGGAAAGTTTTTACTCTTCTGTCAATTACAGATCATACACTACAAACATATTCAACCTACAATAATCCTAAAATAAATATTGGGCCCAAACAAATTTTATAAAGTAAATTTTTTCCTTCAAAATCATTAAAGCATAAAGAAAGGGTATTGGCATATTCCATTACTAAACAAATTACAGTTTTGTTTTGACAGTGTATCTAACTTATTCTGAAATATTTAACCATGTATCAATCAATATATCAATGGCCTGGGTCACAAAATATCTAGGAAACAGGTCTGGCATATTAATGTATGGATTATTTGATTGATTTCAAGGCTTCCTAGCCCGACTAAGGTATCAACCAGACTTACAAAGGAATTAACTAAATTCATCATATTAGTAGTCTGACATTGATAAATCAGCCTGGCTTCTGAGGGCCATTCTGATTTATAAAGATACCAATTTGTCATCAAAGTACCAATCTGACTCATCTATGTACTTGTCTGGCATTAAGGTAAAATTATTAAAATTATTCCTTGAAAATATACCAGTTGACCTATCAAAATTCTCTTTTGAAATAGGACAGAAGCCTAATATATAAAGGTAAAAGCTGACTTTTCAGTAGTAAGTCTGACATTAAATCCCCAGCAAGACTTATCAAGAAGTACCAGCCAGACCAATCAGCACACTCATATCATTATTGTAATCTGACTTATGAGTTTCAAGTTATCAGTCTAACATCAAGAAACTATCCTGCTTTATTACTGTTCTAGTATGACATCATGAAATCATTAATAATAACTGACAATTAATAGTTAATTATCAGGTGGCAGATCTAGCTAATCAAAATACCAATCTAACATCAAAGTCAGTAGCGTACAAAGGGGGGAGCAGGGGGAGCTGCTGCTCCCCCTCTGGCCATTTTCAGCAAAGTGGCGCCTTTTTGGAAACTTTTTAAACTCAAAGTTTTAAACAATGATTTTTGTTAAAAAATTATTTTTGGTCGGCACATCTATGTAAATCACAAGATTTCTTTTCATGCAGCAATTAAGCAGAATTGTACTATTCTAGTAGCGTCTACGTTTACAACACGTATTAACAGCTGTATCAAGTTTGTCATTCTAAAAATAACCATTACGATGCATTGCAATTTTAAAAAACCTCTACGGGTAGTACCACTTGGCAAGAATGTGTTAAGTTTAAGGCAACTGTATAATGTATTTGCTTAAGAATAATTGATCTAGAAAATATTATACATAAATCTTCACACATAATTATATATACAGTTTTAATCGTGTAATTAATTTTTAAAAAATTACAATACAGACAAAAATACAACTTATGTGACACCTCTTTAGAAATTTACTTATGGGCATACTGCATAGTGGTGGGCACATTATGACAAGGTCAACAACGTCATCACGATGAAGTAGTAGTATTATGACAGTTTGGGCGATAGCGATTACAAATTATATGAAACAGTTACAACCCCCCTCCCCCATGGACCCCTCTGTAAAAAAAAAATAGTGTCATTATACCACTGCTACTTATTTAAATCTATTTCTGAATCAGTATATATGTGTAGTTGAATATGTATGTTTATAACAGTCATCTAAAAACTGACGCTATGTTCACTCTGTTCACCACACACACCTCACCACCATAATTGTGTAGAGCGTTGGATAATTGACTTAAAGTGACCGGATAGTGGTGAATAAAGTTGAACCCCCCCCCCCCCCCAACCCACCCCGAACTGATCTGTTAAGTACATTTGGGAAAACGCATAACGATGTACCAAAGTACCATGCCGCCAGAATCATAGCTTTTGAATCAGGTAAAACTCTGTGACATTGTTTTTTTTCAATTACCAGTAAAAAGGTGTGTGATCAATACAGTGATCTAACCCATACCTGATCACTATGTTAAAAAATGATCTTTAAAGAACACAAAAAAGCAGTAGTTAATTAAAAGATGTATGATCTGATCTAAAAGAACGCTGGTGTAAATGTAAGCTATTATTCCGGATGTTTTTCTATAATATTTAAAGCGTGTTTTTATCCCAACTCTGATTTAAAAAACTTTCATTATGCTGTATTACTTTAGCATCTATGATGACGATATATTTAATTCTGATTGTAGACACAAAAAATTGAAAACACGAATACTTTTAAACAACTATATTACATTCTAAAGTAATTATTGATTTGTTTTGACATTTATAATTAAATATATATAATATATATATATATATATATATATATATATATATATATTTATATTAAAAGTGTGATTATTTCCCCTATTTCGCTTGTCTTAAGTAATGTCCCAAAAATTATTATGTACAATTTTTTTTACAAGAATTACAAAACAGATTGTGTTGCGTTAATTGTTTTTGGTTGTAGTGTGTGTGTGTATATATATATATATATATATATATATATATATATATATATATATATATATATATATATATTGTTTACATTGATACATTTTTTGTTTTGTCGGCCTATATTGTGTGTTTTTTCTTATTTCTTCAAGTGCTAATAACAATTTATTTTACATCATAGCGAAGTAATGACATACAGCTAGTAATTATATATATATATATATATATATATATATATATATATATATATATATATATATACACATACATATATATAATACACGTATATAGAACATGTTTAAAATTCGGCGCCTTTTTTTTGCTTATTTCGCTCCCCCTACAACGAAAACCTGGATACGCCTCTGATCAAAGCATATTTTTTTTTTACATATTTTTGCTAAGCTTTTAAAACCAAGTTTTCAAATATTAGGTAGACAGTTTCCTCACAAGTTTCTTTTAAAAATTGCTTTAGCAATCACAATTAGGAAGAATATAATTTGTTCATTTCTCGCTCAGGTAATTTATACTTTTTCATGTGACCTGAAGCCATTGATATAGATTTAGCTAAATCACATAAGCTCTAAATTTTTCAATTCTCAACTTCTCTCCTCAGATAGATTTTTAATCCAGTGAGTCCTATCATTAACCTCTATAATAAAACATGTTTGTCTTAGTCAATGCTAATATATTAAATAAAACATTTTTGAAAGAATATAACCTTTTCTTTTAGTTGGAAATTTCAGTGTTGTCTGTACCCAATTACCTCTATTCATTCCTCATACCTATTAGATTAAACAAAGACCATTTCATCATTATATATCACATTTTTAAACAATGTAAGCTAAATAGGATTAAATGATATTTCTAGAAATATTTATTACTGAGATATTGCATTTTCTTCTATTTTTACTAGCTTTTATTTGGTTCAAATTGTCTGTTTGTTGATAAGTTTGTAGCAATTCTAGTAACTCAATTTTTACCCACTTCTGATGCAGTGATTTCATATTTAAACTTTTCAGATACGTTCTTTTTCTATGACAAGGCAATCTATTTTTTAATCTAATTAGGCCTATACATAGGATTAGTGATTAAAATCTAATAACAGATTACTAATAATAGATAAATGAACTGAATAATAATGCGTGAGATAACAAGCTAGACGCGATTGCCCGATTTGTCTGCTAACCTGTGTTTCACAGCGTCTGGTCACGGTTGATTGCCTCAGTTTCGACCACGAAGTAGTTTAACTGATTCTGTGACCTAGCTCATGTGATCTCTTACATATTTGAGAGTCTAAAGCTTTTATTGAAGAAATTAAGTTTGCTTAATTTTCTTATTCTTGTTCTTATAAAAGTTTTTAAATATGTTTTATTTTCATCATAACTTAAAGTGCATATTTTTGCAAAGCATTCTGGTACAATGCGAGTGTTTTGCTAGCTGGCGTTTATCTTAAATACTATTGTAGATGTGCACCTAATTAAAATAAATAATGCCCTTAAGCCTTAAGATATAATACCTTTTAAAATTATTTAACAATTCTTGGCACATCAATGTACATTCTAAACACCAAGTAGAAATTTGTAAGTTATTTTAGTGTCATAGAAACCTCTATTAACAACTTCATGTATGATTTGTTTTCAATTTTCAAAACCTTGAGGCTTCTTTTAGGTTATAAGTTACAGCCATCACTTTATTATTACGTAATGTAATGCTCCCGTTTTAATCCAATCCTACCCCATTGTTACATAACATCTCATTATGCCACAACATCTCTGTATAATTGTTTGGCGCTGCCCCCTTTACAAACCACAACCAAACAATTTTTTTAAAATGTAGCGGGATACACGTCATTTTAGAAACTGATGATATAACCTTTAATATTTTGCATTAAAAATAAATTATAGCATTTTTGTTCTTAATATTCTAGATAAAAATCCTATTACCATTTTTAAAAATTTCACTACAACTAAATAACTATTATAGTTTATTATACTCAACACGAGTAAATAATAATAGGCCTAATATATTATACGAGCTGACCCGCTGCGTATCATACTCCGCTATTTAGTTGTTTTTTTTCTACTTTTCAGTAATTTATAATTTGTGAATTCGACAGTACCAATGCTGCCATTGAAAATATTTGCTTAAAAACACTAACCCCCCCCCCCCACGTGAAAGCAGCCTCCTCTTAGTTACCTCCTCTAAGTTTAAAATCGTTTCAAACTAAATTATCTGCCCCTAATAGTCGTCACCAAACCCGTCTCTATGATTGTAAAATGTAAACAGAGTGAACACCGCTCACCAGATCATGTGGGGGTGGGGTGGGGGTGGTAGTGATAGTGATAGAGAGGAAGAGAGGGAACTGCAAAGGCGCGCTTGCAGCTTGTTGTCTAACTGATCCCAGAAGAGAATTATATATATTAGGAATGTTGGGAAATTTTTCCTAATTATCATAGAATGATAAAATGTACACAGATTAATCCTATAATATACCCCATTGATAAAAATACCAAATTTATCATTCTAGGCCTAATAGTTTTTTTTATATGAATTTTTAAAGTTATGTATTAAACTTGTTATATATCACTGTAACATCAGATTTAAGTGTGTGATTGGCTTTAGGCTTGCATACCACTGCTGCTATTTGAGATAAAATTATAAAACTTTGCACATTAGTGCTAGAGAGTGTGGGCAATAGAAATATGAAAGTAAAATCAAAATTTGATGAAGGATAATTAGAACTAATCAGGTCAAATTAAAGTGAGGGGTGCTGTTCTATATAGGTCAATATGCAGACTGAAAGTCTATGTTTTTTTTTTAATATTAAAATTGAAACTTTGCTAGAGGGTGGGGGCAATAGACATATAGAAAAAAATTTGATTAAGTATGACTGCATATAATTAAAAAGTCCTATGAAAGGGCGTTGCACCCTTTTATAGTAATTATAGTGACTGCAACAGACGTATGTCCAGAATGCTACTATAACAGATAGGATAAATTTGGTGATTGATACTGAAGCATGTAATAAGAAGAATGCTGAAAAATAAAACTAGGGATGGTGTGGTAAAGCACTCAACTACTAACATGCAAGTCTTAAACTCAGATCTCAGACAAGTCTGTCTGTGCAGCGCGCAGCATCCACCAAGCTCAGATGAGTACCTGACACAAGGGAAAGTAAAGATAGCTTGGCAGAGAGCTAACCACATCATCACTTTATGTTCAGTGGTCAAGAAACAGATAAACTCTACTTCAGCTGCTCTATGGATGATGGATTGACAGGTCCAAAAGGGAAACTACTTTAATATACTAGGGTCTTTATCAGGCCCTATTGATATTATTATTTTGGTACAACTAATCAATAGAAAAACCTTTAAAAAGTTTATTAAGTGTTAAGTAAGTTGTACCACATCAGAAGTTACAGCTTCCCTGTCTATCTGCTTATATGAATATATTGGCAATATGCTGTGATTTAAATACCTAATGTTTGTTGTTATTTGTTTTTTGTTACTTTTTATTATTAAATATAAAAATTATATCCTAAATTATTATGAATAATAACTATCATGCCTTTTTCGTGTCATTCTAAATTCACTGCCTTATTAATTAGTATCCCCCCCCATGTCAATTGCTGCACCTTTTGTTTATTATTTACTATTTACTAATGTCATAGGCATAATTATCAAAAATAATTAATTAAGTTTATCACCAAGCTTCTTTACTTATCATAACCAATAATAGGCCCAGACTTACTTTATCAATCGATACATATAGCATTAGTTATACTAAGAAATGGGCCTATAAGTATAACTTATTTATTATTTATAGTAGTATAAAGTATAATTTAGTATTAACTTATTAAATTATTAACTTAATTAAGTATAAGCCTTAAATCTAAGTACTAAGTAGATATGTGTGAAATGCTTGACACTAGTTAATTTAAGCCTATGCTTCTTGCTTGTCGTTTTAATAGATAACTTGATCAATGTATTTTATCTAGTTTTAACAGTGCCACCCACAATTTAAATTCTTTCCAACTTTGAAAACTACGTGCGCGTATGTTATCGATAATAGGTAGTGCGGTGCTAAACCGACGCCATGGCGTTGTCAAGGCCGAAGCGCTAGCTCGGGGATTTGACATGTATGATAACTCGTAAACAGAAGTAGTAAGTGCCATAAAACCGTTATTATAATATTTGTTTATTTAATGGACACTTACAACTAATGGCAAGACACTTATAATGTGTTTAATACGTAAACTTATTTAAAATGTGACAGCACCGTACGGGACATGTTCGCGAGATAAACTCATTAGAATCGTGCGATCGATTTCGGCTTTAAGATTGTCATAATGGCGGTAATTTTCTAATTGAAACATATAATACGACTACACTAGAATATCTATATCGAATATTTCTAAAAACTCGATTCCAACAGTGAGATTCGGCATTCTTCGGAAAAGGGCGAGTTTTTATAAAGTCTGCATCAAAAAGTCCGGATGTGGAATACCGAATCGAAACAGCGGAAGTCGGAATGCCTAATATATATAGATAGATAATATTAAAACAAAATTATTAGGCCTAATAATAGAATAGTTCAATAGATCTCAGATATCGGATATAGGCCTACAATATTTTTATTATAATATTAGATCGATTTATCAATAGGCCCTAGGCCTATTTAATTATTTAAAAAATATTTTATATTAGGCCCTACAATAAATCTATCTAAATAGGGCCTACTTAGTAAAAATACTATTATTAGTATTATTAGCTCTATTATTCTATTAGCCTACTTATTATTGTTATTATTAATAATAAATACTATTAAATACTGTAATGTAGATCTAATACTGTACTCAGTCTGAGTAGGGTAAAGGAGGGCGTTAAGAGCCACACTTTTTAGCACCTGTACATTTTTAAAGATTTCTACTAATCTAAGAATTTTTTAGTATTGAAAATATGGCAAAATTATTCTAACATATCTTACACAATATAAAAATAATAACAAAGTGTATTAAATATACTTTAAATGGGTTTAATTGAACATTTATTGTCATACCCCCAAAATCAGCATTTGGGGTGAAAGGAGCCGGGCAATGGGGCAATAAGTATTATCTCCTAGTTTAGACTAACTCCGCAATAAAAATAATTAATTTCTAACCCCAAAATAGTTAATGTTGTGTACACACACTGTAACTGATACTAGCTATCACTAGGCCCCAATGGGCCCAGTCTACAATTGATACAATTGCAGGTGTACATAGGGCCTAAGCCCTAAAGTCTAGTAGTTTACAGTAGGCACATTAGTATGCCTAGTGTGTAGCTAGTATACTAGTGTGTAGCTGTCCAGAGTTAACATTCTTGTATGTAAAAAGGGGTGGTACTAACTAAGCTGCCTTAATGCTTTCCCCTGATAAGCCATGTGTGCTATACATTACATAACATGACATGGAGGTGAGAAATGTTGAGGGGAGAGCAGTTGTACTGGTTTCCCCTTTGTTCTCCTTGCTGGACCCTGAGGGCCATAAATTACATAAGGAGATGCTATCTCTAGTTGGCTGAGATCTAAGAACTAAGTCCATGCTACCTACAAAGAGATAAGTTTTATGGTGGGTTAGATACAGGTGGGGGCTGGGTATCATGGGGGGGGAGAAATTGTGAGGGGAGAGCAGTGGTACTGATTCCTCTTTGGTCTCCACCCTGCTAGACCATGAAGGTCATATATTACATAACATGCCACCCCAGTTTGTCTGAGATCTGTAACTGTAATCCATGTTACCTACAAAGAGATGAAGTTTTATAGTGGGCCAGAAACTGGTGGGGGCTGGGTATCATGGGGGTAAGAAATTGTAAGGGGGGAGCAGTGGTATTAATGTGTCTGTTTACTTCCCTGCTGGACCATGAGGGTCATAAATTACATAACATACCACCCCAGATTGGCTGAGACCTAAGAGTATTTATTCCTGTTACCTACAAAGAGATTAGAAGTTTTATGGTTGGTTAGAAACAGGTGGGGGCTGAGTCGGCTGTATTGCCCCTTAGGGGTAATAAGTACATGTACCATTTTAAAAATTACCTTGCTAACATCAGATGGCTGAATTTTTACTTTTTAGCAGGTTAGAATTGTATTTCTATCATTTAGACACAAGTCTGTTTAACAATTAATACATTTTGTGTTAACTATTCCTATACCAGTGTCATATTCAGTGGTCTAATAAATGAGAAACTTGCACTTAGGGTTTCAAGAGCCACATAACAGTATCTGTTATAACTTTTCTAAACAGGCAAGCTAGTGGACAAAATTAATGTATTCATGTAGATTTAGTTATTATCTAACAAATAAAACCAATATGGTAATGATCAGTCAAGTTTTACTCTGATAATGATAAAAACTTTATAGCATGGTAAAATGGGACAAATGTCGGCCATTTTGTTTTGGCACCATTAATCACTGTGCAAAAAAAATTCACCAAAATAAAACTATTCTAGCCATAGCTATAAAAATAGTGTTAAACTGTACAACAACCAATGCTCTAATACAGGAACAAAGAATGGGCTTGAAAAACTCATTTGGTTTATTACAAAGTAAAGTTTCCCAAGTTATGTCTATTTGGAAAAAAAGTTCACAAAATGGTTTTATGGAGATGACAAATTTTAGGAAAAGAGCAGTGGGATTAAATCCTGTCTCATCCTCTCCCTATTGGACCAAGTGGGTCATAAATTACATAAAATGAATCCTCTGCTTCTCTGTTATCAAAGAACAGCAGTGGTTGTTACCTCAGAAGTAGATTAGCAGTGTAATTGGGGGTTTTGTAGGGGTGGGGTGTTGATTGGGGCTTAATACCACACGGCTCTTAACGCCCTCCTTTACCCTATATATTATATAAATGTAGATAATATTACTAATGTCACGTCTTAGATCTATGTCTTATACTATATACTACTTATTTATTATTTGTATACAAAGTCTAGACTTCTAGACATCACATTCTTATCATTCTATCAATATAGGCTATAGGTAGATTTAGAATTAGATCATGATCTAGAATAGATCTAGATCTAGATCTAAGTACAAGTAGCAATTGTAGTAATAGATCTAGAATTCTAGACTCTAGGATGTCTATAATAGTCTATATCTAGATTTGGATCTAGAAATCTAGATCTAGATTTAGAATAGAATCTAGAATCCTATAGATAATAGATAGTAGATAGGCTTGGCTACCTGGAATCTTGATTGTTAAGATGTAAAAATGAAACTGCAACAGTACAAAATAGATCTAGAGTCTAGGATCTAGAATCTAGATCAAGTATCTCTACCGAAACGAAATAATTCTTATTTACTAAATAATTGCATTAAAATAATGACAATGTGAATGTTGAACTGCTTTTATCAATAATTAATTAATTTAGTCAAATAATTTTAATATTTTAATATGCAAACAGACATCCTATAATTCCTAGTTGATACGATAATTGCAAGTTTTTATTTTTGTCTTATCAGAGGCGTAACTAGCCATTTCCGTGCACTGGACAAAATATCAATTCTGCGCATTAGGCCTAACTCTACTTCTAGATCCAGTGGCGTCGCTAGGTCGGTTGTCACCTGGTGCGGCACCTCTCGGTGTCACCCTCCCCCCCCCCCCCGAATATATATATATATATATATATATATATATATATATATATATATATATATATATATATATATATGTGTGTGTGTGTGTGTGTGTGTGTAACTAGTGTAGTTACAAACAGGTATGAATGTGACGACTTTGACAGTAAGTAGAACAGTAACTTTTAATGATGTTGCGTTTGGCATTAGTGGAGTGGACCTGCCAAACATTGTTTGTGGTTGAGAACACACAAAAAAGGTGGCATGAATGTATTTAGTGTAGGTACAAAAACAACGTAGTGCCTAATAGTGTCTGTCAAAAAGGACATGGTCAAGGCCAGAACTGAACTGAGTTATTTATAGTTATGATGCAATTGATATACTCTGGTGTGACTAAAATAGAATTTTACTTGTCAAATTGAAGACAAATGGACAAGTTATTAATAGAAACGATGCAATAGTTGGTACCGAAGTAGAATAGTTTGACCTTGATAGACATTGTTGACAACACCGGATGTACATCTGGGTGTGACTGTGTGTGTGAATACGAGCGGGCGCAAGAATGAAGAGAGATATAGAATGGACTGAATGCAAAGACAAGTGTTAGTAGATTGAGTTACGGAGTGATACAGTGTGTGGGCCTGTGACAGTGGAGGTCTGTTGAGATTCACATAATTATCTGAACTGTTATTATTCATGAGGAAATAAAGTGAAGTAATATTGAACCTGCGGGCAGAGTGTGCTTCTTTATATCAGGTGGGTGGATCGGTTCCAAATGAGGTGTCCTCGGCCTAGAGGTGGGATTTCCTAAGCCGTTGACGAATACCTACAGACAGGAGGCTGTACACGCCTCTGTCGCATTAGGGTGCCATGAGGAAGGGGTCGCACAAGACCTAACAAAGAACGACACACATGCTGCTGGCCGCTGCTAGTACTACTTGGTCATATATATATATAAATATATACGGTCTACATAGGCCTATATGTATTGTTCCAATTGGTGTCACCCCTCCCGTTTGGCATAATGGCGTCAATATTAATTCACCAATTAATTCATGTGCAAAAAGAGTTGTTTTCATCGTAAATTATTAGATTTCGGTGTCACTCCGTCCCCGGTCATTGATTGCTTTATCAGTTATTCAAAATACTAAACAAAACCTTTTTTCTTCTACAAAGTTTGTAGTTGGTGTTGCACTCTCCCGCCTCCCCCCTCCCCCCCCCCCCCCATGGGTGATACTTTTAAAGTGTGCACAGTTAATAATAAAAATGGCTATTTATAGTCAGTTATTAATATAGGTGGATTAACTCTAATTAATCATTAATTGAACTGGCAAAAAGCATATTTCTTTTATATATTTCGAACTTTCGCCATGGCGTCACCCCCCTAAATGGTGTCACCCGGTGCGGTCCACACCCCCCGTCCCGCCTCGCGACGCCTCTGTCTAGATATGTCTAGAATCTAGCTAGGTTCTAGATAAAGTAGTTTATTATTTAGCCTAGGCCTATAGTCTATACCAGGGGTCTTCAAACTTTTCAGCCCGAGGGCCGCATTAACTATCAAATATCAGTTCGGAGGCCACAGTTTCTTCCAGGCATCTCTTCGGGGTGGCGGAGTCCCCCCCCCCCCCCCCCAAAGAACCCACCCCCGACGAAATATAATTTATATAGAAATATATACATATTTTTAAGTGTCCCCCCCTCCAACCGGAGAAAAAAGTCTGAAAGAAACACTGTCGAGGACCAACAACACACTCGAGGTCCAAGTTCGTTCTCATATTGATCTTCACGTATTTCATTCTTGAAAATGTATGTTCACTCAGCTATGTTGTTCCAAAATTTGCAAGGTACTTTGATGCAAAAGTTTTAATATTAGGGAAGTCTTCCTTGTGCAAGAACTTATAAAAAACCAAACCATCAGTCCTTCATTGAACTTGTCCCAAAGTTTATTTGCTTGCCACTCAACAATCTCCAGCTGCAGTTCTTCTGGACAAATTGGCTACATCTGCTTCAAATGGGTTTTGAAACAATCTTACTTCTTCTGCCTTTGAATCCAAGGCTGAAACTGGAGGTCTTTGATGATCTCTCAAGCAAATGAAGACCCTGCACTGAAATTGCATCAGTGTTAGTCTATACTTGTTCCAAAAACATGACAAGTTTGGATCTGAAGGCCTTTATGTGTGCATAGGTCAGAAACTAGATTTTCCTTTTCTTGTTATTTAAGGTTCAGAAAATTTAAATAACTAGTTATGTCTTCGGCAAAGGCCAATTTCCATATCGCACCAGGTCTTTACTATGGTCAAGCGATTGAAAAAATTTAGCCTTAAATTTAGACTATTTAAACTCAACAGAACCATATAGGCTTCATTGTGTTCAAATGAAATGATAAATACAAATGGTATCTGCAGTGAGGTTAATTCAATTAGTAATAAAACAGATAGTGTTAACATTGCCGCAGTGTTAGACTCTTTAACATTTAGACCTAAACATTAAGCATCCTAATATAAAAAATCCATTTCGCACTTATATATCTCTCTCAGTCCATCTCATATTTTTTCGAGGTTATGAGATCAATATCTTCAACAATATATGGACAACAAATACAAAATGTATTAACTAAATATAGAAATACACCTTTAATTTTGCGACCGGAGACGTGTTTGTTTTTCGTATGTTTGTGTTGTTTGTTTATGTTTGTGACAAGAACGCTCTGAAGAAATATTAGTAACATAAAAAGAATCACCGGCAAAGAGAATGACGTCACATGAAACGAAGAGGAAAATGTGATCAAGAAACAGTTTAAACTTTAAACTACGGAAAGTAAGCAAAACGAATGTTGTCATTGATTGATGAGTAAAAATATAATTGAAAATCGAGGTCGAAATATTAATGACGTCAGTGATCATAGAGACACAAAATTAAACGTCTAAATTATGTGTCTAATATTAGAAAAGTATGGTCTAGATATAAACAAAAATACAACAAAGGTAAAATATTATTAGGGTTTTATTTCCAGTTAAATTTACGGATCGGCTTAAAATGCAGGTTCCGAATAAATTTACGTTTGCGGTTAAATTTCTTTCGCAATAAGGGTTCCTATTTCGTTTGAGAAATAAACTAATATTTTGGCAAGCAAAATGACTGAATGAATTCTGAGTTGGTTAAATCAACAGATTTTTAAAAACAATAACTAAAACTTCATTGGGTTTAAATGACGGAAACAATGTATTCTCTCTAAAATAACGTGACGAATTTTTACCACATCAACCATACCTGCCAATTTGTACCGTACTAATTTTTTGCATTAATGTATTAGGCCTTGGACCTTTTCACTATTATATTTTCAACATTCCCCATCGCCTTTTCAGCTTTGCATAATGTATGAGTAGAATCAATAATTGGACTTTTTTTAAAAAAGCTAGGCATACTTTCAATCAAGAAACAATTTTTTTAAATACCAAGTAAACCAACGCATTGCATAAGTAAATCGAATGTTTTTGAAAGTTTTGAAAATGCTACTTAGCCATATGGGCAATACGGAATACTAATACTAAATTCTCGGTCTGTTATCCCACTGCTCCGGCACATAGGCCAAAATTAAAACTTACCCAACAGCAGGGGCGGAACTACAGTGCCGCCAGACCCCGCATTGCGGGGTGGCCCGGGACGTTTAGGGGCCCGCAGCCGACCATAGTCAATTTTTTTTTACAGTTTAAAAAAAATAATCTTTTTTCATTTTTGACTTCATGGTTGTTTTTTTTTATAAAGAATACTGCAGCTGCGGTTGGATTATCTTTATTCTATAGACACCATCTCAAGTCCTCTTTCTTCAACAATCAAACACACGCTGTTGTCGGCAAAATTCTTTTGAAAATAAACCCATCGCGTGAAAGATACGCAATTGTTCAAACCACTTCCATGACTTATTTCCCTTTTTTAAATAGTCAAATATGTGTGCTCTTAAGCACCATTTAATAAATTTGCACTAAACAAATTAAAAAGCAATTACTTCTCTTAATTATTATTTAAAAAAAAAATACATAATAAAGAATAAAAAAGCATGACAAAGCATAAAAAGGAAATGCATTTAAAACTAATAATATAATAAGAAAAAAACATAAAAATAAACATAAGGCGAGAAACCATTACACATACACAGCTTTCATGCTTTATATTATTTCGACCGACTTACCTCGTAACCATGTTAAAACAGAGATCTTAAAAATAGTTTCACGAAACACTAAGTCAAATCAAAATGTTAAAATAACATGTCAAACGTGTAAACAAAATATACAAGAAACTGAGAAACACATTTATTTAGATTGTATATTAGTACAGAAAGCTAAGCAAACACTTACGAAAATATTAAACACCAACAATCAAACAGCCACAACAAATGAAGCAATCACACTTAATTTAATTAACACGACTAGACAAAGAACAGAAGACGAAAACAGACTAGTAGCAACGGCTATTTATAGATCGACTATATGGCAAATTAGGAATAAATTCAGATATTTTTTTCACAAAATACACGGACATCGAGTTAATAGAAAAAAAAATGTACAGGAAAGAAATAAAGTATTAATTTTAATTTAGACAGTCTCAAAAAAAAAAAAAAAAAAAAAAAAAAAAATTCAAAACAGACTAATAGCAGTCACACAAATGACCTGTTGTAACTTGTTTTTACTTTTTAATGAAAACTAAGTATTTTAGTGATTTTTCTTTTTAAATTTCGAACAAGCCCGAAATGAGTACTCTGTGTTGGTATTTTCGTATATATATATATATACATATATATATATATATATATATATATATATATATATATATATATATATATATATATATATATATATATATATATATATATATATATATATATATTATATATGGGGCCCAAAAAAATTCTTTGCGGGGTGGCCCTTTTTTTCTAGTTCCGCCACTGCCCAACAGTAGAAAATCTATTGGAGTTGAAAACTTGTCCAAGAAACTGGATATGTAGAGTCTACTTCCGTGTGCGTAGGTTAAGTCAAGCGAGCAAGTCTCCGCTGGTCAAGAGGTTGCACCACAGGGTGAAACTGACCGGCGTGACGAAACTCCAGAGGTCAACGTCGCAACAACAAATGTTTCATGGCGTTCAATCATCCAAATATCGCACCAGGTCTTTACTATGGTCAAGCGATTGAAAAATTTAGCCTTAAATTTAGACTATTTAAACTCAACAGAACCATATAGGCTTCATTGTGTTTAAATGAAAAGATAAATACAAATGGTATCTGCAGTGAGGTTAATTCAATTAGTAATAAAACAGATAGTGTTAGTTACCTCACAAGTTAAAGACAGTTACAAATACTATAACTGTCTTTAACACTATCTGTTTTATTACTAACTGTTTAAATGAAGGAAGCAATAGATTATCTCTAAAGTAACTCGACGTCCGTGATTTATTTTTAAAATCCCACATTTTCTGCAATCAAATTGTATTGTTTATGGGATAGGTGGTTGCTAGTAATGTTAAAAACAATTAGGGTTAATGGTCTAAGAATAATTGATATAACTTTAATTATATATGTTGGTGGGTGAAAATGTTAACATTTCTTTTATGTAGCAGCAGTACGATCCCTTTCCCCATCTTTTATCCTCATAAAAAATTTATTATTCCCTTGGGGTTCGTCCATAAATGACGTCACACTCGTAAGGGGGGAGGGGGGTCCATAATTTTGTGACGATGTGTGATGTGGGGGAAGGGGGGGGGGGTTCAGATGGAGCGACGTCACACTTTTGCATTATAAATAAACCGGGAGTGATCTCCCCTAAACTTTCTCGGATATTCTAATATAAAACTACGAGGGATGGCAACTCAGGACATAGACAATATTTGTAATCCATTTTTATTTACTTAAACTTTTTATAATAGAATCGAATCTCGTAAAAAAAAAGAATTGCACACTAAATGAACGCCTAATAAATGTGCATAATAGTGCGGGATATTATTAGTACTTTATAAATTTACGTGCGTTTTTTTGAGAAATTGGAAATAGCGTAAATTAGTACTTCCGGTCAACGGAAATTACTCAAAATTTGACAGAAGGAAGAGAATTAGATCTTTTACTTATATGTGAAATTTCATTTATCTACCTGAAATAGTACTCAAGTTATAGGCTTTTAAACAATTCAAAGTAGAAAAAGTACCACTTCCGGTTATCGGAAATCGCTCAAAAGTTGATAGGGATCTACGATTTTGATAAAATACTTATAAATGAAATTTCATCAACCTAGCTGTAACGGTACTCAAGTAATCGTGTTTACACACAGACACACAGACACACACACACAGACACAGCATTAGCTTAAAATTATCTAGCTTGAAATACTTTGTTCTGCTCATCGCGCGAGATTCACGCTATAAACTCACATTTCTAGATTATCATTACAACGGTCACTGTTTTGTTGGTATATCATCTTTTCCCGTTTGTGCCCAAGACACATAGGACAGATGAAGTAGAGCTCATCTTTTTCAATGACCTCGGCATACAGGGTGTTCAGCACTATGCTTGTTTCCCTAACATAAGTTAGGTGCCAATAAGAGCTGGGTGGACTCAGGTACTTTTTCTGATTTGAGCCCTCATTCGAACTAGAGACTTTCAGGTTAGCATACTAGCGCTCTACAGCTATGCCACGCCTTTATTTCTTGGTATATAATGTGAGTTGTTTAAAGTGCTTACATATAGATGCAGTGTTTGGTAAAGTATACTGTCTAGATATGTTAGCTTGATCTTATCAAGGCTTCCAATCTAGAAGAATTATCAAGGTGTACATTCTACATGTGCTAAGTGTCCACAGTATACGTGTATTTTCAGGCTAAATTTATTCTGCTGCTGAACTTGAAATTAATTTACATTTTATAAAGCCTAGTTTCGTAGTCGTAAAAGAATGAATCGATTTTTCCCCAAAATCTTTTATGAATGAAAGTGTAAATTTAGAACAACACGCCCTAATTACCTAATTTCATGAGTTTCCGGTTTTAACCAGATTTTTATTGGTCAAGCTATTTATATGGTATCTATAGAGGGTCCTCAAAAATAGGAGACAAGCTACTCAAAGAGATACGGAATACTATAAATAGCTGTACGAGGGTCACGTGTCACGATGACGTAACTGATAAAGGGAAAGTATAAATGGCTCAGGTCTCATGGCATCGGCAGACACAGCGGAGGATTACTTGGAACTCGTGGGACTAGGTCTAGACAGCGAGGGCCCGAACACGCAGGTCTTCCCTGGACTGATTCCAGACGAATCTCCAGTAGTCGGAGCTGGTTTGTCCACGTCATCAACTCTGTTGGAACTCCAACTGTGGATATCGCAAGATGTTTCTAGAAACTGTAGCTTGCGGCGTTGTCTTGGCGATTGTAGGCTTGTTATTGTAAGTAGCACACCAACTGTTTAACAAGTGTATTCGTAAGACCGAAAAAAAGAAGACTGTTTTTGTTTATTTCATTTAGCATAAATTGTTGTTAGATAGAAGTGACTACTGAACCTCAGGCAGACTATAAAACTTGTGACTTATGATTGTGCTAATAAATATCACATTCTCCTTCACTGGATTGATAGGACGATTTCTTAAATATACAAATGTGTCAATGTGATGTACATTAGCGACTCAGTAGTCTACAATTTCTCTTTACGACACAGGCACCTACGCCGTCACTTTAGTCAGTTCACAAAGATTGGCATCCCAGGGCCACACCCTAACATGTTTCTGGGGAACCTTCTGGAGCTTCGTGCCAAGGTAAGGAACGGAAAGACTTTCCGTTTATAAACATTTCATTATCCTCTTTTCCTTTTTTTTGTGCCCAAGACACATGGGACCGCCACAGAAAGCTCCATCTAATGATGTATGTCTCCGGCAATTATCCTGGCAGTCCCCATGACAGTCCTGCCTCTGCCAGCTGCTTCCTGGCAGTCCCCCATGACAGTCCTGCCTCTGTCAGCTGCTTCCTGGCAGTCCCCCATGACAGTCCTGCCTCTGCCAGCTGCTTCCTGACAGTCCCCCATGACAGTCCTGCCTCTGCCAGCTGCTACCTGGCAGTCCCCCATGACAGTCATGCCTCTGCCAGCTGCTTCCTGACAGTCCCCCATGACAGTCCTGCCTCTGCCAGCTGCTACCTGGCAGTCCCCCATGACAGTCCTGCCTCTGTCAGCTGCTTCCTGGCAGTCCCCCATGACAGTCCTGCCTCTACCACTGCTTCCTGGCAGTCCCCCATGACAGTCCTGCCTCTGCCAGCTGCTTCCTGACAGTCCCCCATGACAGTCCTGCCTCTGCCAGCTGCTTCCTGACAGTCCCCCATGACAGTCCTGCCTCTGCCAGCTGCTTCCCCGCCGTGCGCCTCCACGTCTCCCTTGGCCTTCATTTTTCTTGAGGCCTCAAGTTTAGCGCCGTTTCTGCGAAATCATCTGGATTTATTGTTAGGACGTGCCCTTATATACATATGCAGTTTCAGTACATATATTTTATATATCTTATGTTGTGCTTAGGGTCAGTTCCAAGCCGTCAAAGACTGGACAGAAGAGTATGGACGTGTGTTTGGTTACTTTGAAGGTTACACGCCCGTCATGGTGGTCAGTGATCCGGAAGTGTTACGTCACGTCCTGTTGAAGGACGCGGCCAACTTCATGAAAAGAAAGGCAAGTCATTATCCCCCACTAGGTTCAGTTGAATGTCAACCATAGACAAACCCTACATTAGTAAAGGTTGACCAATATCATCTGGTCGTTATATTAAGGTGAAGTGTAGTCCCGCAGAATGCCTACCTTAAAGAAACGTATTTTAGATCTACAATAGTTTGACGATTGCTTTTGTATATTTTTACGCTTGTAACTTTCGGTAACTTTTTCAGCCCTTTCCCCTGGCACCGAGGAAAAGTCTGGGACTGTTTCTGGAAGACGGGCCACAGTGGAAGAGAAGTCGTTCTTTGCTCACTCCAGCTTTTAGCACTGGGAAACTCAAGAAGGTGATTGTTTCGATATTTGTAAAGTTAAGGTTTTTATTTGACCATACAAGTTACAGCTAGCATTGACTTGTATGTAAAAATTTAATGGTAGACATTCCCGTGTAATGTTAGACGTTGATGCCGTGTAATGTTAGACGTTGATGCCGTGTAATGTTAGACGTTGATGCCGTGTAATGTTAGACGTTGATGCCGTGTAATGTTAGACGTTGATGTAATGTTAGACATTGATGTCGTGTAATGTTAGACATTGATGCCGTGTAATGTTAGACGTTGATGCCGTGTAATGTTAGACGTTGATGCCGTGTAATGTTAGACGTTGATGCCGTGTAATGTTAGACGTTGATGCCGTGTAATGTTAGACGTTGATGCCGTGTAATGTTAGACATTGATGTCGTGTAATGTTAGACATTGATGCCGTGTAATGTTAGACGTTGATGCCGTGTAATGTTAGACGTTGATGCCGTGTAATGTTAGACGTTGATGCCGTGTAATGTTAGACGTTGATGCCGTGTAATGTTAGACATTGATGCCGTGTAATGTTAGACGTTGATGCCGTGTAATGTTAGACGTTGATGTCGTGTAATGTTAGACGTTGATGCCGTGTAATGTTAGACATTGATGCCGTGTAATGTTAGACATTGATGTCGTGTAATGTTAGACATTGATGTCGTGTAATGTTAGACATTGATGTCGTGTAATGTTAGACATTGATGTAATGTTAGACATTGATGCCGTGTAATGTTAGACATTGATGTCGTGTAATGTTAGACATTGATGTCGTGTAATGTTAGACATTGATGTCGTGTAATGTTAGACATTGATGTCGTGTAATGTTAGACATTGATGTAATGTTAGACATTGATGCCGTGTAATGTTAGACATTGATGTAATGTTAGACATTGATGTCGTGTAATGTTAGACATTGATGTCGTGTAATGTTAGACATTGATGCCGTGTAATGTTAGACGTTGATGCCGTGTAATGTTAGACGTTGATGCCGTGTAATGTTAGACGTTGATGCCGTGTAATGTTAGACGTTGATGCCGTGTAATGTTAGACGTTGATGCCGTGTAATGTTAGACATTGATGTCGTGTAATGTTAGACATTGATGCCGTGTAATGTTAGACGTTGATGCCGTGTAATGTTAGACGTTGATGCCGTGTAATGTTAGACGTTGATGCCGTGTAATGTTAGACGTTGATGCCGTGTAATGTTAGACATTGATGCCGTGTAATGTTAGACGTTGATGCCGTGTAATGTTAGACGTTGATGTCGTGTAATGTTAGACATTGATGTCGTGTAATGTTAGACATTGATGTCGTGTAATGTTAGACATTGATGTAATGTTAGACATTGATGCCGTGTAATGTTAGACATTGATGTCGTGTAATGTTAGACATTGATGTCGTGTAATGTTAGACATTGATGTCGTGTAATGTTAGACATTGATGTCGTGTAATGTTAGACATTGATGTAATGTTAGACATTGATGCCGTGTAATGTTAGACATTGATGTAATGTTAGACATTGATGTCGTGTAATGTTAGACATTGATGTCGTGTAATGTTAGACATTGATGTCGTGTAATGTTAGACATTGATGTCGTGTAATGTTAGACATTGATGTAATGTTAGACATTGATGCCGTGTAATGTTAGACATTGATGTCGTGTAATGTTAGACATTGATGTCGTGTAATGTTAGACATTGATGTCGTGTAATGTTAGACATTGATGTCGTGTAATGTTAGACATTGATGTAATGTTAGACATTGATGCCGTGTAATGTTAGACATTGATGTCGTGTAATGTTAGACATTGATGTCGTGTAATGTTAGACATTGATGTCGTGTAATGTTAGACATTGATGTCGTGTAATGTTAGACATTGATGTAATGTTAGACATTGATGCCGTGTAATGTTAGACATTGATGTAATGTTAGACATTGATGTCGTGTAATGTTAGACATTGATGTCGTGTAATGTTAGACATTGATGCCGTGTAATGTTAGACATTGATGTCGTGTAATGTTAGACATTGATGTAATGTTAGACATTGATGCCGTGTAATGTTAGACATTGATGTCGTGTAATGTTAGACATTGATGTAATGTTAGACATTGATGCCGTGTAATGTTAGACATTGATGTCGTGTAATGTTAGACATTGATGTAATGTTAGACATTGATGTCATGTAATGTTAGACATTGATGTCATGTAATGTTAGACATTGATGCCGTGTAATGTTAGACATTGATGTCGTGTAATGTTAGACATTGATGCCGTGTAATGTTAGACATTGATGCCGTGTAATGTTAGACATTGATGTCGTGTAATGTTAGACATTGATGTCATGTAATGTTAGACATTGATGTAATGTTAGACATTGATGCCGTGTAATGTTAGACATTGATGTCGTGTAATGTTAGACATTGATGTCGTGTAATGTTAGACATTGATGTCATGTAATGTTAGACATTGATGTCGTGTAATGTTAGACATTGATGTAATGTTAGACATTGATGTAATGTTAGACATTGATGCCGTGTAATGTTAGACATTGATGTCGTGTAATGTTAGACATTGATGCCGTGTAATGTTAGACATTGATGTAATGTTAGACATTGATGCCGTGTAATGTTAGACATTGATGTCGTGTAATGTTAGACATTGATGTCATGTAATGTTAGACATTGATGTAATGTTAGACATTGATGCCGTGTAATGTTAGACATTGATGTCGTGTAATGTTAGACATTGATGTCGTGTAATGTTAGACATTGATGTCATGTAATGTTAGACATTGATGTCGTGTAATGTTAGACATTGATGTAATGTTAGACATTGATGTAATGTTAGACATTGATGCCGTGTAATGTTAGACATTGATGTAATGTTAGACATTGATGTCGTATAATGTTAGACATTGATGCCGTGTAATATTTACCATATAACAAACCCACCAGATGACGCCAATAATGACCGAATCAGCTGATATTTTGGTGGAGAGACTTACAGACAAGGCCAAGGAACAAAAGAGCATGGATATATACAGGTATACATAGTTTTCACATACACTTTATACATATACACACCATATAGTAATATACATGATACATACACACTAATATATATATATATATATATATATATATATATATATATATATATATATATATATATATATATATATATATATATATAATGCACAAATACCACCATAAACACAGGTTCGTAAATTAAAAGCACACATATTCTCTGTTTCTACATGCATCCATTCCTTACTAACAGCACATAGATGTAATGACATACAAACGTTAAACACTGTAGGTTAAAAAACTTACATACACAACCCTAGTACTACAATGGTATTCTGATATTCTGGTGCAGTGTGTTCCAGTCCCTGACCCTTGACGTCATTGGCAGATGCGCGTTCGGCCTCCAGACTAAAGCTCAAGTGGACGACAATGATTTGTTCCTGGTCAAGATCCGCAAACTTTTCCACACGATGTCCACTACACTAATCGAACCTTTAGTCAGTAAGTGTGTGTGTGTGTGTGTGTGCGTGTTCATGCGCGGAGCTTAGTTAACCCACAAACCTTGCTGTGGACTGAGTTTAAGTCCTCCAGTCTCCCACCCCGCCTCTAGATCTAGTAGTAAAGCGACAATGACGTAAAGTTAGTAAATAACAGACAATGGATTGTCTAGTCGAGAACACGACTACTAGCCGTGGTTTCGAATTTACTGGACGATACTGAGTAATTACCTGGGCCGGGGGAAGTAAATAAGGTTGGGTAACAGCTAAAGACAAACTCCACTTCGCTTTTGAAAGGCTAATTATACTTTTCCTATCGGTGAGTCGCCCATGACAAATGGTTGGGCTTGTGCCTTCAAACAATCACCAATTATTATAATACAAATAAACTGCTACATTCTAGTGATGGCGGAGGTCGACCTTTACTAAGTGAAAAGACTTTACTGCAGTAATCTTGGACATGCGGTATACACTGGAGATTGTGATAGGGTACTACGGGTAATCACGGACATGTGATAGGGAACAGTACAGAACATTGTCTATTCCAGCGCTGGTGCCCATTGTGTTATGTCTTATATATGCTCTATTATATTCCAGTGGCGGTGTCCTTTGTGTTATGCATTATATCTGCCCTCTTCTATTCAATGCCCATTGTATTATGCCTTATATATGTCCTATTCTATTCAATGCCCATTGTGTTATGCCTTATATCTGCCCTCTTCTATTCCAGTGGCGGTGCCCATAGTGTTATGCCTTATATCTGCCCTTTCTATTCCAGCGCCCCTTGTGTTATACCTTATATCTGCCATATTCTATCCCAGTGGCGGTGCCCATTGTGTTATGCCTTATACCTGCCCTCTTCTATTCCAGTGGCGGTGCCCTTTGTGTCCTGCTTCATCTTTGCCCTGAAGAACATCGTCTTCCTGTTCGGCATGAACCCCGTGGTGTGGCTGAGGGACACGATGAGGGAGGTCATCAGGGCCCGCCTGGCTCTCGGCGTGAGTTGTCTCGCTTTGTCTGTCACTTGAGTCAAACTTAGAGCCATGGTGTCGGGCACCTGGTTAGCTATAAAGTGGGACTACTCTGGTGGGGGGGGGGGGAAGGGGTCTAGGACTTTCACCCTGGTCATTACCCCACAGATCAATTACTGCCAGTCAATCAAACTTTCAGATGAATTACTCCCCCCCCCTCCGTCAACTACAACCATGGTGATTACCCTGTCTAGAGACTTTTTTGTTTGTGGAAATTAAAATGTTGAAAAACCTTAAATTTTCTAAAGCTTCTCGGTTATATGGAAGTGAAATTGAAAACAACATGAAGCCTTTTTTTTAGGGAGTGGATACTGTATTTTGTGATGACGTGACAAAAGTAGAAGGGGGGAGGGGGATGACAATTCGACTAAAATGTAGTCAATTTTGAGGATCCGTTATTAAAAAAAAACACAAAAAAACAAACTTTTCTGTTTCAGCCAAACGCCAACGTCATCGACCTTGTCCAGCTGATGTTGTTTCCCGACAAACCCCACCACGACGCATGCGCAGACGTCCACGTCGGCCTGACTGAGCGGGAAATCGTTGCCCAAAGTATGACATTTCTGTTGGCTGGCTACGAGACGACCAGCGCCATCCTGGCCTACTTCTGCCACGAGATGGCGAAAAATCCGGCCATTCAAGCCAAACTTTACCAAGAGATTGTTGATAACATAGAAAAGGTAAACAAGCAGCTAATAATAGACCGAGCGTCCTGAACGTAAATAAACACACATTAAAGGAATTCTGTCCCTAATTAAGAAAACTGGGCACGGGCCATGGGAACAGGAGAACACAAGGACTAAATATTTAATCTTTATTCTCAAATAGATATCAGTTAGTGAGGTTATGTATAAACAAAACCTGAAATATGGAAAGGGAGGGGGGGGGGGTAATCACGTGATTAAACGCCCACACAAGGCTAAGCTTTAAATGCACACAACAAAACAAAAAACAATTGAGAAGTTGTGAGAGGTAAACAGATGCCGATTAAAAACACAATACGTGTACAACAATATTTTACACTAAAAATAATTCCATAATTATTTCCCCTGAAATAAAAATGAAATTATCTCCCCTAAACCAATCAAATTATCTCCCTTAAAATGAACTTCCTGTGTTTGCAGGATGTAAACTATGAATCGATCCAAGACCTGCACTACTTCGATGCCGTCTTTGATGAAGTCTGTAGACTGTACCCCACTGCCTCCTTGTGAGTTCATAACCCTTTCATCTTGTGGGAGTTTACCTTGATACTTCCGGTCTTGTAGAGCTCATAGAATATGATGGTCAGTGCGTTCAGTTCACAAACATATGATGGTCAGTGCGTTCAGTTCACAAACATATGATGGTCAGTGCGTTCAGTTCACAAACATATGACGGTCAGTGCGTTCAGTTCACATACATATGATGGTCAGTGCGTTCAGTTCACAAACATATGACGGTCAGTGCGTTCAGTTCACATACATATGATGGTCAGTGCGTTCAGTTCACAAACATATGATGGTCAGTGCGTTCAGTTCACAAACATATGATGGTCAGTGCGTTCAGTTCACAAACATATGGTGGTCAGTGCGTTCAGTTCACAAACATATGATGGTCAGTGCGTTCAGTTCACAAACATATGATGGTCAGTGCGTTCAGTTCACAAACATATGGTGGTCAGTGCGTTCAGTTCACAAACATATGATGGTCAGTGCGTTCAGTTCACAAACATATGATGGTCAGTGCGTTCAGTTCACATACATATTATGCTGGTCAGTGTGTTCAGTTCACAATCATATGATGGTCATCTAAAGTCATCTATATTTTGTTGATATAATCTTTGACTTTTGACTTTTTGATAATTTTGATATTTTCTTTAACTTTTGAAATCAATATAAAAAGTAGCCATCAATGTTCAGTAAATGTTGATTCAAGTTGCTATGGCCAATCTATTTTTAGCATTGTATCCCGGCAAGCCTGCGAGACGCGGCGTTACGGTCACGTGACGATCCCCGCGGGGATGAATGTTCTGGCCAACGTGTGGGCCCTCCACAGGGACAAGAGCTACTGGACAGACCCTGACACCTTTAATCCTGAGCGGTCAGTTCTGTTGCTTTAGCGATTGGTTGATTCGTCTGTACATGACGTCACAGGAGAGTGGGGGGGGGGGGGGGGGGGGGTTGGGTTCAGTCTTTTGTAACGTAGAAAAAAAAGGGGTGGTTGGGGGGGGGGGGGAGAAATCTTACGGATTATTTTCGTATTTCTGATAAATACTGATTATTTAAAACATTAAGATTTATGTAAGTATTTTGGTTGTTTTATGGGATTGCTGAGACCTAAACTAATGAAAGTGTCTGGTTTTTATGGCGATGACGTTTCACGAATAGGGGTGGAAGGTAAAATCGGATGTCATTTATTGATGACCCTTAATTAAAAACACCTGTATTTATGACGTTAACTGAGTAATTTTATAGGCTACTAAGCAGATTATTAAAAACATATTTCCGATAAAAAAAAATAATTCTCGGGCGGAAGTTTAGTCTGACGAAAAAAGCGAACGTTTATTAATTAGCTCACCCAAGACGAGGCAGCATGTTTACATTAATACAGTTATTGACGTGGTTTCCGGTTTGGTCCAAATCGAGGCCAGGTGACAGCACTGTAGCTCAAGACCGAATTCGATATGTACCTCGTAGCTGATTGGTTATGTTTGGGGCACAATTAGAAGATTTACGGACCTTGGCCCAGGGGTAGTTCAGTGTATAGACCCGGCCCCTCCCATATGGTATTTGAGAGCATCAAAGTAATATCAACATAACTATAACATCACTGAAACCAGCCCATATAATTTTAAAGAGAACCGGGGGATGTAATTAAAAACATAAATACACCAGCAATATAAGGACAAAACCTCGCGTTCTCTTAAATTAACACGTGAGAAGTTGTCTCACACGTAAGTGTACAGGGAAGCCACATTTGCGTATACTACTAGTACTAGACTAGTCTGTTTTTTAAAGGAAAAGACAACCGCGTAATTCAATTTTCACGGGGAAATATAATATGAGTTATTTCTCTTTGACAACATTTTTTTTTTATTTATTAAAAAGTTTGAATTGATGATAGAGTTTGATATTCTCGATTGCAACACGTATAATTACTTGCTGTTTTATTCCAGCTTTATGGACGAGCCCCAGACGAAGAGATCCAACTTCACGTTCCTACCGTTTGGTGCCGGCCCCAGGCATTGTATCGGCATGAGGTTCGCCACCATCGAGGCCAAGATCACCATCGTCAAGGTCATGCAGAGCTTCTGTATCGAGAGAGCAGACGACTCACAGGTAATTCGATGGTTGAAGGTAAATTTTTATGGTCTACAGGCCAGATAACTCACGGACAACTCATAGTTAGATAAATGATGGTCTAGTTTTGTCTACAGGCCAGATAACTAATAGGTAATTCCATGACTGTAGGTCTAGTTTTCGCGTACACGGCAGATAACTCACAACCAACTGGATAACTCTAGGTCTGATATTTATGCAAGGGCAGATAACCCTAACGTTGTTTCAATGACTGGGGGTCTAGTTATTGTGGCTAACTATGTGAGTTGTATAGGGGAGGAAACTTGGGCTCACGCATAATTTTGTTTATCTCATGGTTTTTTGAGAAGGGGGGGGGGGGGCGGGGGGCGGGGGAGAAAGGAAGATCAGCTGACCTCCCTTGACTAAAGGTGCGTGCGACAATGTAAAAAAAAAATGTCTTTATTTACGTCTTTATTGACTATTTGTGAGGAAAACATTTCTAGAACTTAGCGCCTATTTTAAATTATGGTTTGACACTTGAGCTTAATTAAAAACGTAATACTTAAACAACAGAGTTGTGAGTTTAGTCTTGTAAATGACGCAGATAGTTCACAAATGTATATTTTAAAGCTCACAAATGTAGGATTTAAAGCTCACAAATGTATGTTTTAAAGCTCACAAATGTATGTTTTAAAGCACACAAATGTATGTTTTAAAGCACACAAATGTATGTTTTAAAGCACACAAATGTATGTTATAAAGCACACAAATGTATGTTTTAAAGCACACAAATGTATGTTTTAAAGCACACAAATGTATGTTTTAAAGCACACAAATGTATGTTTTAAAGCACACAAATGTATGTTTTAAAGCACACAAATGTATGTTTTAAAGCTCACAAATATATGTTTAAAAGCTCATAAATGTATTTTTTAAACCTGATGATTCCATTAAACTTTGAATCTTGTTAATCTTGTTAAAACAAGGATGAACTGGAACTGTTCTCAAGAGGCGCCATCGTACCCAAGGACAAGGTCAATGTCAAGATGACCAGACGGGTGACCGCAAGCAGGAGAAGGATGGTCAGGCACTCCTAGAGCAGCTGCCACCAGTGCCATTAGCCAGCGCGTGGAACCTCGTTATGAAGGGCTTGCTGCTCCAGCATTCTGCCCGGAACAAACTGAAGAGTTCCACTTCACGCACTCCTTCTTGTTGCCATTCGCTTTTTTAATGTTTTTAAATTCTAAATTATTATCTTTCTTCCCCCGCCAACGTAAACACAGATTGAATTACAACTTGCCCTTAATGTTTTGAAACAATAATGATCTGGTAATTAGACCCTTTTTTTCCTAATATGTGTACCAGGATTTGTGTTCGGTCTTTGATTGTTGATATATTTTGCGTTACCTACTTTTGGGTAAACCGGTGCAGCCTTTGTTGAAATTGTTTTTAATTTTTTGGTGCATTTTTAAAAAAAGAAATTAGATAATTGTTGCATTAAGATTAACACAATCAGCATATTTAAAAAAAAAACAACAACACGTGATCATTAAAATAGCACAACAAATGTTTCAACCAAGATAAAAAAAAAAGAAAAAAAAACAAAGAAAAAAAAACAACAACAGACATTGAACAAGAGAAATTGAAACTATGTTGTTCTCAAGTATTTTAAGCTGACTGTTGTTGAAAAAAATTTATTTCAAAACTGGTAGGTTCTACGTAGTTCTTTCCTCTAGAGGCCAAAGATAATTTGCCGTGTTCTCTTATTGCTAAAGTGCTTTTAAGTGTACTTTCTGGGTAACATTCTAAAATATATCCGAAGCCAATTTCATTTACACCTTACGGGTAGTCTTCAAAATAATTGTTTTCAAAATCTGTTGTATCCAGTTTTTTTTAACTCTGCCAATAGAGTCTGTCTCACTCAGCGCATATGTACTTAATATATTTCATACACATCTCCTATCCAACGTTTACATAAGCTTAACCACTTTAATGAGGACGTGTTTAATTAACCGAGCTATGATTCTTAGAGTGGTGGAGTTTACAAATCCCTGACTCAGCAAACAACCCCCCCCACCCCACCAGTCTGGCACCGTCAGTCTAAGCCTGCAGGCAGAAACAGCCGGAAGTCGCAATGTTCCTAGCCTGATTCGAACCCAGGACCGATGGAAATCTAATCTAAAAATAACATCCGCAATAAAAACATTTCGAACAGATGCGTACAATTAAAATTATGTTTTGGAGGAATTTTATCGTTTAAATTTTTCTTGCAAAAACTTTTTACTAGATAGGCTAATAATGCTGTATAACAACATTGTAATTCTCACTTCATGGCATTTTATAAAATTACTATGTGACATCCTACATGACAGCAGTCTATGATACAACATATGACACTTGTCTATGACACAACTATGACATCTGCCTACTTTACAATATATCTGTCTATGATTCAACTAATTACACCTTATATAAAACCTTTATTTGACGTCACAGCATGCCCAATTCATTAAAATCCCCTATACTCAAACAATATGTGTTCTATGGAGAATTTAAATACGAAATGGTAATTAAAATTTATTACTATTTACAATAAATGCCTTATTAATTCACCATAAATCTTGCAAATACTGTATACTTAAACGTATTTTGTTTTTTATTTGATTTTTATTTTGCTGTTTTTATTATTTTTAGGTGGAAGAGGCAAACGTAATTAAATGTTTATAAGTGTTGTGTAATGTATCACTAAAAATCATTGCCTTGATTTGCTTTCTTTTTAGTTTTGCTCAATGTTTGAAATGGTTGCATTGGTGTACTGCATTGGCAATTTACCTACTTACGTTCTGAAAAAAAAATTAACATAGGGCAATACAACACTATCGTGTGATAAAACCGTAACACGATGCCATTCAGATAATTTATTTTAAGAATCCTAATTTTTGTAGTAGCAAATAGCCTTTGGAAAGGGGGGGGGGGGGTATTCAACGTGTTGCTGTATATATTTAGTAATAGAAAAAAAAATTACACGTGGTGGGGGTGGATCAAAATGTCTTTATTATTTATATGATACTCCCACGATCTCTAATGCGCGCCTTTATCGTATAAAAGCGAATACATTAAAACAGTCACACACGTGTATTTGATGTAGCTGTGTGGGTTGGTGTTGCCGTCTGGTCAGCACCGGGTACACTCCTGGCACTTTAAAAGTTCGTAGATCTAGAATCTAGCGAAACGAAATAACCCCAGAGCAAAGGTGATCACATTTTTCTATACCGCTGTTTAAAAGAGCTTTTTCATGTCGGACTGATGAAGACGGCCCATCAGTTATTGACGGCTAAAAATATACTGCGCACAATTCTCGCGCAGGTGCGGAAGCTTGGCGACTCCTCGCGAGAGTTTACGGTAATTAAAACATAATTTGTGTTCCAAAGTTCATTAGGACTATTGGCTGGAACAACAAGCACTTTTGTCTCTCATCTTAAAGCGATCGAACCTGGATTACAGAGGGGAATAACTCTGTCAGAGGGGAATAACTCTGCCAGATGGGTATAACTCTGACAGAGGGGAATAACTCTGTCAGAGGGGAATGACTCTGTCAGAGGGGTATAACTTACAGAGGGGAATAACTCTGTCAGAGGGGAATAACTCTGCCAGATGGGAATAACTCTGCCAGAGGGGAATAACTCTGACAGAGGGGAATAACTCGTGTGTCTAGATAACAAAACTCAACTTACTTGCTACTGTTATAAATCAAAACTCAACTCACCAACGACAATAAAACATCAAAACTTAGCACGCCGACGACTCTAAAACTCAAAATTCATCACAACAACTAAACTAAATCATCAAAACTCAACCCACTAGCTAAACTAAAACATCAAAGCTAATCCCACCAACTAAACTAAAAACTCACCAACGACAATAAAACACCAACACTCAACCCACCGACTACTCTAAAACATCAAAATTTAGCATACCAACTAAACGAAAAAAGATATATCCAAGCTCAATTGAGTAAATTGTGCAACAACATTCAAACTGTAGTGATGTTTAACCCCGACATCCCCACACAAAACACAATACATTTTTTGTTCAGGCCTGAAAGGGTTATGGAACAGTGCAAAGATTACCGTGGTGTTGGTAGATGTTGGTTGATTGCATGGATACTGGCGTGAGTTAGGGGGGGGGGAGGTGAGTGATATGTTTCTGAGAGAGGATGTTTCAACAAGTGATGTGAAGTGTGATTGGTAGTGGGATGTCAAATGTGATGAGATTTGTGTTGATTATTGGATGTGAGATGGGCATATACGATAGGAGTAGTGATGGTTTTTTTATGTGAGATGGAGATGGGGTATCTAATGGTGGCTAAATGTTTGATGGTGACAGGACATGTGAGGCGGAGGGTTGGGGGGGGGGTGTATCACGATGCTGAGATATGCGATGAATTGAGCATATTTTAAAGATACACACTCGTTGTCTAATTGCCTGTTCTTAGATGACCCAGTAGTTCGCCAAATTCGACCCGACTTCTCATCAAGTGTGGATATGTCGTACTCTCCATCCCCTCATCGTTTCCAACCAGAAATCAAACAAGACCTTCACGATTGAACAAAGACATTTATGAAGCCGCCTGTACTAAAGCAACAGCTAAAAACAAAAACAATACAACACAGGGCTGGACTGATCTACGTTTAAATATTATACTATATGCTCTCTGGTTTGCTGAAGTAAGCATTCCACCACAAGCAATCCGTTCACCGGAAGTTTGCCTGTGACGTCACACGCGATGATTGGTATGTTAAAAAGTTCTTCTTATCAATGAATTTCAACGGAGATGCTCCGGGTTCTGTTTAATGGACTGATAAACTCCGAGATTAGAAAAAAAAGTACCAGGGGAGGTAACTTTAACGCAACTGAAAGGGGAGATAAATTTAGAAGAAAAGAACTAAAAAGTAACATCAGTTATTTTTAGATTGTTTTCTTTTTCTTCAAAGCTGAAGAGTTGTCTAGTTGAGACATTGACATCGACACCCGTGGCCTTTATGTTAGCCGGGGTGTTTGGCTGTTTTTTTTTTCAGGTGAAGGGGCGAGACTCAGGCAGTTTGTTACATCAGATGTATTTGTTCTAGGGCAGTTTGTTACATCAGATGTATTTGTTCTAGGGCAGTTTGTTACATCAGATGTATTTGGTAAAGGGCAGTTTGTTACATCAGATGTATTTGGTTTAGGGCAGTTTGTTACATCAGATGTATTTGGTCTAGGGCAGTTTGTTACATCAGATGTATTTGGTCTAGGGCAGTTTGTTACATCAGATGTATTTGGTTTAGAGCAGTTTGTTACATCAGATTTATTTGGTCTAGGGCAGTTTGTTACATCAGATGTATTTGGTCTAATGCAGTTTGTTACATCAGATGTATTTGGTCTAGGGCAGTTTGTTACATCAGATGTATTTGGTAAAGGGCAGTTTGTTACATCAGATGTATTTGGTTTAGGGCAGTTTGTTAAATCAGATGTATTTAGTCTAGGGCAGTTTGTTACATCAGATGTATTTGGTCTAGGGCAGTTTGTTACATCAGATGTATTTGGTCTAGGGCAGTTTGTTACATCAGATGTATTTGGTAAAGGGCAGTTTGTTACATCAGATGTATTTGGTTTAGGGCAGTTTGTTACATCAGATGTATTTGGTCTAGGGCAGTTTGTTACATCAGATGTATTTGGTCTAGGGCAGTTTGTTACATCAGATGTATTTGGTTTAGGGCAGTTTGTTACATCAGATGTATTTTGTAAAGGGCAGTTTGTTACATCAGATGTATTTGGCTTAGGGCAGTTTGTTACATCAGATGTATTTGGCTTAGGGCAGTTTGTTACATCAGATGTATTTGGTTTAGGGCAGTTTGTTACATCAGATGTATTTGGTCATCCATAAATGACGTCACGCTTTTTTGGACGATTTTTACCCCTCCCCTCCGTCACACGTCGTCACTAAAAGCCAGACCCACCCCCCCCCTAAAATGAAGTCACACCCCAGCCTACACCCCCTTCAAAAATGCTGTTGAATGTTTCTTAAAACATCGATATTTTTCCAAAATCTTGTCGGAACTCTGTCAACATTGAGTGATGCAAAAAAGTGACGTCATACCATCTGAAACCCCTTCCCCCCTCATCACACACAGTCACAAAATTACGGACAACCCCCCTCCCTACGAGTGTGACGTAATTTATGGACGGCGTTGTGCAGTATCTGGAGCTGTATCTAGTCTAGACAGTCGCCTGCAGAAATCCTAGATTGAAACGATGCCTGGGATCGGCGTGGTCGGGTAGGTAAAGCTCACAGTTTCTAAGCTGAAAAGTCTGATCTCCAACCCAAGTTCGCTTAACACGTTGATACGCTATTTTAAAATGTATTGGAGAAAGAACCGACCAATGTTGCTATTAAGAGCGAAGAAGAAGAAGAAAAAAAGATACCTGAATTCTACGTACACACGTATCAAATATCGGAAAGAATTTAAAAAAAACTGACATTGTCTATTGTAAATTGGTTTAAAAGTTAAAACAATTATACGTTGTTAAAAAAAATACAAAGGTAAGCGGCAATTGAGAAAACAATTGGAACATTTCCCCATCAATTAGGCAGGAAATTTAAACGATAATTGTCTGTCTAATCTGTCATCATATGTCTGCTGTCTGGGCGGGAATGGTCGTCATGTCTGTTGTTAAAGGAAAAAAAAAAAGGTTTTGTATGCAAGGTTTTATTTCTGAGGAATTTGTTCCGACTACGGCTGTGTGTTTTCCGTCTACGGTTGTTTTACTGCATGCGTCTGTGATTACTCTTCTATTTCGACTCTTGCTGAATCTTGTTCCGACTACGGCTGTGTGTTTTCCGTTCACGATTGTTTTACTGCATGCGTCTGTGATTACTCTTCTACTTCGACTCTTGCTGAATATTGTTCTGACTGCCGGCGTGACTTTCAAAACATGTATGAATTCGGATAATCACCCTCTGATATAACCTATGTCCTAGTCACCCTCTGATATAAGCTGAGTCCTAATCATCCCGATATAAGCTGGGCCCTAACCACCCTTTAATATAAGCCACGCCTTAAGCCACCCTCTGATACAAGCTTTAAAACTTTGAAAGACACCCCACCCCCTTGGCCTCAGACAGTACAAAAACCTCAAGTATAATCATACACTCGTTTTGTTTGATTAAAAAAAATGGAACTTTAAACCAGCAAGCTGAATTCGCGCTTCATCACAGTGTTAAAAGGCCAAGAAAACGTTTTCTTACTTTGTCAAAAAACCCGATTACAGCAATAGAATTTTAACTAACCAAAAACTCTAAGTTTTACGGTATCTCGCCAGTGGGGATTAGCGCATTGTTACGGACTATTTGGGGCGGCGCATTGATACGGACTATTTGGGGCGGCGCATTGTTACGGACTATTAGGGGCGGCGCATTGATACGGACTATTAGTCCTAAAGTAGCGCTGGCAAGTTTATAGCGGCTCCGTGCGGTGATGGAGAGATGGAGGCTGGGGCACCGTACCTGTCCCAGATTTTTTCAACTGCTCATCCTGGGGATGGGGAGTGACGTCATGCTGACATACCCGGGTTGAATGGCGAGGGAGGGGAGCTCTAGTAAGGGGGTGTGGGGGTAGTTAGTCTCCTTGGTTTCAATATTTTTAGCACCACATATCCCACGTGACCTGAGGGGGAAGAGAGAAAAAATGCAACAAGGAAGTGAATGATAGATCACACATGTGTTTACTCCCTTACTTTTTTAAACTGCTAGACTAGAATGCTAATGATAAACGTATATGTGACAGAATTTTAATAAACGATTTGAAGAGAAAATTGTATAGTCTTATCATGCCCAGAGTAATTAGTTCGAGCTAGCGAGTTGATTTTGTTTGGATTTGAAAGTTGATATGTTAAATGGTGTGTGAGTGGTGATGGGAAGGTTTGAGTGGTGTTCAAGGGGTTAACATGTATTAAGGAGGAAAAAAGATGAAAAGAATTAAAAATGTATACGCATCTGTACGATATATCATTCTAATCCACTAATAATTATGAAATGAAACACGCCGTTGATTGAAGAAATGGTTTTAGAGTGGCACCCTAGTACACACAGAAAACATTTGTCCAGGGAGTTAGGGGGCACCCCAGGCCCAGTCCACCCATTCAACATCTGTCCTAGGAATGAGGGGGCCCCAGCCCACCCACAAAACATCAATCCGGGGAGTGAGGGGGCACCCCAGCCCACTCAGACATCTGACCGGGGAGTGAGGGGGCATCCCAGCCCACTCAGACATCTGACCGGGGAGTGAGGGGGCATCCCAGCCCACTCAGACATCTGACCGGGGAGTGAGGGGGCATCCCAGCCCACTCAGACATCTGTCCGGGGAGTGAGGGGGCATCCCAGCCCACTCAGACATCTGACCGGGGAGTGAGGGGGCATCCCAGCCCACTCAGACATCTGTCCGGGGAGTGAGGGGGCACCCCAGCCCACTCAGACATCTGACCGGGGAGTGAGGGGGCATCCCAGCCCACTCAGACATCTGTCCGGGGAGTATGGGGGCACCCCAGCCCATTCAGAGAACATATGTCGGTGGAGTGAGGGGCACCCCAGCCCACTCAGACATCTGTCCGGGGAGTGAGGGGGCACCCCAGCCCACTCAGACATATGTCGGTGGAGTGAGGGGCACCCCAGCCCACTCAGACATCTGTCCGGGGAGTGAGGGGCACCCCAGCCCACTCAGAGAACATATGTACGGGGAGTGAGGGGGGGGAGGGGGGGGGAGACTCTTCACCTGCCTTTACTAAAGCGATCACCCCTGGAGCGGTTAACACGGGTTCCCGTTGAAGGGTTGGGTTCAGAACACACAGGTCTTGTTGAAGGGTTGTGTTCAGAACACACGGGTTCCTATCGTGGGTTGGGTTCAGAACACGCGTTAATGTCGATGGGGTGGTTCAGCCCCCTTGCCGCTACACATAAGTGCAGTTGTTATTTCTGTCTGTCATATGAACCAGATGCTGAAATTCTTTCTGCTTCACATTGCGCCCAATTTTAGAAATCATTTTTTTTGTACCTGACTTTGAGAACTTTAGATATATCAGAGATAGATTTAAGATCTTTGTCGCGTAATCAAAACTTTGATCACTCGAACTTCAGTAACTTAAAATAGTTACATCGCTCGTCAACTGTGATTGTTTGCTACTTGATGTGTTCAACAGACAGAACTGAAGTCTTAAATCGTCTCCCTTAGCTGAAACATTAATTCCTCATGTAAAGTTGTCTCCCATTTAAAAGTAGTAGTCACAGTAAAAAACAAACGAAATAACTTTATAGCAATAAGGTTTTAAATGCACTGAAAATAAGAAAATAAAACACATTGCAAGTTTTGTTTATTTTCTTATTTTAAGTGCATTTAATGGCTTATTATTATAAAGGTTTTTAATGCTTGTTTTATTTCTAGTAGCAAAATACGCATCTGTTTTCTGAGTTACCTCCCACCTTGATAAAAAAATCCCCCCATTAGAACATCATGATCATTTGTTTGTAATTAATTTTAATTAATTTTACTCGTTTACACATATTATATGTCTCCATTAGTCAGTAAACACGTATCATAAATAGAAACCACGAACCAATCACACAAATACAGACACATGCACGCATGCACGCTCGCTCGCTCACACGCATGCACGCACGCAGGGACACGGACGAGACCCCCCTTCCCTTTACAGTCTATGAATCAAGCATGTCAACATGAGGTAAGGGTCGTTCGAGTGAATTTTATGTTTCTGGAAATGACGTCATTTACAAAACTATCACGCACCCCTCCCTTTCCATCATCGACCTAACGTGATTAACATTCTACGTTTCTATAGTGACAGTTAACTCACCTCTACCCTCCCCCCTCTCACCCCTGTCCTTAGTACCGTTTAGCTGAATTTTACGAGCACATTTACAACGTGTATACATAAACAACGTAAACATTCGACTGTTTCCGTCACTTTCCGTGGACCACCCACGATTTATACCCCGTGTCAAATTGTGTTGAGTCTCGCGACCTATCTGACGTAATATCCTGTCTGCTGTTTTTTTAGATCCTAAACCTGCGTGTCTCATCTCATTATCTCTGTTTATACACGCATTAAATGTTTGCCAATTATCATTATGTACGCGCACACATACACATATACACGCACATACACTAATACACACATTTACTGGAAAGGTAGGTAATTTGTACCCTATATAAATATCACGTCAAAAGTATTTTATTTTTACTTAATAAAAACAATATATATATAATTAATTATTAAAATGAGGAGCGCGCTTATTAAAACAAAAAATTAACATTTAACAAAATGGTAATAATTACTTTAAAAACACAAAAGCATAATACACAATTTATGATCAACATATTGACTACATAATATTTGAGATGATTTTCGTCGACTTTAACATTTAAAATATTCGACTGTCTTAAGGTTGTTATTTTTTTTAACATAATGATTGTGAGAACATCATCTCACATACTACACATATCTTGCTTTGAGATATTTTGTCCTGGTATCTTTTGTCCGTGAGATCATTAGTCACGGAACCCTTGCCACCCACCATCCGCATTAGTCGACTAAGATTACAATTAATGTATTTTGCTCGAACTACATCTTACGAACAGTGTAAAACTTCTATTACATCTTGATATACGCAAACCTATAGTACCGTATCTAGTGTGTAAAAGTGTATTTCTCCTCTATTGATGAAACCCTTTAGCAAATATCATAAGCAGCAGAGGTCTATGAGAAGAGAGGGAATATCGTATTAAAAACTAAAACACACAACTGCTGGCCTGCAAGTGAACTGTCAACTTATCAGTGTTTCTTCCAGACTTTTTTCTCCGGGAGGGGGGGGGG